AATATCTCAAAATGGAATAAGTCTCCACAAATCGAAAGAAAATTGATAGAGAAATTTTGTTTCTGTAACTTGTTTTTTTTTTCTTTTCTCTTTTGGAAATAAATTTCATGTCAAAAACTTAGTTTATCAAACTGTAAATTTATCGAACGCCTTCGACCTTTTATCCAGGCTATTAAAAATCTCCTCTTTTGGCTCCGAAAGTGGTCGCAAAAAGGAGCAGTTAAGGAAGCGAAGCGGACTTTTATACGGCGTAAAAAGTTGAAACTTTTCTGGCAAAGTGTTAGTTCGGTTGCAAAATGGCCGCTGCGGCCCGGAATCGCGCCACGACGGTGTCTTAATTAAGTTCCGGACCGCAGCCAGCAAGGGCGTATAATTAAAAAAGAAGCGTCGTAAAATGATTATTACCATTAGGCCGGAATGACGTAATGATATGGCGGCGGCATTTATGCTCGCGCACACACCGATCCATATACATACATATTGTGTATAACAATAGTGTGTGTGCCCGAAACACACACACGAGAGAGAGCAAGAGCGGACAGAGAGAGGCGCACGGAGTGAGTTTTCAAGTGCCCTCGTGGGATTTCCGCGCGAGAGAACGCCACATTATACGACGAGGCAGGATGGCCAATGCAACTCTCGTCAAATAACGTGCCGACCACTTTTTGAATTCATTACTTTGCCAGCCCGGAGATTACAATTTCGCATAGTCCCTGTGTGAGCTCCGTAGGGCCTGTCATGAATTGGACGCTTGCAAATGATGTTATGCCGGACCGGAGCTTACAGTGGCAGCTTAAAATTTTGATTATTATGGAAAAATCTGGTTCATTTTTTTTCTTCTCAAATTGTCCGTTTTATTGTTGTGTGCCTCATTAAATTTCATCCTAGCAGCGCAAAAAAATTGTGCTTCTTCTGACCCGACGTATATAGGAATAAATATTCATTGCTGGTTAAAATTCAAAATAATTCCTTGATTTTTGCCACACCCAAGTTGTGCTTGTCGAAAGTTGCACAACTTTTTCACTCCCAAGGTGAATTCACAAGTAAATTAAATATTTTTGTTTATTTGTCCAATTGTTAAAGTCATATTGTAAACAATTTAAATATTTTTAAATCAAATTTTGCAAAAGAAAAATACAATTGTTGGACTAAACTGCACAACCTAATGCATTCGAATTATAAAAAAATCCTTCATGGGTTTTTTCCTTTGTTATTTTGGTAAAAATTTATGCTCCCTATATTTTGTAAATAAACTGGAATTGCAAGTTGAACCTGCCATTATTTTTTTAAATAAAATTTTGAATATAGCTTCAAAATAGTTCGTCAAATTTTAAATGGATTTAATTCTTATTAATCTGCAAATAATTATTATTTCATGGTTTTAAAAACAGCGCAAAGATAGATTTAGTTGTAAAAAATCATTGTAAGTCTTCTTCATTTCTTGTTATTTTTCTGTGGGCTCAAATATCAGAAGACTAATTATTGTGCTTTCCAGAAAATGTCTCTCTTGCAGGTCATCTTCATTTGCTTTTCATCTGAAAGAAGCCGGAAAATATATCAATCCTATAATACTTTTCTGTTAGTCGTTCCTAATCCTAATCATTGTTTGTGATAGAGATTTTCTTTCGTAACTTTTACTGTACCGAAACTTTTGAGGTTTTTTTATTTATAAATTCTTGCTGCAATTATTTATATCAAATATATTGTTTAAAAAATGCAATGAAAACAATGTGATGTAACAATGGGGCAAAAAAATTACAACAATTAATAAAAATTAACGAATGTGCTCCTACTTTATTTTAAACCCAATTTGCTCTTTTTTCTATGCAATTGATATTTAAAATCCTTTTGAAAATTTGTTTTCCAATTAAATATTTCAATGAGTAGAGCTGCCACAAACACTAATACAAAATCCCTTTGCACGTCAATAATGTAATTTGCAATTGCCTCTTTCATGTGATGTAACAAGTTTTTTGCCCGTGCACTGCACACACAGAGAGACTCGGCAGCCACGGCACAGATTACTGTGTTTTTGCCAAAGAAACGAGTTGGTTTCCCGTATGCAAATCACCTAGTGGAAACTATTCAAACGATCAAAAGCAGCGGGAGCGCTGGCTGCATTCATAGACATTCCTCTTTTTTGCCAACTAAGCACTCACTTTGTCAAAGCGGCTTGACAAAAGGATCATTTTGACTTGACAAGGATACATAATTGAAAGAGTAATGCTTATGGGGAATGGAGTTTGCAGACCGTGTTTTTTAATGGAACTTAACAATTTTTATCTCAATATTATTAATATTAAAATGATAAATAAATTAATAAAAATATTTCTGACGGTTTTAATAACTGATTTTTATTGGAAATTGGGACAAAACTGGAAAAACTTTTTTTTTCATAAATTACTAAATAAATAATACGATCTGAAAAAATGAACAGTTTTTTTCTAATATTTGTTGAGCAAACTCCCTCGGACAATTACATTTTCCAAATTTCTCTTTTATTAAAAAAAAAATTGATGATGCCACTTTCAAAAATAATTGCCTCTGCCTAGCCTTGGATATTCTTTCCTTTTTCTATGAGGTCAATTATAACTATTTATCTAGTTTATTGATTTCATGTCCTTTTGAAGTAAATTCAAGGGACATGTATAAAAAGGAAATATTTTTCAATAAATATTACAAATTCATTGAATTTGTCTACATAATTGAAAATTTGAGTTAACCCCAATTCAAGTTTTTATATTTAATTAAAAAAATCTTAATTTTTTCCTTCTATTGTTATTTTTCAGTTATTTTCTGATTGATTTTCCACAATAATATTCCTGATATCACAGCAACGCATTTAATTTTATTTACTCGTGATTAATTAAACGATTTCCCGTGTTGACCATCCCCAATTTCTTCAATCATGCGTTTTCACCAAAATTAATTTGCAGAGCGTCCCACGGCAATCGTAACACCCATTTCGCTGGCCCAGCAAGAAGCAACCCTTCGTTGTGGGCGAGATTCACGCGCGCAGGGTCAATTTATGGGTTTGATTTTGTGACGGCGAGCGGCCGGATTAATGCGCGACACGGCGAGGGATGACAACCTCTGGGGTGCCTCTGCCGGCTCGGACGAATCTAGCAGCGAACCACACCCCTGGCAGGTAGGAGGGTAGGCAACCCGGCACACTCTCTGCCCATGCCCCTCCGAGCGGTGCGCCGTGAATGGGAACGTTTTTATTTTTTCCTCTCGCACCCGCGGCGTTCTGCCTTTTGAAAAACTGGTCAGACGCACCTGACGCGAATTAAAAGCACTCTCGCTTTTGTATTCATTCGTACTACACTCACTCGCGTCCATCTCTTCCTCTCGCGCACGTCCACTTTTAAAATTAGACCCATTTTTTTATTCATGATCGCGACGTGTGCTATTAGCGAGTGCTCGCACAGGTAGCACATTTTAAGGAAACATGACCATTTTTTGAAAAAAAGTTGAACACAACTAAATATTTTTAGAAAATTTGAAAACTAAATCAACATTTTGCAGAAGAATATTTGCACGATTCAGGATTAATTCGTAATGATCATTTAAATTGAAAACCGATGGTTTTTGTGAGGATACTGTATAAATAATAAAAAAAAACTCAAATCCCACCGTGGAAATAATGCTGTAAAGCAATTAAATTTTACATCAAAGTATTAATTGCTAAAAATACTATTTGAAAGCAGGTAAATTTTAATATAATAAAAAAAGTTTGTTTGAAGCTGAAAAACCTCTGGATTTCAAAGATTCGTTATAATAATATCTTAATCAAATTCAGTTCAATAATCTATGAATGGGCAGAGATTGAATTCTTTTTGGTTTAAATTTGTGGAGTTTAATCTACATTTTTTATTCTATCGCTTTTCGAAAATATAAAAAAGTGCATTTAAAGTTCACTTTCAACCTCGGTAAACTAATTTTTAAGTAAGAAAAAAATCAATGTCACTCGTTTTACTTCGATTAATAATTAATATAATTATTTTTCCAAGCTTATATTGTATTAATTTTATGATTCAAACAACCCACATTTTTCAAATTCTCCTCTTTCTCAAAGTCAAATCTATTTGCCTATTTTTTTTTATATAAATGAACATTTCAAATATCGTAAACCCAATAGGAACAATCCACTGACTTTTGTTAAGAGAGATCAGGAAAGTTAAGAGGATTTTATTTTGTCCTCTTCCTATTGGTATATTTATTTTCCTCCTATAGAAATTCTACAACACTCTGAGCTTTGAAATATTCAAAGACAATCAAGCTAATCAAACAATCACCGACCAGCATCAGACCTTCCAGGAGGCCGTCAGTAAGGTCACTGGTTTGTTTGTTCACCAGTTCCAATTATTTGATCCTGTCTTTTGTGCTGCGTGGATGCATTAAACGCAAGCACGTCAAATTGCGTTGTGCCAATTAATTAATGCCTTGAGAGATTTGCGTCAATTATTGGCCTGGAACGCTTGGCAACGTGATTAATATCCAATTAATTTGCTTGCCATTTGTGACCGCTCTTTGACGCCTTGCACTCCAGGATTTCAATATAAATTTATATGTACGCACGCAGCTGCCGTATTAATTTCGCAATTTAACTCGTTTACTGAATGAATGAGCTCGCTTGCGAAAACAAGCAACGTCGAAATGTGTAGAGAAATAATATTATTGTCTGAATAAATAAATCGTTTGCTAGTAGCAATGCTTCGTGCAAATTACAATAATAAACAGTGTAGATAATTGAATTAATTAATTTGAATTTAATTAAATTGAAATTATTATTTATATAACCCATCTTCTTAGAAAAAAATGGCAATTTTACCATAAAAATAATTAGCTAAGAAATAATTCATGAAATAAACCCAGAGCATAAGCTTTAAAATTGCGAAATATTAAATTAATCATTTAATTGAATCAAATTAAAGCTAAAAAATTAGGGATTTTCCAGATCAATTTGTTTCAGTTTATTTTAAAATTGCGGTACTCACCGTAAACACTTGCAGCGTAGAGAATGTTGGTCATTAATCCAAGAACAATCACTACAGCCGTGACTAAATCTTCTGAAAATACTCTAGGCGACATCTTGGAACATTAATTCTATACTCTTAAAGTGTCTATCCAAATATACGAATATCTGCAGCTAAATCTCTCTGTTACTTCTTCTATAATATCAATCGGGTGTGGTTGTTTGTTCTTCTTCGTATGTTGTTGTGTATCAAAAACGCTGTGGCGAAAATACTTGAAAAAGCTGCACGGGGGGACGATCAGTACGACAATAGGGGTTAATTATGTATATGCAACACTCAGTACGGAAAATGTTTTTCAGTCGGTGTCTCAGTCCGCAGGGAAATTGTTACTTTAGTCCGAGTTTCACTCAATTTGGCACGAAAGAACTACAGGCGGCGCGCGGCCGACGAGCGAGATCGGCGACGCCTCCGGTCGCCCTTCATCCCTCCGTCCACCCTTGCTTGCGAGTCTGCTTGCCTGCCTCGACTGAAAGACTGAGTCACCCGGCGCGCACCGCCACCGCCGCCCCCACCCCCGCCGCGCCCTTCCCCTCCCTCGATGGCCTTCCCGTCCACGTTTGCACTCTTCGATTGAATGCACTTTGCTTTGCCCACGTTCGCTGCCAAGTCTAGACACACTCTCGGCCCATCTCGCGTGCGCCCTCCTCCCGCGAGGTGTGCGGGTGCAATGAATGACTTTTCTCTCGACCTTCTTTCGTACTAGACGTAAAAATCACGGGTTTATTTCCACTTCAATTCTTTATTCCTTGGCCTGAATGCGTAGTACGAAATCCTCATCGTTGCCTAGAAGTATAAAATTTGAAATTCTATTGATTTTTGTTTGTCATTTTTTATTAGTTTTAACTTGGTTTTGATGTTCATAAAGAAAAATTACTTTTGGTGAAAAGATTATTAATTTTTAAAGCAAAGTAATTTTTTTTAAATGCAAATTCCTCTTTCGCCTGAAGTGAATAATATCATATATTTTAAAATAAGGTACCAAAAATATTTAGGTCACACACTTTCTCAGGCTTTTAAGATCTTAAGATTTTAACGAGGTGCAGCCATTAACTTAAAAGCCCATGTAAGTGCTGCACTGATTTTTCTCTCATTTTTCATATCTAAGTATCTTAAGACTTGGATGATAAGTTTGACCGAAATTTCTTTGCCAGGTGTATGCAAAAAAAATAATAAAATGTTGCATTATTATTAGGCTCGTGCATTTTAGTCGGTTTTTAGGGGTCAAAAAGTCGACTATTTTTAGTTGATTTTACAGAAATTTAGTCGCCTTTTGAGCTGATTTTTTCCAAAATAGTCGGTTTTAGTCGATTTTTTAAAATAGATTTTTAGAGCTATAATATAACATGGAATTATTTTCATCGATTTTTTTGGATTGCATCAATAAATCTTCATTTTTGGAAGTATAAATAATATTTTATCACCCCATTTTTCATCATTTTTAAATTTTCCTAGCTAGCAATTATGCAGAACTTAATGATTTTATGATTTATTATAAACATATTGAGGATACAAAAGCCGGAACCATTGAATTTTCGTAATATTGTGTTGAAATATAAATATTGAAGATAGTTGAACAGTTATTTAATTAAATGCGAGTTTTGTTTGATATTTGGGAACAAAATTTATATTTTGTCGTAATATTATAACAAGAATGTTCTAAAAATGCTCAAAAACGAATTTTTTCCATTATTGAAAAATTTATTACTTTTTCATCCATCTCATATTTATTTCCTTTTTTGTAATTAAAGACGAAAAATAGCTTTAATTAGTGCTTGTTTCAGGCGTTTGAAATTAAATATGTATGATAATTTTTTTTAAATACATAATTTTTTTACCTTGCCAAAATATTTTCTGGTAAAATTTTACGGAAATTTTGTTTGAAGGTCTGGAAAACCCTATTTTTTACTCAAAAAGTTGAAAAAGTCTGTCATTTTAGTCTGTTTTAGTCGCTTTAGTAGGAAATTGAAGAAATAGTCGGTTTTAGTTGGTTTTAAATAGGTGCCAATCGTAATAAAATCACTTGATTCGTGCAGAAAATGCATTTCCATAACGTTCCGAGCGACGTAGTAAAAAAGTTGATCCACTAAAAAACAGCCTAATTATTATATGCAAAACTAAATCCCATATTTTGCAAAGAGGCGAAAGTTTACAATAATATTTAATTGCTCAAGAGATAATGAATTTACTGACGTATTAAAAATTTTACAGGGGTTATAGATGTAGACATTTTACGTTAATTGTAGTTTTACAAAGTTAATTAAAAACTGGCACAAGATAGCTTATATTTGACGAAAACAATCTTTATGAAATAATTGGATTGAATTGAAATTTAAACACAACTATTTAATCCAAAAATTGTGCAATTTTCGGTAATATTTTGCTGGAGTTTGTGGGCCCAAGTTGAATGTGATTCATAGAAGAACTGTTGTTAAATTTGAGCCTTGCTTAACCAAATCCCAGAAATAACAAAAGCATCGCACAAACTTTTACGGAAACAACGAGTTTTAATTAATTTATTCTCAGCGCCTTGATGTTCGTTGGAAGTTCATGTTTTAGTTATTAAATTCTGAAATTTATATTAATTTCTGTAAAAATAATAGCAACTTAAATTATTTAAGACATTTGTAATATAAATAATCAATTGGTGAAATTATAATCCTAATTTATTGCTGGCTTTGAATGCGATTTATGTGAGCCCTAATCGCTTCATGGACGTGTGAACAAAGTGCTAATAATTACATTCTTCTTTCCTTAACAATTCTGAAGTACTTACAAGGAACAATGCCTCTTTAGCATGGCGTTCAAGTGTTTTGAATACACTTATTCGACGCGATCGACACTCGCTATAGCAAGAAATAACTGAGTGAACATTTATTTTATATCTACCGAGCAAAGGATAAATTTCTGGAGAATTTAGTGAAAACAGTTTATTGAAATACTTTTGAATAAGTATAAGAATATATACTTGATTGATGAAGATTGTGTGGACAAATTACTGAAAATGAGCAGTTCTGTAATCCCGTTCATGATCCCACGTCATCACATCACGCAATGCTCAAATTTCCAAAGCAGAATAGCTCAATCGAGTCCCAAACGGTATCCAAATAAAATATCAAATCTGAGATAGCATAGAGATCATTTAGTCATTCAAACGTGGGGCAATCAAATTCAGTTCCAATAACTCAATAGAGAATATATTGAAAATTTAATTTGTTCCGCCTCCTCCTTATTATATCTAAATGTAAAAATATGAAAAATATATGTATCTGGGATCGTGCTCGGAATGCCGCACTCCTCGGTCAAATTGGGTGCCAATTCACGCTAAAGAAGGCGGTCGGTATCGGAACGATAAAATTGCAATAAAAAGGCAATTCTTATCAATCATGCAAGATGCAACGAGCAGAAGGAAAAGCGGAAGAATTTTCCCCCTCGGCGCTCTCGGGCTTGCGAGATGCTTTGCCGGGCAAAAAGCAGTGAAATTTATTTGGCCGGGCGTTTAAGGGAAAGGGACTTTTCCTCTTGATGCGGCGGTTGTACAAGGCGAAAGGCATGTCGGCGCATTTCCGGTCCTAGCTCTCCGCCCAGAGTAGAAACATTATATCTCTTCGAATGCCTCTTACGAGGGATGGGAAATAAAGAAGGGAAAAGAAGAGCGACCTCGTCGTACTTTTTTTGAACGAGCTGAGAGATAAAAAAGTATAAAAAATACGGCAGAAACATTTTAGCACTTTTTCCCCGACCTTTTGGGAGTTCCTAAACTGTTCAACTTTTCTTATACGCTCTGCTATTTGGGCCTTTTAAAAGATGAAAACTTGCCTTTAATTCGATTTTGATTAAATTTATACAATATGTTTTATGTCGATAATACGCAGAAGTCTCGTGGGTTGAGATTTTCCTCTTTTTTTTTTAAATAGAACAATTAAAGGAAATTTTAAAATTTGAAGTTGATTTAAAAATGTATCTTGTGTTAAGTTGGCATCAGGTTCCTAGAATTTTAGCGGGACTGTAGTTGTAGTACATAGGGTGTCGTGCTTTTGTCGCCCTTCAACATTTAAGTAAGTAGATGTGCTGCCGTTTCCTGAGCTTGCAGAGGGCAAAAGCAATAAACTTTTAATTCGATTTTTAAATTTATTTTTTAACTTCATTATTAATGACATATTATTATTATCTGCCACAAATTCTCTGTATTTTTTTTCTAGTCATCAAACAACAAATAAAAAAAAATGATTAAAATAGAGTTTTGGAAAAAATAAGTTGCTGATATTTATAATACATTCAAGTTACCTTTTGAGATCTGAATAAGCTTTACTGATTGGAAAAAGTTGAATTTTCTTTCGTCTCTCGAGAGTTTGTCTCATCTGTCTATATCACAGCCTAGATTGATATTGCAGAGATAAATGAAAATCCGCAAGCTTTGTTGTTTTTTTTTTTTTGGTCCCAAGACTCCGATGAGCGCCATTCAACGTCAGTTTGCAAATACATATCTAATGACGCGACGGGCGAGATGCTGATTTCGCTCTTGCACGTCGATGTGGCTCGGGCGCGAGTCAATCGATTCCGAATATGTGCAGTTGCAAGAGTTGGGCGGACAATGACACCTCGCGGCTCGCCGGCTATGCAACCGGCACGCCGCCTTCGCCGCGCCGGTTGCATAAACGTGCTCGCTCATTCGCGAAGGCGACCGCACCCATGCAGCTCCCGTTCGCCAACTTTGCCGACACTCGCGAGAGTGTTGGAAAATGATAGAGTCGCGAGACCCCGGGGAATTTTCCGTATTATACTGGAAAGTAACTTGGCGGAGTGGTTGATGGAATGAAATGAGAGCGGATCAAAAAGGCGAGCGAAGCTAGGGGAGTGTTTCCAATCCAATCGACATAGCATTGTGATGGGATGGAAAAATTATATTGATTCAAAATTACTTCCAACTCTTCTCATGATTGAATTTCTTGAAACCGTAAAATTTCTTCAGCCTTCAAACTATAGTGTAATGATTTTTTTAAATTTTTATATTTACTCAATAAATTAAATCTACCTTTGACGGAATTACTTAAAATTGGTTTATGTTTCTATGAAGAAGCACGATTTATTTTTTAAATAATTAAAATCAAGTAAATTATTGGAATCATCTCTCAATTAAAGTAAAGCTGGCGAGGAAAAGTATTTTATTGAAAGCCAAATGTTTTAGACAGAAATTGTTTAAGGTGATAGTTTTTAAGGACTCCTTATTTACATAGTCAAATCAAGTCTGCTTTTCAACATTGATCGATGGAGAAAATTTCAAATTGTTTTCTAATAATTGCGGAAAATAACTCCAAATGTTTTAACCACTCGATTTGACTTTTGCAATGCAATAAGAAGTCCTTAACAACAACAAAATGATGGTTGATTTTTATGTTTAATTACCAAAATATTCATAATTATTCTTTATCAAAATAGAGAGGCTGTAACAGTGTTTATTTGCGAATTAAAGTCGAAATATTGATTGATGAAGTCCAAATTTGTCTGGAATTTATTGATATTAAGCCTCAATTAATAAAAAAATACAATACAATATGCCAAAAAAAATTTAAAGTAAGTATGCAAATAAATTAATAAATTATAATATGATTTAAGGCTAACTGATTGTGTTGAAAAATAGAATTTGTATTATCATATAAAAAGGTTCTTCTTGAATTGAATTTACAATTTGCAATTAATTATTCCAGTCACGGCGCGGACAGTAAAAGAATCGCAACATTGGCGATCGTTTCTTCGCAGATGGCAAAGTGAGTGCAATCGATTCCCGTTTGTTTTCGCTCCTCGCATAGCAGCATGGCCGGTGTCGCTCTCCTCTGTGTTTGCAGTGAGGTAAACACGCTCGTCAACTAACCCTCTGCTCTAATGGTGTGTTTCAATTCGCCGGTTCAGCACAAAGGCAGCCCGCTGTGTGCGAGTATGTATTTTGCACCCAACAACGGCCACGCCGGGCCTAATTAACGATCAGCAGCTTTTATTATTTTGTTATCGCCAGCGTCGACGCCTCGCTCATTATCCGCCGAGGCTAATTAGAACTCTTCAAAATATAACGAAGCCGATAATCCGATTCCTTTTCATCTATACACCTTTTGTACAAAACGAATTGCGTGGATTTTGCGTCGAGCGGATTGCTGTGGAAAACATTCCGCAAATTTCATTTTATACGGTTGAGTGCGAGAAAGAGAAAAACGCTGAACCTGGTCTCGAGGGACACGAGAGAGGCGGCGGAGAAAAAAATTTTATTTGGGAGAATTATGACAAGTACGTGCCTTAAATATGGCATCAGCAGCTCGGCTGCCGTCGCTGCTGCTTTTTCAGCTTTTCAATTCCCTCACCTACCCGGCCAATTTAATTGTTTTGCCGAACTCCCGGTATGTGCTTTGGTACAGCTCGTAAAAACGAAACCAGGGGTGCACTGGCACTGCTTGGTGATTTTGTAAAAATGAGGAAAAATCTCCAGCTTCTGAAGTGTGCAATTTATGAGGGAGCGGGTTATTCAAGTCTTGCGCTTAATGGATATCCAGTCTCTTGGAAAAGCCTTAACAAATCTCGCAGCACTTTCTGCTGAATATGGAAATAATACCATTTAAAAGGTATGTACCGGTATGTACAGTATAAAAAGATTTCTTACAATGGATGTTTTAAAATCACAACAGATATAAAAAGAAATGCGCAATGAAAACATTTATTTTATGTATGTATATTGATTTGAAAAATTAAAAAAGGCAATATTTGAAGACATTATTTATGATATTATGGCAGAAAATAGTCTCAAATTTAATAAATATCTCATTATATCTGCCCCTCCAAACAGCATAATTAATAGAGGGCAGCTAATTCCATTGGTAGAATAAATTTCACAATTAACGTCTCTTAATTTTCTCACAGTCGATTCAGGGAGGGGAAAATTAAGTTGTTAAATGATTTTCTTTCCAAATTTACGTGACTAATTATTGACATATATTCAAAGCATGTCTTATAAGACAATGGGCGTTAAAATTTCTAATAATTTCAATAATTTGCTACCATTGTTTCAAGGATTGGTTTTGACCATGCAAATAGGGACGTTCAAAATTATTTTCCCATGTATTTTTTTTTTTTTTTTTTTTTGGTAATTAATTGCCGTTCTTGCTCATTAGAACTTAGAACAAATAAATAAAATCAAACTAATTAAAAATGCATACACGAAGCTTACATTAACTCAATGCAGAGGATGGGGCATTTATTTTTTATCTCGGAAGTTTTTTTGTACAAAAAAAAATTGTACAATTGTTTCTTTTTCAAAGTAAAAATTTTCTTACAATAGTTCCCACAAATAAACAACAATAATAACTAATGGATGGTTCGTTTTCAATTTTTTTTTTTTTCAATAAAAAAAGCTCTATAATTTCTTAGATGATCATCTCCTTGAGTGCCAATTTCTTCAAACAAATAATAACTTAATAACAAAAAATTATATCAGTAAAACTCTAAATATGAAGTGAAATTTTTTTTCATATTTTTGTATTCCAGTTTTATCTTCCCAAATGCTAGTGGAGAGTGCATTTTGGATGTACAGAATGGGACAAGCTCATGTGTAAGTGCGATCGATGGAGGGTTCGAAAGCTGTCCCTCGGCGATGATTGATTCTGCTGATTTTTCCGCTGCAATGAACATTTTCAGTGGAATATACATCGACTAGTCAGGATGATGCGACACTATTCGATTTTTTTTGTCAGCAGAAGAAGCGAGTCATTAAATACAATCAGCTATACCAGCAAAAAAGTGCATTTTGCTGCCGAACTCGATTAGCACGCGCATGACATCGGACGTGCGGTGGGTCGAGGCGGAAGCACCGATGTTTTTTTTACAGCTCGTGAAAATCGCACTGAAACAGTTGTTTATAACTATCCACATCCTGCCACATCCGTTTCATAATCAATATGTGAAAACTTCAAATCTGATTTTTTCATATAAAATTTAAAGAAAATATTAGTTAAAAATAATTTTATTTCTTTTGCTGCAAAGAGAAACCAAAAATTGAAATTTTATTCGAATAAAAACGCTTTGAAATAGTTTGTCGGCACGTTATACCATAGAATTATTTTATGAATGCCTTTTCCACTCTGCTAGGCAATTAACCTCTACAATTATAGTGTTCAGATTTTTAACCTTTTTGTTTTAATTGTCACAGGACACTCGAGAAACGCACTCGGTACGTGGGTTTCTCTTTAATTCTTCTTCAAGCCATTCACATACATAAATTTAGAAAATTAAAAGCAACTCGCTCGTCAACTTGGCCACGGATGTTTTTCATTGGAAACATAAGAATTTTCCGCTTTTCTGAGCTACCTGCTAATTTAAACATTTTTTTCTTTCCATAATTTTTTAGATTGTTTTGAATTAATTTTGGAAAGTGGAGAGACTTATGTTGACAATGTGGTTTGAAGATTTCCAAGTGTGTGCAGTGGGATGAAAATGAAGTGGCTAACAAAAAGTCAAATATGCGTCTCGTGATACTAAACATTTTCATAACTGAGTGAGCAGAGTTCAAATGCTTACCGACGTGGAAATGCATTCAGGAAAAATTCAAAAATTTGAAAGAAGTCGACATATATTAGCACATAATACAAGAAAAGTTGCAATCAATGCCAGTGGAAAAAATATTAATAATATATTATGAAAGTTATGCTCCCTAAAATTTGAAAATAAAAAATTTGTGTAGTAAATAAAATTATTTTAGATTACCTTTTAATTATGGTCAATTAAGATCTGCGGAAATAACCTATTTAAAATTTAACTTTTTTTAAATGATTGTCAAAAACTGACCTCATCCCCTAAACTTTCGACTTTTAAGCCAACAGCAAAGTTTTTCCGCTTAAAACTTTTTAAAATAAATTAATATTTCTCGCCGCTTTGCTTTTACTTTTTTACCCAGAGTTATAATACAATTCAAAAAGCTTTGGGCGTTTTTCACAGCCCCAATTTTAGAGATCTGAAAATTGGTGGTTTGCAATCAATGTTGCCTCTCACTTAAAAAAAAAATCAATTTGATATTTTAATCATTGAAAGTAACTATAATAGAAACAGTCATTCAATCATTCGCCTTACAATTAGTCATAGTGTAAAGAAATAAAACAACGAGCACTTATTTTCACAACCTTTAATATCTAAAACTTATTCTCACGTTTTATTTACACCATATGTAGCAGACTAGATTAATACTTTTTATGTATTATTTTTAAATAATGTCATGCCTTGACAAACAAGGATCGCCGGCTTTTTCAACAAGCCGGCCCGAACCCAGGGTTGACAACTAATGCGGGCTCGAGATAAAATCTCGCCTTGGAAAAAAGCCACCCCCTGGAAAAACTAACTAAAATGCACAACAGTGATGAGCCGGACAAAAGGAATTATATAACTCAGGCAGTGGCGGAAACGGCTCGAGAATAAGGAGAGATAGAGAGAAAGAGAGAGAGACAGTTTATCAATCGCGCGCGAATATTGCTGAGTGGGTTTTTGTTAGACTATCACGACAAGGGTCGATTAGAGCTATGCATGTGACATCTTGCCCTCTTTAAGGCTTGGTCAGTTCGGTTAGTCGAATTTATTTTTCTTATAATTAGAAAATATCTTTTTTTTTAAATTTGGTCGGAGAAATTACTCCAACCAGGATAAGGCCATATTTTTCGTGTCAATCCGAGCCTTAAAGAGTCAAAAACTTGATTCTTTCGTCCCACACAAAGAAACTGTCTGTTTTTTTTTATACATATTCGTCCTAGTCTGAGGTGCGAGGAAAATTAACGCGAGAGTTGAGTCAAGATTGAGCAGCCAAAATGCAATTCTCGATTCACCTCGGACCGAAATACGTACGTACATAATTGTATTTACATACTTCTTGATTGCAGCTATGCGAACGTGAATTTTATTTTTTTCACCGCTAATAAATTTAAACGAGTGTTTTTTAACCTTGGACTGGTTTTCGTTGCGCATAAATTTCACCAAAAAACAATAGCGTGGATGAAAATTCAACAAACAATCAATTTATTAATATTAAATTATGCACAACTCGTTCAAAAATTTATAGGTTAGTTGAAAATTATTTAAATTGATTTATTTAATAATAAAATCGGCCTCTTGTAGTCCACGCATATATAATTATTTTTCTTTTTCAGAATTTATCCCAACTCCAAACTAGCAACTTTAAGGGTCTCCCGTCAATGTGTTTTTGAGTGAACGTGTTTTATGTGTATGTATGTGTGATATTACTTAACAATGCAAAAGCGTCAACAATCAATGAACAGCGTTTTTGTTTTTTTTTTTTAAATAATTCTAGCTGATTAAACACAGAAACGGCCTGATCGGGTCGCGAAAACTTCGGCACCTAACGCAACTAGTATAACAAAGAAACACTTTTTTCGTCCAATACGTGTACGCCTTTTAACAAATTTAATAGTCCTTTTTTTGTAAAACTCCGCGTCCAAGCAGCAAATGGTATTTTTTTAATCTCTTTTATCGTCTAGATTATTCGAAGCCACAGCGCGTTTACTTTCAGCTTTTTTGGTGTGATTGTGTGACTCTATTATTTTGTTTTTTAACAAGTACGAGTGCAGTTTTTGATAACTTCCATTGCCACACCTTCTTCTTCTTCTTCCTCTTCTCCTCGGTAAATATTAGTAAGCAATATTATTCCTTTGAATTCAAATCACAGCTATTGCGTTTTATTAGTTAGTTAATATCTCGTCTCGTTCCACGTGTTTTTTTAGGCGCATTTTTTTTAGTATTTTACGTGTTCCTTCTCTATAATTAAGTGTGGGGGGTGAGTTGTTTCTTTTTTTAAACGACTTTTCCTTTTTTCTTGGATGACTAATTATCTCGTCTTACTTAATCTACTTCAGGTGCGCTAATATGCAAATTTAACTCCAAAACTCTTTCGATCCGCGATTGTTTAGCCGTACTTTAAATACACCACTCCTTGATTTTTTTTCTTTCAATTTTTAGAAACTAAGGCCGTGAGTTGATTTTGGTAAATGGAGCTTATTAACTTCCTTTTTTTTAAATTAACGAAACTCTGTCGGATGATCTCGCAGAATCCAACAAGAATTTCGGGCGATTTTTTTTATCCTAACAAATCCGTGGCGCCTCTTTTTTCTCCCTTGATCTACATGCGATGCTCTTTCTGAAGGCGGTGGAAGCGTCGTGGCCGTTATAAAAGGTTGCGGGCGACGAGGGCGGCCGCGGCGGCGGCCAACGCCAACGGGGCGGCCGGTGCGGCGCGGAAGCCGTCGTTGCAGAGGTCGCCCTGACAGGCGCAGTACACCACGTTCACCTCGTAGGTGCCTGAACGCATGATGCACCCCAGCTTGTTGTCCTCGGCAGGCAGGTATCCGCAAGAACGCACCGTCCGGTGTAGACCATTCACTGAAAAAGTTAATTGTATTAATTTCGTACTGACTGGAAAATGATACAAGGAGCTAAAAAGTAATCACTTCTTTTAATTCCATTTTCAATTTCAATCTAACAAAATTATTTGCGGCAGCTTGAATTATATTGTTAAATTACTGCTTGAATTAATTATTAAATAATATTGATGGTATAAATCTTCTAGTTTTTAATTGCTTCAAATAACAAAAGGTGGTTACAAGAGAAGCTAAAACTTTGAGAACCTCCTTATTGCTTTATTCAAATCAAAAATGATGGTTTTAGTTTATATAAATTTTCCGTCTTTTAAAAATTGCAAAAGTTGACTTCTATTGTTGCAACGACTTATAAGTAATTTTAATTTCCTTTCATGCAGCTCAATCTGGCTAACAAAAACAATGAGAATTAAAACTAAAAATTTACTGTAACAAATAATAAATAAACAAAATCATGAAGATATCTAAAATTTATTGGAGAAAATTCACATGCAACGTTGTCTTTTGGGAATTGCTACTGGCACTAACTTTGTAAGAGAATATCCACCATTATTTAAAATTAAATATTTTAAACAATAAATACAATTCTTCGGCTTTTGAAGGTATGCAACTATCACAACTTGCGAGTAGTGCGCGTTGTATAGGCTTTCAAAAATCAGCTATGCTTAATGCATACCCTTTTGTGAGATTTTCCTGCAGAGTGTGGCATTGAGGTGGCTGAGATGGTCCAGTTTTGGCTTGAGATCACAGTCTACTTCACCAATGGTGTAAGAGTCGAAGGGGTCGGCGCATCTGGGGTCGTACTCGGAGTTGCACTCGTAGCATTTGATGCACTCTCCTGCATAACCAAACCACGCATCAGAATTTTGCAATTTTCTTTAATAAATTAGGAACAAGAAACTGTCGAGATTCAGTAAAAATTTGGAATTGCGTAGAAGAAATTTAACTAAACCGTATATTTAACTTATAAGTATTTTAATTTTTTTTTTCAATTATTTTCAAGCAATAAATGAGGCTCACTGCGGCGGATTTGATCTCCAAAGTTTAAAAAAAAAATTGCTAAAGGTGGTGCCGTTTTGTCCAACGATTACTTTCAAAAATTTAATTTAAACAATGTGAGGTCGCCATTGGAAAAATTAAAAAAGTAATAATAAATCATTCAAAAGTCAAAACCTTTCCCTCAGTTTATTTTTATCGTTTTCGCACCCGAATTTAAATTTAAATAAAGGCTAGACAGTATTTTTTATTCGGTCAGATCACCCGTTGCGTGGGGCTGAAAATACACAAAGAAAATAGCCGGCATTCGTTATAAAACGAATAAAACTATCGATCAGTATGTATAGTGAAAGAGGGGCTGGTATTCTTGGGGGAAAGTAGCGCACGTCACCGCGGGAACTTTTACGTCATGTCTTGTGATGTTTCGCCGCAAGTCCATAGATGACCCAGTCGCGCGCGATTAGGTCGGTCGGAAAATACATTTATTACCCCCACCCTGAATCGCCTCGATTGATTCCGTGATACTAAATCGTTGCTCGTCCATTTGACCCTCTTAAGACAATGGAATATTTAGGACACCCCCTTGCACATCGATAAAATTCAAATTCATTCAAGGCCTGCTTATCAGCAAAGTAAAAAATAGCACCGAGTTTTATTTTGCAAAAGGGGTAGAAAATTCGCCTGTGGTAATGGCTTTGGAAGCACTCTTGTGAGTTATTTGCCAAATCAGCAGCAGACGTTTGCTTTCCTGTGCGAAAAAAGAGCGTGACACTTTGCTGATGAGCCGAGTTGATTTATTTTACGAGCCATTCGCCCTTTATTGGTATTTTAGCGCAGACATTTAGAGTGGAGACCCTTCTTAAACCTTTTATACTTATCGTAAAAGTTTCAGAGGGAAAGAAAATTTTTTAATGAATAGAGCCACAAAGTTCAAATGTGCTTATTTTAATGAAAAAAATTAACAATCATGGAGGAAAAATGGAAACTGAACCTAAATTAAATTTGAAAGTTGCTAGAATTAAATTATTTATTAAGTTTCTAAAGGTGTTTTTCTATTATAAACAATTTTTATATTAATTCTGAAAATTTTAATAGAATGCATTATTCTTCGTTGAAACTTGATATTAAACCACTTCATGGTTTATATTTCTTTATAATGCTCATTAGAAACAAGTTAGGGAAGCAACAATTTTGATAAAATTTTGAAGTTATTTTGGTTTTAAATAAATGATCAAGACAATTTTTCAACCTTACTGCAGTTTAAAAATTCATTTCTTTTCCTTGCTTCCGCGATGGAAAAAAAATTTTAAGCAACGGGTGCCATATTTATCCGGGTACAGCGTCTGGCTGCGCTAAAGTCCCGACAAAAGAGGCATTGTTTCCCTCAAGGGCCATTTCACTCGGGACACAGGTAAGAAAATTCATGCAAATCGAGGGTGCCGTGAAGAAAAGGGGCGAGCACGTGGCGTGACTAAGGGGGAGAGGGAAAATCAAAAGGCGGCTAGTGCAGTGCACGAGCGAGTATCGATCCCGGACCACCAGACTGGGTGCACCCTCTGAGACCCCTAGCACTACCCCGGACTCGCCGCGTACCAACGAACAAGAAATGCCCCCGAGGAAAACAGGAATGGAGACGAAAAACTTAAAAAACGAGGAGCCAAGAATGTGTTTTAAAACATTAATAAATATTTTCAGAAGAACTGAGAAAAAAGTAAAAAAGAATTTCCCATGGCTTGACAGATTGGCAACACTGTCGGCGAGGTATTAAGGTCAAAGGTCACGGAATGACACTACTTATACAATCGGATCGGTTTCAAGTGGAACATTTTCCTTTAGAGATATTGATTGATTTTGACCTTCTTAATTATAAAATAAATACAAATATATTGTTTCTTTTTTACTTATTTTACTTATGTAATAGTCGATAGAATTTTTATCCTCCTATTCGCAAGAGGGGAAATATCTGGTTCGATTATGTGGACGTTAAAAAACTTGTAGGTGTTCCTGGTTAGATTATCAATGGAACTTTTGGAGCTTCTGGGGTGGTATATCCGTCACGCTTGGCGTGCACTGACCTGCTGTGGTCGGACGATTTGGAAATGCTTCTCACCAAATTTTTGGTGTTTTCAGTTCGATACAAATTTATTTTCAATAAGAATTCGCAATCGAAGGTTCAATTAATATACTTCAAATTGCCAAAATTAAAATATCTTGATTGTTTTTGTAAGAAATATTTGAAAGAAAAAAATCTGAATTTGGTTTTTTTTTTTAATTTATACTTAATACTCAACGTTCAGCTCTTTTTTATATAATCAATTTTGCTAAGTAAGTTTTTCAATTTCAATGCTTTCCATATTATTAACATTTATTTTAAAGATTTCTCCCCAAATTTAATACATCTTTGAAATTGATGGCATTTTCTATTTTTAGTATTTTATAACATTAACAAATTGATTCAATCATATGTAAAATTGATAATTTTCTATCATATATCGATAGTTGCGGCAGGCCGAGTTTTGTGAAAAGGCCGGGCCAAAAGCACATGGTCTGAGTTTATGCCGCATAGCGACGAGGAAAGTGGGTCGTGAAAGCAGCCACGGGGTAAATATCGATCTGCCGCCCCAAACCATTCGACGAGCAAAACTCCCCCTCACCTATTCGACTATTTTACTCTTCGAACCAATTCGGCCCAACAACAAACTCGCGGCGATTAATTTTCATTAGCTACCAGTTAATCTCGTTCATTAACGCGGAAATCAATAAAATGTACATGTTACATAAAAGTTTGACGCGCGAAATGGTGAATTTTTTCAAGCACCGAAGCAGCCACAGGCTAATTAATGAGTAGCGAGCTTTGATCATTTGACAATGCACCTCTTTTAATAATTCTGCGCCGAAAGCAAATCGCCTCCTCCTTCTGCTTCTTCCTTGCCACAGGCGCTCGCCCAACTACTTCTTTAGCAAACATCTCTGTCGGTCTGTTTTTTACTAATCTTGATCCTGCCTTTTTGTGCCACACCGATCTTGAATTCTTTCTTTCTTTCTTCTGTGCAACGAGTACTTTCTCGTTGCTCTTTATCTGAATTGCAAATTTGACGGTAAAATTCCACCTCGGAGAAAATATCTAAACACATATAAATTAATCGATACTCTGATCTTCGTGATATTAGGTCGTTTTGTGTCATGGAAAACTGGTTATATTCTTTGATGGCCGCCGTACGTGCGTGAGGAGCGCGAATTAAGAGCCGATCAATCAACCATTTATTTTTAATTCTCCTCACGCACAAACCTGCAAGACTAAAATTAATAATGATATGCGTCCAAAAATCCACAAATGCATTTAATAGCCACATTTTATTTTTCAGCGTATTTGTCTGTGCGCAATTGTGCGTGCGTTTGCGGGAATTGGCTTTTGTTAACGCAGAGGAGAAGAGAAATGAGAGATGCTCTTCAGAGTATCAAGTGCCTCAAGTGCCTGGGGCAACGAGGTCTGTACTGGCCGTGGCAAAAAGTGGACAGGAAAGTCTGCAAAATCGCCGCAATTATCTCAGTGCCGGGCTACTAAATTATCTCTGAAAAGAGAAATAATATAAAAGGGAACAGCTTGGCCGAGCGTTCACTTGTTCGGAGGTGATGAATTATTTTTAGTTACACGATTTTAATTCTGTACTAGAGAATTTAAAATTATTTCTGTTTTTTCTTTAAAACTTCAAATTCATCCAGAAAAAAAACTCGATTTTGGTTTGATTCACAGTAAAAACTAAAATATATGGGAGCTATTTTAAGCTTACTTTTTTCAATTTTAAAATAATTTAATTCCATTCAATTGATTTATTCTCATTCTAAACAATAATTTGAAATTAATAGTTTTATTTAACAATTATACTGTTTTCTAACCAGGTCAAAACACCAGAAGTTTCAATTTTATATTAATTTTATTTAAATTAATACTTGTTAATCTATATCTAGAAATTTCGCAAATTTGAAAAAATAAATATCAGGCGCAGGCAATTTTTGCAAGGGGGTGAATTTTGTGTTCGACAGTGGTATCCATAGTTACTACAGGCAACGAAAATCAATAGCCTCAAAAATAGGTGCGTGAGTTCCTCCTAGATGCTCGACTTGAATTTAATTTGCTTTCAGGTCGAACAAGTTTTGAACTTATTTTGTGTCTCTTTTTGACAGAGCGTAAGGCGTCCGCACTCTTGATCGACTTTTTGTGCGCGCCGAGGAAAATGGACCCTGCTCGGCGCCCAAATTGCTTTGCGTGCCGCCCCAAAATCAATGAGCCACATCCCTTAATTTATTCATTCAAGATATCGTCAGAATTTGAATGAGATCTAAAAGAATTTCGGAACAATTTATTTTACCTCCCAAAGCTTATAACTCCAAATTTAATTTCTCGGTGTTATATAAACAAGGTCATTATGTCACTTATTTAAAGTTTGTTTGCTATAAAAAATATCAATTTAATCTTTTAATGATATTCTGACTTGAAGATTCTGTTTGTGAGGTTCTTTGTCCTGCGGGAAAAACAACTCACCCTGAGGCGCGAGGAAACAAAGGACGAGGCCGATCACGAGCAGAGTCCAGGTCGAGCCACTCGAGAACTCCATGGCGAATTCTGCTGCTTTTGTACTTCTTGCTCTCGAATCGCCGACTTCAGCTTTTTGGCTGCACGACGGCCACCTTCGACCCGGCAGCAGCAAAAGAGCCCTGCTGCGGATCCTTGCTCGACACCAGGTCGCGCTGGTCGCGGTGCGCAAGCCCGACAAAAACACGGCGGCGCCCCTCTCCCGGCACCCCTCTGCCGAGAAACAACGTACCATGTAATTTTTGCTTGTCCAACAGAAGTATATAATTTTTTTATTAACAGGCCACTCAGCTGATTACATAATTGGCCCGGCGAATAATTTATAAAAAAAAAAAGATAAATTTCTCACCATCTCATTTTAATGAATTCAATATATTAAATTTTTTAATAGAAATTATTTTTAAATTAAAATTAGCAAACTTTTATAAAAAATTATTTGTAAATTAATTGAAAACCTGGTCATGAAATAAATCTTTTAGTGGAAAATTCCAATTTAAAATTGGCATCTTATTTTTTTCATTATATTGTTCTATTCTTCTTTCAAGTCTTGCCGTTAATTTTAAAATTTTTAACTGAAAACTTATCAAATATTTTATTAATTTTGGCGGTACTCTTAAATAAAAGGCAATCGTAAATTTTAGGCTTAAATCTTTTAGATTTCGTACATATATTTTTGTGGTTAATAAATCCAGTGCGGCTGCAGTCTTATGGATACACATCATGATTTAATTCTATTTTGTTACTGCAAAACAAAAATATGGCCTGCATTGAACTGCACAAAGTTAACATACAGAAAAATTTGCACTTTCTTTCGTAGTAAAATATATAAAATTATTGTACTGCACCTTGAGAAAATTTTGTTTGTACAATAACCATTAATCAACCTTTTTGCTATAAAAATTTACAAATAAAAATTTTTCAGACCAGAAAAGACATTGGAGACATTTTAAGCACTCGCCCTGAGATGCAGGTTTTTAAATTGGAAGCTTCATTTAATTAGAGGGCATGTGGGCAGAGACGACTTCCCGGACCATTGCGCCTGTAAAATTGGCCCTTTGCTGAATGAGAATTTGCGAGTTTTCTCCCTCGACGGCCACCACCTGCGGCAGTCGGCCGTTTGGGTCCAGTTTGGCGGCGATTTTCGCCACACGGTCGACGCCGCCAGCGTTCAGTTTGGCACCGAGGCCTCTAAATCCGAGAGTCATGCCGGTTTTGTCTGTCAAAAGCACACCCTTGACGTCAGCGGCCTGCATCATCTCGTCCATCGCGGCTTCCAAGTCGTGCTCCATTTTTAGACACCGTTCTCATGCCTGCAAGTGACACACAAAAACAAGCATTTAGAATACATAAGTGTTTATAATTATAAACAAAACAATAAATTTTAATCAAATATGCATAATTGGGTTGGTTTTACAAACAAACAGATGTTAATTAACTGACGTATTTTAGATTTAAATGAAGGATTCAAAATTTTTTAAAAAAAATATTTATGCTGTAAAAGAACTTACAAATTTTTTAATTTAAAATAATTAAATCAAATTGAGCTCAATGTCTCCGTTTTTAGAATTAGAACGTCAGGGCCGACTGCTGTTTACTGAGGAACTACGCCCCCTTTTTTGCGAAATCGGTGGTTTCTGCTGTGCTGCCAACAGAATATTAGAATGAGATAACTGTGGGTCTTTTTTTTTATAATTCAGAGACAAAAAATCCAGAAAAAAATCACATGTGCTGGTTATAAAAACTTTTTAAATTTTAATTATTTACCAAGCGAATGACCTCTTATTCCAAACAAGTAAAAGATATGACGTAACGCAGTTAATTTGGCGCTACTGTTTTTACGTAGAGCTGCTGAAATTTCCTTGTTGATGGCGAATCTTACGCCGGACTCGCCGGTTTTAGGACGGATTTTCGCTTGACCTGCTTAGCCGGTTGGCATCTCAACGAGAATGGATCACAAACTGCTTCTTCTATTCTCGATTTTCGTAAGTTTCGAGTTGATTTTCGCGAACGCGAGTCCTTCGCAGGACTGCCAAAATGCAGGCTTGGCCACTTGTGCCACGAAAGCATTGCTCATTGGCTGTCGCTCGAAGGACCCTTTTATCGCACCATTCCCAACACCTAGGTGACGATAATTTTGTCACAAAAAATCTTGAAAATCGCTAACTTGAATTAACTCCATTATATATAATTAAATTCATGAATTTCGATAAAACTCTAATGTAGAGTTGAACTGACTGTTTTTAATTTTTGCAGACTTTCGTCCTTTTCTACAACCCTACCAATAGTAATGCTGTGCAGCTGAACACCCTGAATATTGACTCTATTCTTGGTAAGGAGCATTAAAGTGATAACATCTCAAGATAAATTTAATCTGTGCATTTCCAGCCACAAATGAGTTGGTCATGGTCAACTTTTACGCCGACTGGTGTCGCTTCAGCAACCTGCTGGCGCCCATTTGGGATGAGGCAGCAACCCTGATTGCTAAGTCGTTCCCTATCCCAGGGAAGGTTGTCCTCGCCAAGGTGGACTGTGACGCCGAAGGAGGAATCGCCACTCGTTACCACATCACAAAGTACCCAACGCTGAAAATCTTCCGCAACGGCCAAGTCACAAAAAAGGAGTACCGAGGTCAGAGGTCGGCCGAAGCCATGCTCGCCTTTGTCAAGAAGCAGATGGAGGACCCGGTGAAGGAGTTCAAAACTGGAGATAAGATTGAAGTAAGTCGATCAAAAAAATTGAAATTTTAATTTCTCTCCACGGATTGATACTAAACCCTAATTAAATTTCAGCCAGCTGCTAGGGCGGTCATTGGAGTTTTTGCTTCTCGTTTGACTCCTGAGTATGACACTTACAGAAAAGCAGCCACTTCTCTTAAGGACGACTGTTCCTTCTACTTCAAAGTGGAGTAAGAATTTTTTATCAATTATCATTTCAAAACTAACCTTGAGCTCTCTTCGAAAGGGCTCTGGACCATAATTTAGAGGCTAAAGGGTAATAAGCTAATTTAAATGCAAAGATTTTGCTTTAAAATTCATTTTATTTCGTAGAGTTTTGACGGAAGCTGCCCTTAGGTATTATTTACTTCAAAAAGTCGCTTCGGCACAGTTTCAAAGTTTTTGCTTCAAGCATTTTTATTTATTTAGTGATGTTTGCTTTAACTTTTTTTCTTATCTTCGCACTAGGTTATTAATTTTATTGAACCATTGGCTTGGACACATTTTCAGATGAATCCCAGTTTAATGCGAATAAGATTTGTAACTTTTTTACTGTCACATTGGTTATGGTTCTAGCTTTGGATAATTAATTTGTGTCACCAAATATTTTATTTGTGAATTTGTTTAGTCTGCCATATGCACAATTGATCATCAGCTTGTTTAATTAAAAAATATTTTTCCAGCGATGTTCCCCCGCCAAGCATAGAATTTGTCAGCAACAATGAACACATTCCCTACTCCGGCGACTTCACCATGTCTGCTATGACCCAGTTCCTGCAACCACTCTGCATTCCTCTTGTCCGTGAAATCACCTTCGAGAATGCGGAAGAGCTTTCCGAGGAAGGCCTTCCTTTCCTCATCCTGTTCCACCGCCCGTCTGATTCGAAGTCCAAGCAGGAGTTCTCCAACTTGGTCAACAGAGAGCTCCGAGAGGAAAAACGTAATAGAAATAAAGTTATTTTATAATAATTCAGATTTGATATTTTCCTAATCTAAAATTGTTTCTTGGGCCGACTGTAAATTTGCAGAAAGTCAACTTTATAGTGAATACTTATATTATAATTCAGTTTCTTGACTTTCACCTGTATCTTTTGCAGAGAACGTGAATTTCCTGACGGCCGACGGTGAGAAATTCTCCCACCCCCTGCACCACCTGGGCAAATCGGATAAAGACCTCCCTCTGCTTGCTATTGACTCGTTCCGCCACATGTACTTGTTCCCCAAGTACGAAGACTCGCTGGTCCCTGGCAAAGTGCTCCAGTTCTTGAAGGACTTGTACTCGGGCAAACTTCATCGCGAGTTCCACTATGGACCCGACGCAACTCAGCAAGCGGCAATCGACGGAAGCAACTCTCAGCCTGTCATCATCACGGCGCCCCCCGAGTCGACGTTCAAGAAACTGGCCCCCTCCAGAAACAGATACACGCTCCTCAGAGACGAACTGTGAATGCCAAAGCTGACATTAATTATTAAATTGTTTGTATGAAGAAAAAATAACATCACCGCTGAAAGTTTGACTTAGCACAGTTGTTTGCAGTCAAATCTTGTTAGACCTGTCCTGATTTTCATAGTCTTATGGAAAAATGTCAATTTTCTTTGCTGCCCCTCTTTTTAAAAGAATGAATGCCTTTTATTCAATACAAAAGTGGTGCTTTTCCTCTTTTGCCTAAATACTTCTTTGCTATTTTACTTCCTATAATTGCGTCCATTGAGACCCTCTAAGTCATGGATTGGAGAGTTCGTAATTTTAAATTTAAGAATAACTTGGGACGAATTCTGTATTCAAAACTTATTTCCGTTCAAAGTTGAATAAAACAATGTACAGGTCCTTCTCCGACTTGGGAGGGTCATTGTTTAAGAAAGTTCTTTAAAAAAAATCTTTTTCAACTAATTGAATGAATAAAGACAAAACCGTGACAAAGAATGGATGCTTTCTTTTTATGTTTGTTGGAAATTTTATTGTTGTCCTTGAGCGAGTGATGGCGTAACTGAGAGAGTAATAATGTGTAAAAATCATGAGCATTCCTCACTAAACGTGGAAAATTGGGTATTTGTGAATTGTTACGATTGTAACCTGCAGTGTGATTAAGAGTAAGCGAGTTTACGTGCATTTGTGTGTATTTGTTTTGATCACTCAAGTCATGCAATAAATTTGAGAAATGCAAAAAAGTTCTGTTAATTATTTATTTAAAACTATATATCACATTTTTAAATTTCCTCGATCAACAGTTTGTATGGTCGAGGGCTCTGGACAAGCCCTTCGAGAGGCTCTAAACTCGGTTGCGGCTCTGCTGTTGGCAGTGAAAACTTGAACTTGAATAGTATGGTGGTGAGGAAAATAAACATTGTGTCTCTGGCTAGGGGCTCTCCAAGGCAAAGTCTTGGCCCTGAGAAAATATATTCATTTTAATACTTTGTTAAAAGAAATGAAATTATTTTTCATACCATGACCAAAAGGCATCGCAAAGGGGTCCTTCAAGTATTTGCCAGTTTCATCAAGGAAGCGTTCAGGACGGAAGTTTTCAGGGTCTATCCAGTGGCTTTTATCCATTTGCAGGCTGTACAAGTTAATTAAGAGGCTTGTACCCTAAAATAGATTTAAATTTAAATAAATATTAACTTTTCAAATTGTTAAAATTAGGAAATATTACTCAGACATTTAATATCAATTTACAATTCAATGAATTTTTTCAAAGAAAATATTTAATTACTTCCACACAACTGACTTCTCAAGCGCAGTTTCTCACCTTGGGCAAATTATAGCCTGAGCTGAGCGTAATGTCATTGTCGGTTGTGTGCGGTGGAGTCATTGGCACCATGCTCGAGTGGCGAAGTGTCTCTTGAACGAACGCGTGGTAGTAATTGAACCTGAAACGCGAGACGTGACCAATTAGCAATAAGCGGCGTGTATGCTGCTACTTTGTGGCACACGCTCATGCCCTATCAAGAATCGAATTTCATCTCGATATGTATTAAACAAAAAATATTATCGATGCGGTGTGTAATTATCCTGATCAATCAATTGGCTTCAATGCCAACCAGCTTATTAATATGACGATCATTGATCATTGCAAGAGTTGCAGCATTGATGAGAGGTATACATTTCGTCAACATATATGATGTTTAAATATAGATTCCTCTCATACAGCTAATTGATGTAGATATTTTTATATTATTTATTCTCCAGCAGCAGTATTTAATTGTCTTTTTGTTTAAAGGAAAAACGAACGATCAGCACAAACTAACATTAGTTTTTTTTTTTTAAATAAAAAAATTTAAGAAGTTAAAAAATGTTTAAAAAAAAATTATTGCTAAAAATTGTGTTATAAAAGAAAAAAAATATATACTTTTGAGCATCTTTGAGGGCCGGTTCCATGCCAGGCGAAATGCTGTGCATCTCCTGGCGCAGTTTTTCCTGAATTCTAGGGAAGCAGGCCAGGTAGAGCAGGGCGAACCCCAGAGCGTTGGAGGTGGTGTCGGTGCCGCCGAGGAACAGATCCATGCACACCACGATCAGTTGCTCCATGTCGAAGGTCGGGTCCTCGCCTTTCTTGACCTCACCGAGAAAAACGTCCATGAAGTCACGGACGACGCCTTCCTCGTAGGTTGCTGCGTGCTGCTCAGCCACATCCTTAAAATTAAAAATTAAAATTAACCCCAATTAAAATCATGCTGTCAATATTATTTCTCGCAAACATGCAAAACATCATGACATCAAAAACTGCAAAACTTCTAGAGGCACAGCAGCAATTTAAATGGTTTTTTTTATTTTTAAATTTCTTGTTTAGTAACTTTTGACCCATCTCAGCGTATATATACCTTTTTTAAGCTCCGCGCCAGACGCGCTGACGTTTCTTTCACGTATATTTCGTATTTTTTTCTATATCTATTGTTTGTAATAAAGAATAAACAATAAAAAAGATAACATAAAAGTTTTGTATCACAAGGTGTGTTAACAGACTTGAACTTTCTTCTCAATTAATTGTATTTTACAAAATATTAAAAATAAACACACTATAAATATATGGCAAAGAAACTATCAACTTTTATAGAAATATTTTATTTTACATTATAATATCTGTTATATGTACATAACAATTTCAAATTTTTTTATTGTAAATTTATCAAAAATTCTGCAAAATTCATTAGTTTGTATTCATTGGAAATAAAAAATTAGCAAACAGTGTCAACAGCGACTATTGCGCCTGCAGGGTGAACTGGTTATGCAATCCGCACCACACGCCTGTTATATAAAATTTTAAACTTTTGTTTTTATAATTTTACATTTTTACTATTATATAATCTCGTAGAGTGCGAAAAATTAATCGATTCGGAACAGATAAACGATCGGCAAATTTGGTCCGTTTAATCAACCTTTGGAGTTTGTTCCAAATTTTCTGCGCATCGAAAAAAAAACATTTTGATAATAAATAACGTTAATGCAACAATACAAAGTGCATTAATATATAACAAGTATCAGTTGAAGACATCAGTTATTATATATATTAATAAAATTGATGAGGTACTTTTATAATTATTGATAATTCGATTATATATGAAAATCCAAAATCTTATCTTTGCAAAAATCAGTTTTTGCATGCAATTTAATCAGTGTTAAAATTAAAACTGTTACATCACGTAGACGCCATTATTTGGAGAAGAAGTACCTAATTTGCCTCTTTGCTATTTAAATTCAAACTTCTTTGAATATAAAAAAAAAAAATTTGGGCACCTTCATATTTTTTTTTGCGGAATTAAAAATTTTTATTAAAAAAACGCGGTGAATTAAAAATTTTACCTTAATATACGATTGGAGGATGTAGGCAGATTTCATCAGTTTCTTGAAGGACGTGTTGACCAACGGTACAAAGCGCAGCCACGTGAAGATCATCATAATCGGATGGCCCTGGCGCGTGAACTCGGTGATGTTCTCCAACAATTCTTTGAACTCTTCGTCCTCATGATCATGTCTCTGTCCGGCCATCATCGCCCAGAGGACGTTGATGACCGATATGGGCAGAAGGTCGTGCACGTGGACGCCTTCAGGGCGGTTACTTCTTGTTCGCATCGCATCAGCCAAAGCCTCTGCCTCATCGCGGATCATCCGCTCGGTGCTGCTTTTCCCAAAGCCAAAGTCGCGCAGGTGGCGGATTGCGAAACGGCGGTGCGTTTTCCACAAATTGCCATCAGCAAAAAGAATTCCTTTTTTTGGTATGGAAAAAAATTAATAAAATGTTTACAATAAATTCTCAATGAAAAATAGAAACTCAATTTGCGTGACTTTTGAATCAAAATAATTAATTTAAATAAATTGGTTTTTAAATTCATGTAATTAATATTTATGTTTAATTTAAAATTTATTTTTTAAATGATTCTTGAAATTTTATATCAAAGTTACAAATCTGTTTTCCAAAATATCTTACAAATACATTAACATAAATTTTGAAATTTAACTAATTGCTTCTGTAAATAAAATTTTCTTTATCATGCCAAAATTTTTTGATAGATCAGCGCTAAAAATTTTGAATATCAAAAGGACTGGAAATTATTGAAAGTATTTAATCTGATCTAATCAAAAAACTCTTTTTTCTATTACAAAGTTCTAAGATTTAAAAATAACTCAACTATTCACTCTTCACTCACCCAAGCGCTTATCAAACGACCGCATTGTAAGGATAACATTAACGGGACGGAAACTGCAGTCTTCTCTTGAGAGCACCTCTTTCACAGCCTCATACCCGTTGACAGCCACGCACCATTTTCCGCCCAACTTAAAGCCTACTAGCGGCCCTTGTATTTTTGACAAAAAGAACAGAACCTCCTGAAACGGGCGTCCTTTGACCAACATTGTCAACCCACCCAGAATGGACTGCTTTGTCAGACCTGACAAGAGAAAGAAATAGAAAAAAATATTTCACTTGTAATATTTTATGAATTAAAACGTACCTGGAGGAAAATTCTCAGGTCTGGTTGAGAAGTAAAATTTGGCCAGTAAAGAGACCAAGATCAAAAGCAAAATTTCCAATAACATCTTGGTTTTTTCTCGAACAGGCAAATTTTAACTGAGATGAACCCAGCAGCTTGCTAAGAAAACGTTCTTTCGTGAAGGCCACTTGATGTCTAAGTTGGCGAGAATATATAGCGGGCGAGCTTGGAGCAAAGCCGAGAGGAGTGGGAATATTTTACGGAAAGAGGCGCAGAGTTGCGCACCATAATCTGGGTCGGACAAATAATTAATTCACAAATCTCCAGCGCCTTTGTGCCTTCAATGTTGCCAGCCAGAATCTTTTGTGTAGCGCAAGAATGCACAAATACAGGTCAAATAGTCAAAATCATTATGACCTCTGCATTTTAAAAACATATATATTAATCAAAAAATTATGATGGCACAGCAAAAATTTAACAAGAAGTTTAATTTAGGACATATTTTTGTTAAAAATTGTTGATTTTCTTTTATGTTTATGTACATTTATCTAAAAACAAAACTATAATTTAGAGTGTTATAAAATATAAAATAAGTTACGTATTCTTTTCAAATTAATACTTAAATTTTAATTATCATATATAAATGCCACAGGGCATATTGTGTAACGTTTTTTAACTAGCAGCTTGCTCCAAAAATGTTTGAGTTGCTACTTTTTTATTTGAGTAAAAGACAAGACAAGTTTACTCCCTCCTAGAGCATGAAAAATAATAATAATAATGCAGTTGTCTAAATAATATTTGTTTGTCTAAGTCATTCTAGCTAATTTAATTGAAAGCAGACGTAAAAAACTTATATAACCGCAGGTATATGGAAAATTGTATGTCAAGAGAAATTTGAACAACTTTGATTGTGCAATAATAAGTTGATAATCAATATCAAGATTAAATTTGATTCTGGCCCTTATTACGTAAAAAATTTCGCAAATTTTTTTATTGCTGTGCAGCAGGTGTATAAAAAGGCAACTTTTTAAACTTTGCACAGCCCACTGACTCATCACACTCACTTGGAATGGATTTCATTATCAGACTCATATATCATGCAAAGGCAACTAACAGATCACAGATTTAAAATATTACCTTTTTAAACTTTCAATGTTGAAAATAGAATTATTTATTGTTAAAACGGGGTAAAAAGTAAAATTTTCACTATTGAATCAGCTCCAGACGTCAGCCGAGTAGCGTTTCTGGGCTTCCATCTTCTTCACGTACGAATTGGCAGCATCGTGGTTCATGTCGCCACCCTCTGCCACCAGCTCCACCACCAAGTTGTGCACATCCCTTGCCATGTTACGAGCATCTCTGAAAACAAGAAAATTCAAAATTGTTATTTTAAACCCACAATTCAAAGTAAAAAAGTTTTACATTTAAATATTTTCAATTTTCAATCACTTAAATAAATTTTATTGCCTTTAATTAATAATATTGCCTTTAATTAATAAAATTGCTTTTGATTAATAAGAAATTCTAAAAATGTCTCACCCGCAGACGTACAGGTGACCATTCTCTTTTCCTAGAATACGCCACAATTCTTCTTTGTGCTGCTTCATCAAATGAGTTACATAAACTTTTTCTGCCTGGTCCCGAGAAAATGCTGCGTGCAACTGCAAAAATGATATTAGTAAAAAGTAAAATTGCACACTTTCATAATTACTTTGAGAACTCCTTTGCTGACGAACTCCTCAAGTTCAGCCTGGTACAAAAAGTCCTGGTCCCGCTTTCGGCAGCCAAAATAGAGAATTGTCTCACCAACAGGTTTACCTAAAATTTCAGAAACTTTTTGTAACTCAAGACATCAAACTCAAGTAAATGAGATTAATATTGTTTCTCTCGTTTTAAATTTCAATCTTTGTTGCTCAAAATTTTATCTAATATTTATTAATTAATAAATAATGTGTTATATTAATATAACACATTATTTGAAAACACCAAAAAACTTTGCAAGTAATTTAAGTATTTGTTTTACCCTGCTCGAGAGCAATGGCACGCTCCTGTAAGAAGCCTCGGAAAGGAGCAATTCCAGTGCCAGGACCAACCATAACCACAGGCGTCTGAGGTCGGGTTGGCAGTCGGAATGCAGAACGACGAACAAAAACAGGAATTTTTTCACCTAGGGCCTTCTTGGCGAGCCAACTTGTGGCAACGCCATTGACAGTGCGACCTGTTGGGGTTTCATAGCGCACTAGAGCTGCTGTCACATGAATCCTATCGGAATGCGCCTAGAAAAAAGGTAAACATTTTATTTTAAATCAAAGTAAAAATTTGTAACTTTTCTTATTGTGTAAATGCGAATTGATGAAATTGAAATCAGGTGATTATAATTTTGTGTCTTTTTTACACACCTTGGGGGAAGACGAGATGGAGTAGTATCTGGCCTGCAGACGAGGCATCAACTCCAGCAAATGATCCAATTTTGGTTTACAAGATTGCAGGTCTTCCAAAACATGCACGATAGACCGATTTTCCTTAATGATCCAGTCCTGGTACTCCTGTTTGCCCTCGACCGATGTACTTGCCATTAGCTTGAGTTTTGCTTTCTCCTGAGAACCATATATTACATTTTATGGTTTAAATAATTATTTCATTGTTAAAAAAAACTTCACTTCAAAGCATAAAAAAATGGTATCCCAAAATTTATTAAAATGAATGTCAATATTCAGCCTTACGATGTCGAGAAAATTATTTGAAATGAAAATTTTGCAATTAAAATCCAGACGAGCCTAAATATTCAACTTACATCAGGGTCAGAGGTGTACTCAGCGATCTCCTTCAGCACGTGAGTTCGAGGATTGCATGTAATGTCAACATAAAAAGATAGAGCCGTTCTGTAAGAGCAAGGGCAAGGGAAGGGATGTTTTTTGCTAGAGTCCTCATCTACGTTGGTTAAAGTGAAGACAATGTCCAGGTTCACCTCCAAGAGCTCACCAATTCGTTCGACCAGAGCTTTATCATTCTCAGGGTACACAGCCACATGATCACCTGGAATTAAAATGCTTTAAATTTTTGAACTCTACTTTTCTTAAATATTCTCCTTACCTGCGTCATATCTGATTTTGGAATCGGTGATTCCCAATTCTATGTGCATGCACGAGCGGTCACTACCGGAGTACAACTCTTTTCTCTCCAGCACAGGCGCCATGAATGGATTTTTGGAATCAAACGGCCTAAATGAGAATTAGGTAAAAAATTTTCTCCAAAAAATAATAAAAGCAAAAACTAACGGGCGCTGCATAGAGAGCGAATGGAGTCGAGCAACCTCTCCTGTATAAGCTCTATCGAGAGCAACTTCGGTGTGCTCAGTAAGGCGGAATTGGCGAATACTTTCTTCCTCACCAGAAGCCTCGATGCCGAAAAATTCACACACAGCAGGCCAAAGACGGTCCTTCCATGTGATGAAATCGTCTTCAATACTGAGTGATAAAATTTGAAATTATATTACAGGAATAAATATCAAATGGTACTTTATTAAAAAATTTTATCCCTTTTGAAAATTTTCTACGATTTACTTTTAAATATTTTTAATAATAAACTATTTAAGAAACAAAAATAAATTATTCAAGAACAGAGAACTGATGAAGGTTTATTTTACCTCCTTTAATTTAAAATTTTAATACCTATAAAATTTATGAAATAGTTCTAAGAAAATCAAATAAACGTCAGTGCAATATTTAATCGATATTGTAATTATGTCTTTAAAATTAAACCTACTTGGCATCATCGTCTCCCAGGCCCATCTCAAAAACTCTAGTTGCTCCCAATTCCTCCAAGCGTTTGTCCACATATTTGGCCATCTCATTGTAGTGTTCATAAGTCTTATTTCCCAATCCAAACACCTACAAACATAATCAAATTTTAATCATCTGTTTGAGAAGGAAATACGAATTTTACAGCATAATTAAGGCCTGCCAATTCAGTGTCTCCGTTTTGAAGCCACTCGAAAAACTCTTGAGCATTATCTGTGGGGTCACCCTCGCCGTAGGTGGCCAGACAGAAAAGGGCCAGCGAATTGGGCAGCTCCTTCATCATGGCCAACTCCTCCATGGCACATTCCTCAGGGTCGGCCAGCATGCCCTTGAGGCGAAACCGGACTCCTTCCTTGGCCAGACGACTCGCAAATTCTTCGGCTGTGCCCGTCTGGCTACCGTAAAAAACCACGAGACTCCTGCCCGAGGCTCGCAGTTTTTGCACAAACGAGGTCTCTGAACTTGACGACGACTCGTACATAGATTGCACGACCCTGAAAAATTTTTGCACAATGTAATTCTCAAATCACGATTGAAGGACAAAAGAATTGAAATCAATGAATATTTTACTCACTGGACGTCATAGTTGATGGAGGGTGTCTGTTGAGGACGCAGTTTCTTCATCAGGAGCCATCCAGCCACACCAACAGTGACCACCAAGAGCAGCATGTCAATTGCACCGAAAATTGCCGCAGACTCGCCCTCTGCCGAGCCCGTCTCCATTTTCACATCGGGCTCCATGCTGCAAAAAGTGTCATTGTTTTTATTACGCAATCGTTGCTGCAAAACATATGATCAGCGAAGTTCAAGGGTATAATAATATAATTTTATACATAAAAATTATCTTTATGTATTTTCTCTTCAATCAAAAGTTAAAAAATGTGATTGTAATTAATTTCACTTGAAAAAAAAGAAAAAAATCACCTCCCCTTTAATTATGAGCCATAAAAAGATCCGCGCTTAAGGTATGCTCATTTCAAGTCTCTCACACTCCCGGCGCGGATCTTTTTATGGCTCGTAATTAATTTCATTCAATATATTTTTCATTAAAAAATGTACTCGAATACATTTGAAAAAGAGTCAATACATGCAGCAAATATTTTTTTTATTAAATTTATTTAATTATTGATAAATGAAAGTTACATTAGAATTTTTGGGAAATTAAAAATAAAAAAAATTGGTATGATAAAAAAAAAAATTCAATCAAATTAAAAATATATATTTTGATCTTGTAAAAATTGAAATAATTTATATAGAACATAATAAATAGCTCCATTACTTTTTTCTTGAAATTTTAATTATACAGAACCTTAAAATATTAAAATCGCTAACTTCTTCATGCTTAAAATTGATTGATTTTTGTACATTTTTCACCTCTTTTCCAATATAAAAAATTTATTTTTAATTTTATTTTAGAAATTGAATTTTCTGCTATTTAACATCAACTAAAAAAACAATTTATTTTAAATTTAATTTAAACTAAATAATAGGTATAACTATGATCAATAATAAATTAATTATATTTTCTTCTTACAAATGCATTGCTAAATAGCTGATAATAAATTTTCGCTATAAAAATTTAATCCTCATTTAAAAAAAAGATGAAATCATGAAAATATTATGTAACAGTAAATAGCACTATATACTTAATTTTTGGTCTCAAATAGAGATTTTTGAGAAATCTTTTTTTTTTAATATGTAATATGTTGTACTGTGACACGAGCCTTCTTTTAGTCTGACGTAGTCAAAATTGTAAAAATAAACTTTCCAGGCTGTTAAAAATAGCTAGAGAGCTGGAGAAAACATATCGCCGAAAAGAAAGGGGCACTATTTAAGGTTGTGCCCCCAATTAGAGACAGACATAATTCACCAGAAAATAATTTAACTTTGAAAATAACTTACGTTTAGAAATAAAAACGTACATCAATGATTTTGCTAAATTAGAGCTGCAGTGTAAACAGTGATAAATGTAAGAAAAAAACATCTCATTGAATCAAGAGCAACAGGTGCTGCAAGTTTTCTGCAAGGTCAAGGTCATTAAGAAGCTGTTTTTTTTTAAATTGATCGGGTCATTATATATATATTTAAAGAAAGACATCCTGCACATACGGTCATTGAAAAATCTTTGATTTAGGTTTCTTGAAAAAAATAAATAAATTAAAAATATCGTCCAGCAGCGCACGTTCTTCTCTGTCTCTCCGCGAGTATCAAAGGTTTGAAAATTCATATTGAAAATTGACTTACGTTCAGCTCCTAGGCGTCGGTGGGAAGGAGCAGCGATTCGAATTGGATCCTGAATTATTTTGGAAGGGCGTATGCCGAGCTAGACCCTGATGAGAGCCGAATTACCCACAAAATCTTCACAGGAATTGCACTTCCCGTCTTCACTTCTTCGCTCCGCTGTTGAATTGAACATTAATTACAGTGTTGCCAACGCTCCAAACGTAAACAACAGAATACCGAGATAGTCAAATCCTTAATTTTTTTTCTTTAAAATCTAAAGAAATGCTGTAAATCAGGATAAAGTTTCTTTTTTGATTAACTTTTTTAAGAGAGAAAAAGCAAAATCTCAATTTGTACAATAATTATTTAAGTTTATACGTCGGAATACTTTTCACATGTTGGTGACCCTGCTGCATTGACGTGAAATGCATAATTAACTTGCAATAATTCACTCTTGCCTTTTTAAAGCAGGTCTGTTTAACCAGATTGAGATAAAAGACATTGCACAGAATTCTATCTAGTTTGCCTCCAACTTTATATTATCAACTCTTAGGAAAATTCAAGGTTTCCGATGATGAAAACAGAGATTACAAAAAATCGTCATTTTACAGATTAAGTTCATCAAGCTCCTTTATTGATAAGAAATAATTTTAAGACATAAAACGCCACAGGTGAAAAATAAAGTTTTGAAGTATGCATACAACTGAAACTTGAAGTATTTTCGTCGATCTTAGGATTATAAATTTACTATCTAAATTCAACAGACAAATTAATTTAATGTATTTGACACAAACTGTGAATTAAGTATGCATTTGCATAAATATGGTGAAACAGAAATTTTAATACCAAATGATCATATGTGGGACAGAGAAACGCCAGTTTGGAATAAGAGATTTGAAATTTACATGATTTCCTTTTAAAATAATCCATTATACTATTACATGGATTTCATTTTGCACAAGAATCTGAGTTGAAGCATTTTTACGTCATCGGGGCCAAGTTTCACGACACCCTCGTTGTTGTCAATAGAAAGCAAAGTTCCTACAGCCTCCCTATCCTCTCCAAGAATGACCTTAACTTGGTCTCCACGTTGAGGGACCACAGGCTCGAGCTGCTCTGAGAGCAAATTGACGACACGATCTTCCTCGGGCAGAAACACACTGCACATGCCACCCTGGATTAAAATAATTTTTAACTTTCAACTCCTGGAAATAAAAATGAATTCTTACAGATATGCCTCGTATTACTCCAGTTTGGCCAATGAGGCCTGGGTCGTCATGGGTGCTCTTGATGCGAACTTCCAAATCAGTCGTGTGCCACTCATGCAGGGTGAGATGCTCCATGCCTGCACCAGGGGTTTGGGGATTGTATGGAGATGAAGCTGTGCCAAGGGGGCTGTAGCTTGAGGGCGATGGAGACTCATAGGGTCCACTGCCAGACGGGGATCCTGAGACTTGATAGCCTCCTCCTAGAGGGCTTGGTGTTGAAACATAACCTCCAGGACTTGGAGTTGCTGAAATAAAATAAAAATAAGGTTCAATAAATGATCTTTATAATGGACAGAAAATTAGAATGGCTCGTTTCCCCCCTCAAATGATAGGACATTTGCATGTTATTAACCGTATTAAATTAGAACTTACGTCTGAATCCAACACTAGGTGATGGTGACGACTGGTAGGGGGAATAGCTGTGGTCCGAACCATACATAGTTCCAGGCGTCTGAGGTGTGTAAGGGCCAGCAGGAGTGTCTGGATTGTAGCCAGGGGTACCTGGAAACATAAAATTTTAATACAGGGACAAAATATCTTAAGGATAAAAACCCACTGGGATTGTAACCAGGCGATGGTGAGTCATCCAGGGCGTAGGAGTCGTCAGCAACACGCGCAGGAGTGTTGACCACAGTAGGGTCCCAGGCTCCTGTTCCAGGAGTGCGGGAACCATCGTGGGAAGGAGTCATGCTGCCGTAATGGGGAGTCCTTGACCCAACTTAAAATAAAAGTGCATTTATGAGCCTACAGGTAATAAAAATTTTTTATCAAAGGATCTTATTTGACCATTGAACAATAAAAAATTTAAAAATGACCAGGAAAATTAAATTCACTTAATATTGGTAGAAGATAAAAATGATAAATTCAACTTACCATCGTACATAGGCGTTTGATTGCCATGCATAGGTGTCTTTGAGCCTTCTCCTCTGTACATTGGGGTACCAGCTCCACCCCCTCCATAGTGAGCAGCAACTGGAGTTCTGCTGTAGGTGGTGTAAGAGCCATCCTTGGTTGGCACGCCGACTCCAGCAATGTGACTCCGGTCGACAGATATAGTCTGGCAAGTTGAATGCAACTCGACTCTTGCAGTTGACTCGGTGGCGTCCTTGACAATGCCCACATTACCTTTGTAGGGCCCTCCTGTTATCTTGATGGTTGTGCCAATGAGCTGGCGATCTCGACGGATGTTGCCACCGCCACCTCCTGCTCCTCCACCTCGTCGGCCGCCTCTACCACCCCCGCCACCACTCGAGGGATGAGCTGGAGATGTGATTCGGGGTGACATGATTCTTGGAGACATGAAACCACTCGCTCCACCGGAGGCTGCAGTTGCAGCACTCACAGCCTAAAATAACAGAATATAGAAAGTGTCAAATATTGCTCCTTTAGAATATTGAAGTTTCAGTGAAAATCGATTAAGTTTTGAAAAACCACTGCACCTTTCCACCTCCTGCCAGAAGTACGTGTCTAGTTTTGCAGACAAAAATGCCTCCGTTTTCAAGAAAGAGTCGAGAATGCAAGAAAGCACAGTTTCGATACAAGTGCTTGATTTCTCCTTCACGACCCTGTGAAATAATATGTAAACGCTGCTCAACTGTTTTAATTAATTTCACTTACGGCATGTGGACCATCCACAACCTTAACGATGTCTCGGACTTGGATTGGGTTCTGTTCCAAGTCGAGGGCCTGTGCATTACGGTTTTCTCGCTTCTTCTGAAGTGTCTGTGGTTTAGCTTCCACAAGCTTGCCGCTCATTGACAATATCTGGAAACTTTCTTTTTCCAGACGAACTATTACACCAACAGTCTGTGCACTATAGTACATAAAATTTTTAGTTTCTTTAGTCATCACAGGAATTTTAACCTACTCAAGCATGACAAGATCTCCCCACTGGAATTGACCCAGGGAGTCGACACCAGTAGCCATGTCTGTGCAGAGCTGCAAGTCCCTTGGAAGGACCTCAAGTTCGTGCATGGTCAAGTCGGAAAAGAGTACAACCCTGTTGTCTTCAACTCGAATGATGAGGCCAGTGTCTCCTTCATATCTTCCCTTCAACACTTTGACATGGTCTCCTTGTTTAAAGAATTTCCTCAACTCACTAGCTTGGAACTCCAGAGGCTCCTGAATGGACATTAAAAAAAAAAAAAAAATTAGATTTCCCTTCCAAAAATTATATTCGACGTACAATGAGCTCGTCGTGCTTGGGCAATATAGTGATTTTATTGCCCTCTATGGTGGCTATTTTTCCTTGCAGATGCATCAATTCGCCTTCACAAACTTCGACCACATCACCAGTGGCAAAAGAATGGCCCACTTCCTCTTTGGCCGACACATTTGCAGAAAGCTCAATGTCCAGACCTTCAGGAGACTCCTCAAATTTCTCCAATTCACTAAGAGTTGGCTTGACTCCTGAAAAGTAAAGCAAAATTTTTGTTCATTTGGTTTTATCATTATTTAAATTTACTAACCGTCAGCAAGGATTGCGCTCATGGGAAAGTTTTTGTACAAGAAACCCTTTCTTGAAAAACGGTTGCTCTCAAAAATGAGAAAATCGCCGTCTCTTGTGACTTCTCCTCCTATTGCTCTGACAGCTTCAGGGTCAAAAAGTTTTGCAGCTGGTCGTCGGAACTTCTTTCTCTTATTGGCATCAGCCTAAGTTTAAACAACCACATTTAATCAAGTAAGTAATATACAGTTTTGATGATATCTACCTGTGATGATCGTAGAGCGCCTCTTAGTTTAGTGTAATCAATGCGAGGCAACAATTTTAGATGGACAGTATTCTGTGCCAAGTCTACGTAATCGACCTGACCGATGTCATCTTTGAAAATTCCTCTCTTCAGGCGAACCCACTGCTTTGCCTTAAGACCCGACTGTTCTCTCACAACTCTTAGCACGTCTGTCATTTCTTTGATAGGAACCATCTGTGAAAATTTAAATTAATTTTCTGAGGACACTTCCACAAATGGCTGACCTGTTGCTGCCACTGGCCCATACGTAAGTTACCAACGTTTGCAATCAGTTGCTTAACATGTGTCTGCTTGAAGGCCTCTATGTAAATATAGCCTTTTGCACCTTCAGGAGCAACAACACTTTTTATCTGCAGAGGCTCTGCAGTGCTCAAGTAGGCCACAAATTTCCTCATTAGCAGAAGACAAGTCCCTTTTTCTTCACCCATCCTGCACTTGACCATCCAAAGATTAGGGTCCCTACACATTAAAAATTCATTAAACAATGGCTGAAGTTTAAGGGAAAAAGGAAATTACTTGACACCGGGAAGAAGAGTTTGTTGAGTGATTTCATCGGACATTTCTTCACCACCATCTCCAAAATGCCTTGCAACAGCTCCCTCATCAGCATACTTGTTACGCAAATACTCTTCCAATTCATCTTCTTTATGTGAACTGCAAATAATTATAAAATTAATATTTATATCACAAAATTATGGTGACGTGACGCACTCCCAAATATTGTGACCACGACGCCGGCCTTCAATTTCTCTGGCGGTAGGGCCCAGTTCATCGTCGTTTCCAACAAAGCCTGCTGGTTCGGCCCCTTCTTCCCACTCATCATCTTCGTCCACGTCAGAGTCAACTTCAGCCTCATCGATGATGAACCCTCCATACCGGTCTTTCTTTTTCTTCTTGTTAGGCCGGTCATAGTCATCCTCTTCTTCTTCCTCGTCGTATTCCTCCTGAATTTAACATTTGATAATTTGAGCTGCAAACTAAAATCTTTGCTAACCTCTTGCTCGGGCTCTTTTTCTTCTTCCTCGGACCCGCTGTCCACCTGCCTTTTCTTGGACTTCTTCTTACTCTTAGATGGTTTTGGTTCTTCAGCTTCGCTATCACTCGAGTTGTTTTTTTCAGACTCGGACCCTTTCTCACTTTTTTCAGAAGGCTCGTCTGAACCGCTCTCTGCCCCTTTATTTTCCCACATATTATCCTCACTATCCGACATGATTCAGATGGTAAAAAATTGGAAAATTCACAAGAAAAACACCTACAACCCCATACAACGCTCCAAGTTGAATAAGAATGGGAAATATGGGCGCCATGTTGGATTTGGTTGCTAAGTGAAAAATACCGGTTATTTAATTTTTTTCTCAGCTCTATAAACATGTAATAAAATAATCTTTTTATCTAAACTAAATTTACAAAGCTGTATTTACATAATAAAGTGTCTATTTGATAAACTATTTTAATTAATTTTTCACATCAATTATTTTAATTAAAACCGGTTACTTTTTAGTTTTACATTACTTTCATTGGGAAACAAGTGCACAGAAAATCAACCGGTTACCGATTTGCTGGAATTCATCTTCAAGGAGTTTTCAGACAAAAGAGAGCGAAATGAGTGTCTCGGCGCGCAGCGTCAAACAAAATGGCCGCTAAGAGGTCGTGAAGAAAAGATCTAGAAAAATGATCTTTTACAAGTTAGCCGATGCTTAAAAATACAAATTTCCACAATTTGGAATTGTGGTTTAACAATTACAATTTTGAAAACGCACTAAAAAAAGGTGCGACACTATTTTTGAAAGAGGAAGCGAATTGAAGTGACAGCGCGAACCTCCTTGGCGCTTAGATTGGCAGCTTGGACAGCGAAAACAGACGGACGACGGACTGCAGATTGGACTGAGCGTCCGATCGTTGTCTAGAGCCGCGTCTGATATTTGCAGACGGCCGACTGATACGCGTACAAGCGTCCTGATGCCCTGAGGGCGCTAACTTTGAAACCGCAGCTCGCCATGGTGAGAATTCGGCCGCTGGGGGCGGGGCCGCTCCCAAACAGCCCCTTCGGCTGACCCTTCGGCCGCCCACTTGCATTTTGGCCGACGCCTTTTCACCCTTGCTAATTTCAACCCTGTTACAGGTTTAGCCACGATCGCCGTCGAGCTGATCTCCGCTAAGATGTCCTCGCAGAGACTGAAGCGCCAGCAGAGTCGAACTGACGACTCAGGTACGGTCCAGGACACTGCGACCCCCTTTTCTGAACCACCACCCCCGAAGTCCACTTTCGGCTTTAGAAATCTACAAATTTGGCCCACAGTTATATAAATTTGGTATAATTTTATTTCAAAGTTCCATAATGCTGCTCTTTTTAGGACTTTGTCATTAAGAGCCTATTGCTTGGGGAACCAAAACAATGGGGCCTGATCACCCAAACAATCCCAATTGACAATGAATGTGAACATTTTCATTCACATTTCACAGTAATTTTTACTTTTAATGCTCAAAATTACACTTACAGCGCCACTGACTCAATCTTTTACTAGATTTTAGACTTTTTATAGTGATATTCCCGCAATTATGTTTTTTCAAACCATATTGTTTTCATTGGAAATCTCAATTGTTTTATTACCTTGATATGAAAATAATAAAATATAAATTTTCAGTTCCCAACAAGCGGCGCAAAGGCCGGGGCAAAAACGAGGCGGCTGCATTTTTGTCGCCATCAGACGACTCAGACAGCGGTGGTCCCAGTGTTTGGACGCCTGGGCCTCTCTCCGATCTCAAGATGTCTAACATCTACAATCGGAGCGCCCCTGAGGCACCGGCTGAACTCTTTCGCAAGGACTTGATATCAGCCATGAAGATTCCAGACTCAGAACCGCTCGCCCCTGATGAGTACTGGACAATATCAGACACCTGGAAGCAGGAGTGGGAGTCTGGCGTGCAGGTGCCTGTCAACCCAGACTCCCTGCCTGAGCCGGCTGTAACAGTTGCTAACCATCACTTATTATCACCACGCAGATCAGAGTTCAAATTGTATGAAATTTGTTTGAAACATTTTGTTTTTCACTTAAACATAAATTATTTCTTTCCAGGCCCAAAGGGAAGTTGATTCGCATCACGAAGAGTGCAGATTTCAATGCAGAATGCCATTACCTCTCAAATGCACCTGCTGAAGCTGATAGGGCGTGTATATACGATCTGGATGATGTAGATGTAGTATGGCTCAATAACCTTAATGGAGAGCGCGCCCTAATGGGTAAATTGTTATTATTTTATGTTTGCAAAACATAACACATAATTATTGTTAAGGTTTGTGGCCAATCCAAGAAGATCAGTTGGAGCGCATGATGGAGGAACTAGAAGTCACGTGCTGGAAGAAAATCCAGAGTATAGTACGGTCTGAGGAAGGTCTAGGCATTGAATTTGACGAGAATACAATCTGCGATGTTTGCCGATCGGTGAGTTTTGTAAGCCAATTTTTAAAAAATAATTAGAAGGAAAACTAAAATGTGATATAATTTAATATAAGTTCAAAAATATAACAAGGCTTTCATTGAAAGCTATCTTGATTTGCAACTTTAAATGTTACAGCCTGACTCAGAGGAAGGCAACGAAATGGTCTTCTGTGACGTCTGCAATATATGTGTACACCAGGCGTGTTATGGTATAACTTCAATTCCAGCAGGTAAGATTATCATTAAAGATTTTTAAAACTCTATAAATGAAAAGTAAAAATTATGTTCTTGGTTTTAAATTGTTATGGCTTTTAATAATTTGATTCACTTCTTTGACGCAGGATCCTGGCTTTGCCGAACGTGTGCACTGTCCATCCGGCCAGAGTGTGTTTTATGCCCAAACCGTGGTGGTGCAATGAAATGTACTCGCTCCGGTCACAAGTGGGCCCATGTTAGTTGTGCTCTCTGGATTCCTGAGGTCAGCATAGGCAGCGTTGAACGCATGGAGCCAATTACAAAAATATCAGGCATACCTGTAAGTCATTTGGCATTGTCTTTATACTTCAATAATTTATATATTTGAATTATATAGTTAATTATTTATCATATGTTTAAATTGCAGCAAAGTCGATGGCAACTAGTATGTACTCTATGTAGGGAAAAATGTGGTGCGTGCATCCAGTGTTCAGTCAAGACGTGCAAAACGGCCTACCATGTGACCTGTGGCTTTAAGCACGGCCTTGAAATGAAAGCAATTGTAGAAGATGATGCCGAAGATGGAGTCAAGCTCAGAGTATAAAATTCCCCCTGAAATGTTTCATGAAAGTGGAAACTGATTGTTTTTTTGTGCAGAGCTACTGTTCCAAACACAGCAAGAGCGGCTTCACCAATAAACAGAAGATTAACAAAACGAGTCCGAATCACGAAATGGAAAACAAAAAGAGGAAGCGCAAAGAGCTGACCTCCGAGGAACAAATTCAAGCAAAGGCAGCCAAGTAAGATTTTTTTGTTCTGAATTTAGCAATAAGACCTAGTCCTGTAAGTTTCTGAAATGGGTTCTTTTCCAGTGATTTTCAATTTGTTGGTAAATGAAAAATAATATCAGTACTTAAAGTTGCAAATTAATTTTTGATTCTATTGTTTGTTTAGGCTAATTGAAATCGAGGCCACTTTTGACAAACACGTGAGCATTAAGGATTTGATTATGCGACACTTCGATCTTGACCAGGAGGCAGTAACATCCATTTACAATTTCTGGAAGATTAAAAGACGGGTAAGTGAATGTTTTTTAAGTATTTTATTATAATGTATAACAAAAAACAAACCGGTGTTAAAAATCTTTTCACCTCTTGTTTACTTATTTATTTTTTTAATTTTTTTTTTTAATTTGGAACCTTGAAGTAAAGGCTTTATTTAATAATTTGACATTTTTCACAGGCTGGAGGAAATCGGCCATTGATCTCTCCACCCTCGGATGACCCTGACCTTCTTGGCAAAACTCCTGCACAAGCTGATCAAGAAAAGCTACGCATGTTTGTCCAGCTGCGCCAGGATCTTGAGAGAGTGCGCCACAGCAATTTCATGAATCAAACTTTTTACTAATGCATATTATTCCAATAGGTGCGCAATTTGTGTTACATGGTCAGCCGGAGGGAAAAGCTATCAAGGAGTATGTTGAGGACTAGAGAGCAGACTTTCCACAAGCAAGTGAGCGTATTGACTGGAGCAGCTGGTAGCCTGCCTAAAGAGGAGGCACTTGCAGTGTTGGCTGCAAATCACGGCCCCTCAATTTATGATGCACTGTATTCCCATGACCAGGAAAATCGTGTACCTTTAGATCTGGAAACATTAGTGTCGCGCATTGTAGGCCCTAATAGGCAGGTGGCCAAGGAGCGGGCACGACCACCTCGAAGACACAGCCTCTCCAGTTTCTCCACATCAGACAGTGAACCAGAAAAGACTGTTAAAAAAGCCTCAGTCAGTTCTGAGAGTGAGTCTGAGTTGGCGAAACTTGCCAAGCGGCCGCAGGTGGGTGGCCATCAGATTTCTATATACTCAGACTCGTCAACAGACGATTCAGACGATGAGGCAGCCAACAGGCTGATACGCACAAAGGCGGCTGTTAAGGAGTTTCACAAAAAACAGGCTGCCAAAGAGGGCAAAGAGTCGAAGCCAATTATTGTGCCACAAAGACAAGCAGCAAAGAAGGCAACCGAGAGCATTAAGGCTGCTGAAACGAAGCCCAAGAAGGATGATGCTTTTAATGGCGGCTATGTTCCTCAGCGAGCGGCAGCCAAGAAAGCTTCTGAAAGCATTAAGTGTCTCGGTGGAAACCATGAGGATGCCACCAAGCGACCCAAGGAGGACCTGTTTGGCAGTGCCTTGGCACAAATGGACAAGTCCTTTCTTGGTGGCCGCAAGGCAGTTGCAGCAGCTGCTTCTGCAACACCTGCAACAACAACATCGACTACACCCGCAGCTGGAGGGGTGCGGGGGCAGCGTCGTAGGGCGCCCGAAGCCGCTGGTAGGAAGCTTAAAACTTCCGAAGAGCGGCCACGGCCGCTCCTCGACGCAGAAAAGCCCAGTCCGAAGGCTCGAGTTGCTCCTGCAGCAAGGCCAGATGCTGTCGCTCGGCCCCCCGCGACAGTCACAAAAGCAGTTTCCCCCTCTGGCTCCTCCTCGGGGGGCTCCTCCTCCAGCAGCAGCAGCTCGGGGGGTTCCTCAGAGTCCTCCGACTCTTCAGATTCAGACTCTGAAAGCTCAAACTCCTCAAGTCGCTCAGCGAAGAGCCCTGCGCGAGCTACGCTCCCGCCCCCTGCTGCTTCCGCCCCCGTCACGGTCGAGGCGCCTTGGAAGAGAGAACCTGAGGCGCCCCCGTTGACTCCTCCCCCTGTCCCCAGTCCGCCTCCACCACTGAGACGAACACGTCTATCCTCCGCATCCCTCAGCCCGGTTAAAAAGCAACAAACGCCCCCGAGAATAATTACTCCACCCCCAAGAGTCCCAACACCACCCCCAAAAGTTCCCACCCCGCAGCCGCCCCCAGTCAAAAGTCCTCCCCGAGCACCACCAGCACGGTCAATATTTTCTCCACAGCACCAGCTGCATGAACTGGATGAAGACTTTGAGAAGGAAATCCTAGCCGTTGACGAGACGCACTTAAAGGGTCTGAACAAAGGGTTGCCAACCTTTGGTGCCGATGACGTCTCTGACCGGGGCTTCAGCTTCGTCAACGAGGTATTTTTCAAAGAGGACACCAAGGAGGACTCGACGCGGGAAACGCTCAACCTTGTCGAAAAGCTCCGGCTCGAGTATGCCAAGAAATCCTCCGAAGACGTGGTGCCTCCACCAACTGAACCACCGGATATCGCATGTCCAGGGCCACCCGAGGTGGTCACCTTGCCGGACAAACAAGAAAGAGAACCGACGCCGCCCCCGGAGCCCACGCCTCCGCCAGCCCCTGCGTTGGAACCGGAGCCCCCTCCTTACCAATCGCCGTTGCCACCGCCCCCAGTTGTAAATACGCCAGCTGCTCCTACCCCGATGACCCCAATGCCCCTCAACTCTACGGAATTCATGAGCCAAAAGTGGTCAGAGTCTGAGATGCTGCCCCATAGGAGAAACTCGACCAGCTCTTCCAATGAATCAGAGGAGGAACCTGAGGCAGAGCCGCTCCCGGCTCCTCCGCCACAGGTGCCTCCTCCGGTTGATATGCAGCCGGCCTTCGACTTCTACCACAACATGTACGCGACTGAACGCTTCATCAACCCCTTCCTCGCATCTTACCAGTCGATGTTGCCCCCGAGCATGGAACAGCCACCCCCAGTTGCCGCCCCACCGCATTCTGCTGCATTTACAGCCTCGCAGCAGAACATGGCTTTCATGGCCGCTCTGGCAAACATGCCCCTGAACAATCAACCCTTCTTGCCACCGCCGGCGCCTCCGCCACCCCAACCAACTCCTCCCCCTCTTCAGTCGGCGCCACCGATTCAGACTGCTCCTCAGGTACAAACGGCGCCGCCTCCTCAACCAGCCATGCCACCTCCACAGCCCGCTTTGCCACCTCCGATGGTCTTGGAGCCAGAGTTGGAAAAGGTTCCCTTTGTGGCACCGCCAGTGCCGCCTGCGGTTAAAAAGCCGCCCCAAAAACCGACTCGCATATCAGCACGAGTTGTCCCTCCGAAAGCAGCGCCGCCACCTCCTACCCCTCACCGGTCACCAAGAAGAGGTCGAGGTGGAGGTCGCGGAGGGGGCAGAGGGCGTGGCAGACCCAGAGGTGCGGCACGTGGCACTCCAATGCCCAACAAGTTCAGCGGGACGGTTTACGACTTTGAGGAGGACGAGTTTGGAGGCGACAACGACGCTGTGGAGGGACTCAAGGCCATGCGAGAGCGGCGCCGCAGCGTCGACACTGCCCACCGATTTGATACGGAGCCTACAGGTTACGACGAGCCTTTGCCACCTCCGCCAGACGAGGAGGATGAAGTGCCGGCACCTCTGGAAGCCACCGAGGCGGTGCCAGCAGTGGCGCCGCTACTTCCAGGGCCAGTGGATCTCCGAAGTTACGCCATTTGCGAAGCGGCGCCGCCCGAGCCACCTCCCGAACCGTTGCCACCTCCTCCGGAGCCACCAGAACGCAGCCAGCTCAAGGTCAAAATCAAAGGTCCCTTCCTGGAACAGCGGCCTCCATTGCCGCCTCCGGGGGCAGGGGCGCCGACCACCGTTCCAAGTGGGGGCGCCGCGGCCTCTGGAGACGTGCGGCGAATGCGAAAGAAGGAACTGCTTCGGCAGTACTGGACCGAGGAGCCAGGCCTAGGAGCCGGAGGTGGTCCAGGGGCGGCGACCAGCCCCCAGCGGACGACCATCACGATTCCAAAGGCTGTGGCGTCGATGACGTCCATTCCGACCAGAGACGACTACAAGTCCATCGTCGACCTGGCCAACTCTGAGAAGAAAAAGCGACGGCTGGAGACGGGCCTAGACGCAGCTGCAGCCGCCTCCAACAAAAAGCGGGGGCGGCCCAGCAAGGTTGATGAAACGGTTCCGCCACAGTTAGCGGCGCCGAGGCTGAAGATAAAATTAGGCGAGCCCGACGAGGCTGATGAACGGCGAATGCTGCGGGTGCGGCCGCCCAAGAAGAGGCTGCAAGCCGCCTCCGTAGACTCGGTGGTGCCGACCTTGGAAGAGCTCAAGAAGGAAAGCATGAAGTACCGCAAGCAGATCGCGGCCTCTTTTGACAAGAAGAGTAAAAAGGCGAAAAAAGGGCCCAAGCTGATCATCCGGCTGGGCAAGTCGCCAGACGAGCCTCTCGAGTCCGTTTCGGAACCAACGCCGCCCGCTTCTGGGGGCGGCGGAGGTGACAACAACAACCTGCTCATAAAGCCGATCAAGCTGAAGCTTTCTCGCTGCGACTCTGGCTATGTGATGGCCTCAAAGAACGAGGAGGCCCAACAGCCGCCGGAAGCGCCACTGCCCGCCGCGCCAGATCCACCCTCAACTCCTTGTACATAGTGTATTTAGTTGGCAGGTGTAAAAGTTGTGATATTTGTGATACCTGAGCTGAAATAAAAAAGGAAGGTCCCTTCGAGCGGCGGGTTTTCTTTCTTTGTTTCAAGAATCGAGTCTAATATGTACACGTGCGCTCTTGGTTTTTGTCTCAAGGCGAATCGACAAACAAAAGTGAAGAAGAGACCAGCTGCTGTTAGACTTTTTTGTTTCACCGGATGCGCTCTCACTCAAAGTTTTGTGCTTAAACGAATTATAATTACTATTATTCTATTGCTGCTATTATTATTACGATTATTATTCTACGAAGAAAGTGAAAATCTCAGAAAGCATTAACATTGAAGTTTAAAATAAACGATTAATGAAAAATAAAGTGAATGAGTTTACTTTTGCTATCGCTAACTTCCCTGCAATTTGCGTCAAATAATAATCAAATCAAGTTATTGAGACATTTCTTTCACAAGAACAACTTCAGGCTTAAATCCTAATTTAAATAGTCATCAATAGTTGCGTTATCATGGGTTTTGGAAATTTAAAGCCATTATGTTCTAGTGCAACACACAAATTGTCACATAATTGCCATTTATTATAGACATTATTTTAAATTTTCACATCCAGGCTAGACAATCCAGCATCATTATTTTTTCATTATATTGTTTCAATAATAATTCAATTATCACGATAAAGCAAGTCTTTGCAAAAAGGAATTTTTGTCTTCTCATCTGTTAATTGAGTTCACTCTTTTGCTTCTTTTTCTTCTTGCCAGGCCAACAGTCCTGGGCTGCTGGAGTGGCCTCTGAAGAGGTGCAAGGAGCAGGCAGGGAACTGTCGGCTGAACTAGGGCCTGGGGCCGATGCCCAGCTGGTGCTTGGTGTACTGTAGAAGAGGTCAAAGCTGCTGCTAGGACCTGCTGGAGGTGAGCGGCTGCCACACCTGCTGCGGCACGAACCAGAGGTCACTGTGGCAGTTGCACTTGAAGATCCCATCTAAAGACAAATGATTAAAATTAGTATTTAAATGAAAAGGTTTAAAACAAATACATTATCATGAAAATAACAAATTATGTATATATAAAAAATGGATCGTTTTTACTTTTGTGACCTTATTTTTCTGGCGCTTCTCTGCCTCTCGAAGCCACTCCATGTAACTGGCCCTGGCCACCTGCTCCTCCAAAGCACGGTCAGTAGCTTCGATGTCGGAAGCAAAAATTTTGTCTTGTAGCATAGCCTGAGGATTTTGTTCCAAAATCAAATTCAACTTGACTCTAAAGAAAAAAGTAGACCTGCTCAATAGCAAAATTCTCAGAGTGGGCAAGCGCGTCTGCCACCATGGCAGCGTCTTTGAGGCCCTGGTGCAGAACAGGCAGCTGAGGTTTGCGGGTCAAACCCTTGACTGGGTCAAACAGTGAGTTGTAGTGTGATCCACGTTCGTAGGAAAGCCGGATCGGATCGTCGCTCGCCTCAGAGCAGCCGTGCCAAATGACCAGAGGATCCGAGTCGTAGCAAAAGACTTGCACCGGTCGGTTGAACATTTCCGAAACGGCCTGCAATTCGATGTGGTTGCCGTGGCATGAGGCCTCCCTCTTCCGAACAACGTACAGATCAAAGTCCTCTGTGACATACTGACTGAAATGCTCACGGTTTCGCTCCTGGAATAATCAAACCGGCATTAAATTTCTGTACAAATGCATGTGTTTTGTAATATAAATATTTTTTTTTATGTTTATTTTACGGTGCTGTGATTTCTTACTAGGTAATCCATGCATTGTTTGCGCACAATCTCGTGCATTTCTTGATCACCATAAACCTGGTCGGCTACGGCTCTAAACAGGCAAGCGCCGTCTCTGGCCATTTCTCGTACCACCAGACCCTTCTTGCTCAGCTTCTTGGAGAAATTGCGCTCCATCTAGGATTTAGAAAGTTAGAATCATTATTAATAGAAGCGATAATTAAAATTTGGTGACACTTATTTAAACATTATTCTCCTCACTCTGATTTAGAAAAAGAATAAAAACTTCTATAATCTTATTGCAAAAATTAAAATGAGAAAATTTAGAGGGAAATCTCACCTCTCCGAATGATAAAATTGCGCTCATACAAATTAAGAGCCGAATAATTATGCACCTACCTCTGTATACTGTGTCTCTGAGAGACCATTGGGGTCTTGGGTGTGTTCATCGCCGGAATTGTATCCAGACGGATCTGCTGAGGCCGCATCAGCCTCTTCCTGCTGAGGCGTCGACTCTGCTGGCGACGCTGAGGATCCTGATCCTGGAGAGGCTGCGCCTCGTTCCCTCTTGGTCCTGCGGTGAGGTGATGCGCGCATGGAACGCTTTCGACTGCCATCCACCACACCCTCTGCCTCTTCACGCAACCCTGGCGACCATCGGTGAGACGCAGAGCCCAAATGGTCATTGCCCTGAAAAATATTCAAAGTTAAATTCATCTTTTTAAATCAAAATTAAAGAGAAAAAAAAAACTTTTAAATTGATGTATAAAAATAGAACATGTATTTTTTTTCAATCAAAAAAAAAAAAACAAAATTAGTACATAAATAATTAGAAGCCAGACTTTCCAGTCTAACAGGTCATACATATACCTGCGGTGATCGAGGCTGCTGTTGCTGCTGGTGGGGTGGCTGCTGTTCTGCCGCCTCCTGTTCGGCCTGGGCCTGCTTGGACGACTGGCCGCTCTTCTTCGGTGCCAAAATGGTCATGGTTCCGTTTTGGTGTGTTTCAGTTTGCAAGTAATTAAGCTGATCTCGTAAGACTCTTCGCCAGTCTCCAGTTGCGTGCTTTAAATTTGCAAATTAGGGGCTTGTAGTGATTAGCAGAGGGTCCGAGTTGGGCCCACGATGGGCCAACAACGGCCTAATTGACAAGGTCCACCACTGATGACCGAACTGGAAAATGGCGTCCGAACGAGAGGAAATTTTCTCTCGGGGTCACTTTTCTCCACGATTGCTCGTCTTGTCGTAGAGATTCGGCCCGAAAAACACTGCTGGGAGATTCGGCCCGACTGGTCTGAATGCCGAAATTGTACCTGTCGCCCGAATACAGCTCACTTTGGTTCAAGACCAGCTGCTGTCTGCACGTAAACACTGTCAGCTCTAGTCTTTTTTTCCCTTTCCGTCTGCAAAATTTCGGACAATTTCGCTTATACCAAAATCTTGAGCGAAGCAGATACGTTCATGAATAAAAAAAGATCGACTGGTTATCTGCGCACATTGCAAAAATGATTTTTGCGCATATTATGGTGCTACCCTCTGTTGGTTGATTTAGAAAACTCTCATTGCCGATTTCTATGAGTGTGTAGCGCGCGCAACTGAACGTGTCTGAACAGGTTCCAACAAGACCAAAGGTGAATATAAACAAAATTTCCAAGTTGAAGCCACTGCATGACTGCAGCGTGAAAAGCATTGACCACGAGGGACGAGACGAGTATCACGAGTACAGACAAACCGCAAATTCTCGCAAAAAAGCTCTTGAATTTTCGGTCATTCCTCAACGCCTTTCACGCAGCTGCAAATTTTCGTTCTGCAGTCGCAGTCATTTGACGCATTTCGATTCTGCACTCACTTTTGTAAGTAGCGAGTGTAAGTGTACATACAAGTACATACATAATGTATGACATATACATTACTAGACACATTCATACGTGTATGTATGTATGTAATGTGTGTATGTATTTAAGATAATGAAGGATTTGGGGAATTGCATTAATGTGTAGATTCTCTGTATTTACAATGTTTCATATTTCGTTGACTGCGCTTTATAAGATCATTTTAAATTCCAAGCATTCAAACATTTTAGGTTAAGCAGCCATGGAGGGCTCTTCCGATAGCTCCGAGGGAGAAGATATAAATGATATAAATATTGATCCTTTACATCGTCGTTCTGGTAATGGAGGTGAAAGATTTGCAGTCAGTGCTTCGTCAGGGAGAGCAGGGAGCACTACTGAAGATGTCAGGTACAGCAATATGTACATATATAAATTTAATTGCATCATTTTTTTATGTCCATATCAATGTATCTTATGTATATTATTTTTGATTTATAAATTCTAATTTTCGTTGTAGTAGCGCTGCTCGTAGCAGCGTGAACAAAACTCAGATAAGTGTACCTGAGGAGGACAGTGACATGGCTGGAGACAGTGAAGATGGAGACCACTTATCGATTGACGATTCTCATAACAACGAAGATGTCCGGTCAGACAATGATTCAGAAGAGCCTGTTGAGGACCAGGACGATCCGTTTGATTCAGATCTCTCCGCCGAAGAAGGGCAGGAAGAATCTCTGGGTCAAGCGGAAATCGCAGACATGGAAGTTGATGCAGATGATGAACCACCAGTTGCTCCACAAAATGCTAAGGGTATAATATAATTATGTGTATTAATTTTCAGGGTCATGATGTAGTTATATTTTAATAGTAATACAATTTTCCTTACTTAATAAACTTATAATTTTAAATTATACTTGTAATTTCATATATTTTCAGCCAAGCCAGAGCCCATCATAAGTATTGACTCCTTGATTAACCATCCTGATTGTCCAGAAATCTTTAAATTTTTGGCGGATCCAGGGTTCATTAATTCACAAGTTTTTGTAAGGCTTTAAAAAAATTAAACGATTATCGTTTTTTTTTCTCGGTTTTCTTTGTATATTAATTGTTTTTTGTTCTTTACTAGGAGGTGGCAAAAACCTTTGTGATAAATGCAAATGATTCACACATCTTTCCACTTGAGAAACAAAGGGAGCTAATCAAGATAGTGATGTTTGCCATGGGACACACCAAATGGTCAATTGCAGACTGTGGTTGGACACTTAAGACAGTTAACGATGCAGGTCATATGGTAATACAATGCTCCTTATAACAAAATTTCATCAATAATTAATTTATTGTGTGATAATAGCTGAACAGTGCTTATCAGGAAAATAATTTTATGCCCTTGCTGGAGTTGAATGATGAAGGTTCAAAGTGGTTACAAATCAAATTGTGCAATTTCCTCTACGGCATAACAGATGCTGCCATGTTTGCCAATCCAGATGGAGGAGGCAAATTGTTGTTGGAATTTCTGTACAAGTTTGCCAAAAAACTCACAAACTCTTTTGCCTGCTATGCCAGATATACAGGTATCTGCATAGGTAAGTTTTATTAAATTTAAATAATAGAAGCTAAAATTATAATTGTTTTAGAAAAAAGTTTTTACGTACAGTTTACACAAATGTAATCATATTAATTTATAGTCAGAGCTGTGATGCGAGTGCTTCTAAAGTATCTCAAGCGTCAATCAAGAAGCCTGTCACTATCAAAGAGATCGGGAACTGCCACTGTAGAAGATGAATCGTATGTTGACTACCTGCTGCAGAAAGTGAAGCAATTCCTTTTCCTGCTTTACAACGGCATGGAGTATGTTAATTCAGGGTCCATTGAATATTTTGAAAAATAGTTGCGCTTAATTACAGTGATATGAATGTTACCAATCGAATTGAAAGCTTTGAAGAGGTGATCAATCTCATGGTCCGATATCCTACAGCCATCATCATCGACCGTACAATTAAAGGGCTCACTAATTGCTTATTCTCCAGGAATCAAAAAGAGAAAGAATCTGCTGTTTTGGTAAATTTAATTTCAAATGAATAAATAATTGCTATGTAATTTTTTTTTTTCAATATTTCCTTGAATTTTGTAGTGCTTCTCTGCGTCATTTTCTAAGCTGGCTGACAGATCGGACAAAATTAAAAACTTTATGATGGAATGTGGAAAGTATTTTACTCCAAACCTCAGAAAAAATGGAGACGTGTATGATGCCACTGTACATCTTTTGAAACTAGCCTATGAACGAGGGTAAGCAAAATATACCAATGCAGTCATGGAGTCATCCCTGGCATATAATTAAATGTATATCTCATTCTACCGCGCCGCTCGCTCCAGTATCAATTTACAAAATATTTGCATATATACGCGTTCAAACTCCTTTCATCCTCAGCAAAGCTAATAATTAACATAATTTCACTTCTCCACTTTTCAGTTGGCTCCCAGAAGAAGATGCAGACTATATCAACATAGTCTTAAAAGAACACTTGTTCAATTCCACAAAGGGCATTGCCAAAAGAGCGGGAAAAGCCTTCGTGGAGCGCAGCGATGGCAGCAACATAGTTCTTAATTTGGCCAACATTCTTTTTGAAAACAAGGAGGCATATATATTATAGTACATTTAATTTTAAAAATCATTATGTCATAATTTTCAAGAGACTGGATGAAGCTATCAATGTTGTTCCTCAAGTGGCGCATGGCATCACTTACATCATGATTGAAGAGGCTGTTGAGAGTTTGACTGCTGATGACATTGATCTCCTTAAATCGTCCTATGTGATTAAAACTCTCACTTGTGTGCTCAGTAATTATAAGGCAAGTTCTTATAGAAATTTTATTGCAATTATAAATATCAGCCAAAATCTTTGGTTTGCAATCAAAATGTGGTATTATGTTGACAATTTAACAAATATAGCCAGCGCCTAAAGAAAGGAAAGGGAAAGTGCAAATGCTAATTGCTAGGAAACTGCCTGACCTGGTTGAGCAGTTTAAATATGACGAGTCATTGACATTCACTGTTTTGAAACTTGCTGAGAAAATCACTCCAACTGTTGGAAAAAATTGTGGAAAGGTTAATAAATGTTTTTAAGATTCAATTTTCCGTCACCTTATTCTGTTTTATGTTAAAAATTAGGTGATTGCCAAGCTCATCAAAGATTGCATTCAAAATGAAGAATACTTGAATGAAACTCTGCAAGTCTTGGAAAAATTTAAAAATCTGAAGGAGGTGGAAGACGTTTACCAAGAGTGGTTGGATGATATGCGCCAGTCCATGGAGGAATTCTCCAATAACATACGCAACATCCTAAGCAGTGATAGCGAAGACCTCGAGACTTACACGACCATCTTCGGTAAAGCCAAAAGCAGCTTGAATATACTCAGTGGAGCCTTTGATGACCTGCTGTTGACCTGCAAAAACTTGTCTCATAAATTGGCTACTGATCTTGAAGAAAACTCTGCTGATGCACAGATCAACGAAGATGTATATGCTATCTATTTTAATTTTCTGAATTTATAATTTAAATTATTTTTTGATTAACACTAGATGATCATTGCCTTGGTGAATTTGGAATTTTGTGCTTACGTAAAATTTGATACCCTCAAATGTAACGGGCAAGCATTCAAAGAACATTTCCCTGACAAATCTCACAATCAAGTTGTCAAAAGCATTTCTGACTTTCGACAAAAAGCTGTGACTGGATTTGAGGAACTTTTAAATCTTGATTGTCTGGAACCTTACATTAAACTATTGGTAAGAACATTACATAAATATCTTGGAGTGTATGTATAAGTGGTAATTTATGAATTGAGATTGCATGCATTTTTGGAAAAATAATTGTATGAATTACATTTTTACAGAATCTCAACAATTGAAACTATTAATAAATATAATATCGGATGATATGAAATTTTTAAATGCAAAATTTATGCCACCTATTGAGGCAAATGTTGTAAACCTTTTGCTGATGCACTGTCAAATAATTGCTTTAATTTTTTTATGATGATCGATCTACATGTTTCTTTATATAAATTTGTGTTTTCAGGTTCTAACACGGCTATTTGGAGTAATAAAAGTGGATTGGGAATATTTGACAGAGACAGAAATCAATCAGGATTTCCTCATTGAGTGCCTAAATAACCTCCTCATTGATCCACCCAAGAGAGTAAAAGATGCAGTACAAGAAGAAGTTCGAAGGGAAGCCTTTGCATCTCTCTTTGGCATTGACTGCCTGTACAAGTCTAAAAAAATTAGCGCTGCATTCTATTTAGCTTTGGGCAAGGTTTGTACTATGTGCCTGCATAAACTTTATTTAATTTTAAATAAAATTTTTTCATTTCAATTTTATTTTCTTAAGCAGAGTTCTGAGTCAAGTTATATGAGAGAGCCCATGCTTGATGCTTGGAGGAAGTTGTTCGGTGAGACAATTCAAGTGAAGAATAGTTCTGCCGAAGAGGAACACTTCAGTATTTTTGCTTACCTTTTTGAACTATTGATGGACATCGTACTTCAAATCATTAAAGATCATGAGGGTGCCAAACTTGAGGAGGTAGTTATCTACATCCAGGTATGTAAATAATGAAGCTATAATTAAAAAATTTATCCAATAAACAACACATCAAATATTGTAGAAGTCAACTGAGTTGGTGATGAACTGCTTGCCAGACAGCAATGAATTTGTGCGAGTGATTGTAAACGTTCATGATTACATTTTGAGATCTGCCGTTCAGGGCAAACCACATTTTGAAGTGATGCTGCGCTACTTTGCTGCCCCTATGGTGGATATATTGGATGAGGAACGCAAGAAATATCTGTAAAACGCAAAATTATTTTAATTTTTTTCATATACACAAGGGTGTCAATAATTTCAACAGGCAGAAGAAATATAAAAATTCTCTCAACGAAAGTCATGACTTTCATTTTTACAACGAAGCGCTTACAAGTGGTAGGCATTTTCATTTATAGAAAATTTCAACATTGATTTTTAAAATATTTGTCATTGCAGGCTTTCATGCTGCAGTTTCGTCTGAAAACGAGCAGGAGACACCTGCTCTACACAGAGCCAAAAGAACAGTTGCTTCTTCCACACCATTGCCAGGAGGTTTGTATTTGAAGTCGATCGATTGGTGTAACAACTAAAAATTCATGTTTACAGCCCGTGTCCCTGATGTTTTAAGCAGTGCACCTGATTTGTCTGCTGTCATTCATTCACCACCAGATGATCCGTATCTTTACACTGATACTGACAATGAGGATTTAACTGATACATGATTTCTTTACAGCTTTTTCAAAATAAAACTTAAAATAATATTGGTAAAAATTGCAGAACAGATATATATCATTAAAAATTTTTGTTTTACTTATTAGAAATGTCTATGTTGAAATTATTTTTGTAGCAATGATATTAGACAATTTAATGAAAATCTAAAGACAAAATTTTCTCTACTAAAGTTTTCTGCTGTGAAATATTAATGTTTGTCATAGTTCTAACTTTCTGTCATTATATCATTCTCTTGAAATTGGAATAATCTATATAATATATTATGCATTATGTGCATTCATTAATATTTTCAATCACGTAATATGGTAATAACTGTCAAAATTGTAATACTTTAATTTTTGGAAGAAAAAAAAATCTGTATGAAGATTACAATAAATTTGGTTTAAGTCAATATTTTTAGAAATTTATTTATTAATGAACATTTCAATTAACACCAAAAGCGCAAAATCAATAAGCATTATCTAAATAATTTTCATACTATTTCAATCACATGATATATTAAGACTTCTAGGAGGGACATTTATTTCTATAACAAAAAATGCTGCCTTAAGGCTATGACCTGAGCCAGTCAATTAATATGCTAATGGTGAGAAAGAAGCGGAATGTGTATTACAAAGAAAATGACTGACTGTATAGCGATTGATTAAAAATTTGACCTCAGTGCGAATCTATGAAGTCTGTATGGCTATTGACAAGGAAGTTGTAAACAAAACTGGCTTTTTTACGGTCAGCTGCTTGTTGTCTTTGCATGTTACTTGTCCTCGGTGGTTCTCTCAGGAATACACCACCAAAAAGGGTTGCTGCAGAAAAATTTCAAAATTAATTGGCAATCAATTCAGATTCTTGATTACTGACCTAATGTTTTGGCATCAAGTCCATTTCGGTTTGAATAATTTAAAAGCTCTTGTAAAAATGAGCACAAGTACAAGAAAACATTTTTTCGGTGGACAGGTAGTTGGTTTACAATCTGCAATAATTTTGTATTTTAACGGTTAATTATTGTTCCTAGGAGTTTAAAAAATAAATTGCCTCTTTAGATTGGGCGTAGTTTGAAGATGCGTCAAGACACTTAGCGTGGAGCGAAAAAGGCACCACTGGCTCTGCAGTAGACTCAAGCAACAGTAGGAGCGCTTCGGCAACTGAGTGCACACTTCCAGCTGAAGATAAAAATTATTTAATACAAATGTAGCAATAATAACTGAAGTTCACATAAGTTTTTATAACGTACTGCGTTAAAAATATATAAAAAAAATTTAAAATTCATTTAACTCGACCAAAGAAAAAAAATCAGACTTACGTATTGGGTCAGTTGAACCCTCGTCTAACCAATTTCGAATTTGAATGAGCTCCGTGTGCAAACCTGGGTGCTCAAACAGATGCTGCTGTTCGAGGCCCAGTTTGTACAAATGATCCACAAGAAACCAAACTTCTTTTGGAACAGGCAGTGGTGTTTGATCTTTTGGGGGATCATTTCCTGCTTGTGCTTCCTATTTCGATTTTATTTTTTTTTCATTAAAACTTCAATAAGGCTGTAGCTTTATCTTACGAGATCCATGAGCTTTTTGATGGGCACCTCTCGGATGGGCAGCGGCATGTAGACAAGCGCCTCGATGGACATGCCAAAGCAGCTGCGTTCGTAGGTGCCAGTGACTGTGATGAAAATGTCTTTACCCCCTTCCAGATGCAGCACAAGAATGTCATAAAGTTTGTCCTCTCCAGAGTTCAATTTACAAGCAGACTTCTTGTCAACAAACACCTCTAAGAGGATGTCACATTTATCTCCTGAAAAAAGCTTAAGTAGGAACAATTATTTTTTTCTTGAAGAATATTAACCTGGCATGATAAATCCAAGGTAAGGTTCAATATTGAGCCATTCCTTGCAAAAACTCCGGTCATCAAGTTTCTTTATGAATTCAAACTGAACAGGGACCTTGTAAAATTAAAATTGTGATTATTTTTAAATATTTGATTTGTCCATTTTTTACCTGTCCAGTGTTGGCGATAATAAGTTCTTTCTTTTGAGGCTCCAAGTATCGAACAGTATCAAGAATGATTTCTGTATTATCAACCATGACCTGGGGTAAAAATTCATTCTCCAGCTTGTCGAGCTTTTTCATTACATCTTCATGAATTTTTCTGTACTTGACTATGTCAATCACTCTGATCTGAAATTTAACGTTTTTTTTTTTTTTTAATTTTCAGGAGCAGGTTAACACACAAACCTCTGATTCAAATAGAGAACTGACAGGCTTGTGGTCGCTGATTCGTAACTCTGGGTGACTTCTGTAGACCAATTGTTTGATTCCCTCGCCCTTCCACAGCACTCTATCACACCAGGCCGGCGCCCTGTTTTTCTCACTGCCCAAAAATCATCTTTTAATGGCCAATTTTCATGTTATTTAGATTCAAACCTAGAATCCCATTCGTCAGTTCCGGGATCGTATTTGTATGTAGGCTTAAAGTTGATTTCTCCCTCTTGATAACCAACAAAGACATTTTTCTTCTCGTGTTGCAACTTGAGCTGATCCATCTCGAACACTGGTAAGTAACGCTCAGAGGCAATGAGATGCTTTGCTAGCTGAGGGTCCATTTCTGTGATGCGGTAATTCAGGTCCCCTAGCCAGTAAACTTGACTGAAATAAAAAATTTCAATTTAATTGCATCTCTGAAAATTAATCAATTTTTTGGAAAATAATTTATAATAAGAATATTAATAAAAGATTATTATTTTGCTCACTAATGTATATTCTAGTGGAATTTATGAATAAATTAAATCATACTCATGATCTTTGATGCTCTTCCTTGGAAGGAGTTGCCCAAAGGTTAGTCTCTGGCAGATGTCATGATAATCCTGGTTTCGTCGTTCAAACTCCTCAACGTGGGCTGCTAAATGCGAGTTCACAAAACACAGTGATGTGTTGTGCAACTCGAAACGCATTGCCACACCACCCTTGTTACCCTGAATAATCAAAAAATAAAATATTGATTTTTTTTAAGGAAACTAAGTAAACTCCAACCATTCTGCCGGCAATTCCGGTTCCAACTGTTTCCGCAGCAACAAGCTTAATGTGTGGCACTAAAGATTCTTTAACAAAAACGATCAGCATCATGCCAACAAGTCGCACCAACTGGACCTTTCTGTATTTGGCGCCGGGATGAAGCGCTTTGGACACAGCCGCTCTGGAAATGAAAAGTTTAATAAAAATTAATGAGTTAATCTACTTATAAATTTTATAAAAAAAAAATCTTACAGCCACTCTCCTTCTCGTGGGGTGTCGTTGAATAGGAATGCTTCTTTTCTCAGGTCTAACTCTTGAAATCCCACAGCATAGATGTCTGGCGGCTCAGCGTCAACACACAGCCATTCTCTGAGGCCAATTGTAGGTGGCTGGCCATTCACGTTCCACGTACCAACAAAAATTCTGAAATTTGAAATTGAAGAACATCAGGCAAAGTAAAATGAAGTGCAAAATTTAAAAAAGTCTAAAACCCATAATTTTTATTTTTGATATCCATCTTTTATAAGTGAAGAGAATTAATTAATCTTTGAAAGGTACAAAATATTTTGAGTAATTATTAGAGTTCATACTTAAAGTTCTGGATATGGGTGTAGTCATCCTCTTTCATAGACATCTGATAGCGGATAACGCTTTCCCTGGCTGCAATAGGCGTTGTCCCCTTGGCGATGCTCTGCCGAGGTACCACCAATTCTCCGCTTTCCAACTCCAGGGCCTTTTATGGAAAATTAGTAAATTAATTTTCCAATAAAACAGAAATAGGAATTTGGAAAACCACACAAAATACTTGCCAGCCCTAAACGTGTTAATTATCAACGTCACACAGTAAAAATAAAATAGTAAAAAAGTAAGTGTTTCTGGAAATAATCCGAATTTCGACAGATCTAGAAGAAGTGGCGCCCAAATCTTTGGCCAAACTACGTTTTATTTTAAAAAAATAGCAAAACTACAGGGTATTAAAATTTTGTCTCTGCAGGTGTTTCAGCGTAGGGTGTTGGAAAAAATCCAAAGTTGGTCACTTACTGACAAGTAGCAACTGCGAGTCTTCAAAACTCTCAGCTGCCAGAGTGAAAAAAGCATTAAATCTTATTATCAGTCTTGACCGGAGAAAAGTGAGATAATTTCCAGTGCATCATTTTGCATAATTTTAAATATATGAGATAAAAAAAAGCGGAAATAAAACTCACAGTTTCATTTCTAAGCTCGACCAAGTTTTTATCCAGTTCTGGATCCTCAACACATTTGACTTCATACTTTGATGTCCAGCTTGCATCCGGTGGAGGTCCCCGACCTTTTGATACCACTAAAAGAAAGCCATAAGCAGCCATAAGTTTGAATCAAATTAATAAACAAATCAAAAGTTAAAAAAGCCAAAAAAAAAAAACTTTTTCAACGTCAATAACCAAATATTTAGAGTGAATTAAATTCTCTTCTCTGTTGGTTTTCCATACATATTTCTAGTATTTAAGAATTAAGGAACAGCAAGAATAAATTATCATTGTAATTACATTCCATGCAGCGGAATATTTCCCCGACAAAAGAGCTCGTCGGTTCTCCAGGCACCATTTCGAAGAGCAGTTTCAACTTCTGCTTGGAAATGTGCAGGTAGACATCGCTCTGGTCCTGCTCAGACTCTGAAAAGCAAGTTGAGGAATTGGTCTGGCTCAATTCGAGAGCATCAGTACCAATGTTGCATTTGAAGTCCGGCCCGAGTGGGACGATCCGCTCGAAACTGAGCTCGCTAGCAGCGATTGGAGGGATGGCAGAGCTGACAAACACAAACAGGGCATAGCTGTTGCTTGCAGGGTGCTCCAGCAGGGCCAGGTACCGAGACGTCCGAACCCATTCTTTCATCTGACTTACCTCGTGAACCTTGAAAAATAATAATAATAATAATATCATAAAATATAACAAAAAATTTAAATATCTAGAAACTCACAGCGACGACCGAATCTCCAGAAGCTAATTTAGCCTGGATCAACTGACGAAGGGTCGGTGTAGTCATGGTTAGGTTGAGGAATTAGGCCGAATATTGAAAATCCTCAGGCACACCTGCAGGTAGCAAAACAGTTAAAAATATAATCATAACATACATAATTTCTCTACACATTTGAAAGAATCTCATCAAAATCATGCTGCAAATTGTTATCAGTTAAAGACTTACAAAAATAATATAAAATTTATTCCAATTATTATTAGCAATATTTTCAATTTATATTGCTCATGTAAATTATGTATAAAATTATTATGGCCAGAATTAAAACACTCCAAAAATTCTAGATTCTGTTCTTAAAAATATTAAAAATGAGATTTTCCTGTAATAAATGGTGTTATACCGGAATAATCTACTGTTTTGATTAGTCTCTTAGTATTATAAGGGTTTATTTTTAGAACTACATATATTATACATAATATACAAGCAAAAATCAATGAAAGATTGCTGTTATCCTGTTCTGCACAGAGTTTGTAGCTAAAATGTTTGAAGGCAACGCCCCCCTGTCATTGTATTGTACATAAACTTGTTGTGAGCACCAATTTTTTCCTCGGAAAAATATGAACTTTGTATTAAATTTTCAGCAGAATCAAATGTAAAATTGATGAGAGCGAGCTTAAAATTAAATAATTTTTAAACTATCAACATGGAAATAGTCAAATTAACGTCATAAAACGGGTTTATTTACCTTGCACCTAACCCTTCATAGCTGCTGTGAACTTGTCAGCCATAATGGTTCACCGGTGGTGTGAAGAAAAAGGATTTAGGAAATCAACATGTGTCATGATCAATAAATTATTTAAATGATCAAATATATGCCTTGAATCAAAATTCTGCTCTTGAAATTTATTACTCATAGTCAAATATTTATATTTTACACATAAATATCCAGTTTTTATGTTTTTAACCTTCTAGTACACGCTACTCCTTTGTTTACTTTCCACTCGAGTCGATCGTCCTGCCAGAGTCATCGGCAGCCACGTCGAAGGTGCACTTTTTCGGCCGAATTCGGGCGGTTGCTGACTGAGATTTCGGCACACGCAGTAGCGTCGGCATGGGAGGATCGCAAAGCGTTGAAATTCCGGGCGGAGGCACCGAGGGTTACCACGTTCTCAGGGTGAGTTGACAGCTCCGTTTCACACCCCCTTTTGACACTGCAGTGTCTTAAATCTTCGTATGAATTGCAGGTGCAGGAAAATTCGCCGGGACACAAAGCAGGCCTCGAGGCGTTTTTCGACTTCATTCTTGCAATAGGGAGCACAAGATTGGTAATCTTCATTATTTTATGAAATTTCCCCTTTTTTTAACTCAATTCTTCTGCGTTTTGTAATAATAATAATAATAATTAAGTTTATTGATGTCATATGAATGGCAAAAAAAATTTCAATTTACCCAATTTGCATTGTTAAAAAATCTTCTTTAAATATATTGACTCGTAATTCATGAGTTTTTTATTTGAAAATAAAAATTTACATTTTTTGTTATATGATGTTTTTACTGATTTATTTATGTACTTTCTATCAATTTAAAGGATCAAGACAATGACACTTTGAAGGAGCTCTTACGAAAATCTGTGGACACAGAGGCGGACATGCTAGTTTACTCAAGCAAAACGCAGTCTGTGCGGACAGTGAAGGTGCGGCCGAGCAGTCAATGGGGCGGGCAAGGCCTCCTGGGCGTCAGCATCCGGTTTTGCTCCTTTCAAGGCGCTAGCGAAAATGTTTGGCACATTCTTGTAAGTTATTAAATTATTTTCAATGTGCTGAAAAAATCCAAATATTTTGATAGGACGTGGAGCCAAACTCTCCCGCTGATAAGGCTGGTCTGCGATCAATGTCCGACTACATCATCGGGGCAGATTCCGTGCTTCATGAGTCGGAGGACTTGTATTCTCTTCTGGAAGCTCATGAAGGACGGGCGCTGTCACTTTATGTTTACAATAGCGATGATGACGCCTGTAGGCAACTCGCACTGACGCCTAATTCCAATTGGGGTGGTCAAGGAAGGTAATTTTTTTCACTAATTGTATACAATTAAAGTTTTCATTAATGAAAATGTGAAAGAAGTTCTGAATTAAAATTTTTTAATTATAAATTCCAGTCTTGGTTGTGGAATTGCGTTTGGATACCTGCACAGGATTCCCATCAGGAGAAGACAACCTGCCCAAGTGCCCAGCTCGCCACAAATTCCCGATCCGCTTCCCCCGACCCCAACAATACCTGCACCGGCTGAAGTGCAAGTAGCACAACCAATTGTAGAAGCACCTCAACCACCCCTTATTGAAACCGCAAAGGAGGTCGTCGAACCACCGGCTGCACCTATAATTTCTCAACAAGCAGAACCAGCTCTGTCAAATGTAATTTTTTCATTTTCCCCTATTTTTATTTACTTTTTAAAATTAATTTAATCAATTTTTTGAAAAATTTAGTTGATAAATGTTGATTTTATGGAATTTCAGGCGGCACAGTTGGCTGCAGCATTTGGTCCACTGCCGACTGAGCCACCCCCAGTGAGTTATGCGCCTGCTGTAGCTGCCGCCCCCATGCCTGAGCCTGTAGCACAAATACCATCGTCTGTGCCTATGTACAACATGGCCTTCCAGGGTGCTGGATTTGGAGCGCCAGGAGGAATGCCACCCCCACCAGCAGCCATTTTCAACCCCTATCAGGCACCTGTTGAAACCAACGTTCCTTTGCCGCAGCCGCCTCCAGCCACTGCGCCTGTACAGCCACCCCCAGTCAACAGTAAATAAATTTTTACTAAAATTAAGTTTTCAAGAGAGAAATTAATTTGCATAACTTCAATTATTGTGTAAAGTAAATCATAAAGGACTTGGAAATATTTCAAATCAATTACTTTAAAAAAATTTACTGTTATTTCTTCTAGATTTTAGCCTCCCGGCTGGCATGCCTCTAGTAACAACCCCAATCAATCTGCCTGGCTACCCCCCTATCACAGTTTCGGCGTCCGTGCCTCTAGACTCGTTCTCAACAGATGCGCCCAGCAGTGCGGCCCCAGGTGCCACCACCGGCCTCGGCCGCTACTTCAACACACAGCACACGTGAAAACTGCTGGGAAGTAGAATTATGTAAATATATAAATTGTAAGTTTATCGGAGGTGCGACTCTTCTACCATCGGCCAGGCGACTGAAAATATCAGACTTTCGAACAGAATAGAATGGGAAAGCCACTACTTGATTGCTAATGTGTTATTTGTTGGGAAATTTGAACTTTTTGTTGAGCGTGACACCTTCAGTTTCTGCTGCTGCATGTTGTTTTTCATATGTATAGCGTAATTATTACTATATGCAAATAAAAGTGATAATTTATACAAGGAAAATTTCATTGGATTTTCCAAAAAATTATTGCCCAAATTAATTTTATTTTTGTCAATCAAAAAGTTCTCAAACTTTAAGCTTTGGAAAAATTAAATCACTAACAAAAACGAATTAACTTTTTCATTCCAATTATTTTAAAATATTATTTTTTAGGACTCAAATGATCGAGCAAGTATAATCAAACAATTTGTTTATGCAATTATAAGTTAGTTGGAAAGCCAATCAAGAAACACTTAAGCTGCAGATGCTCTCATCCCTGGCACTGTGCAGATTTCAGCTGAAACAAATTACGTGCTAACGAGCAGGTGATGGCCTACCATCTCCAACCCGTTAAAAATTTCCTTTAGCAATTTGCGATTTTCCGGTTCACCGGCGACGATGACTCTCCGGTGGCGAACTGCAAAATGCAATTAGCGTATACGTAGGGGCTGTTATTTATCATTTGCCAGCCAGGGCGATCAGAGAGGGAGTATAGTCGGCGCCTGCGAGTTATGCAGCCCTCTCGCTTCCCCCAGTCAGATCACATCTTTCTTTTTCCTCTCCATCGCTCACGCTCACACACAGTCGGCGGGCCACAGATTGAAAGAGGTTCTCTCTGAAGCGAGAAGAGGAAGCGTGTCGCTTGAAAACAAACGCCAAATTTCATAAGTGCCATCTGATTTTCATTTATTTTTTCGGAGAAAATTATTTTGGTAGACTCGAGGAGTTGAGCCTTTTTGTGAATTTCGCGCAGAAGAAACAAAGACAACACCACCGAGTCGCTCCACAACCGTCCAGTAAGTACAACAAAATAATTTATAGAACACAAAACTAACACACGACATGACATGTGCGTATATTAGGAAAACTGACAAACACACGCGTTGAACACACAAGAGGTTTTTGTTGTTTTATGCCTACGTGATTTACTGCTTTTTTATCTCAAAAAGGCAAAAGGCACAGTGAAAAAATCGTCGCGCAAGCTTAGGCGAAAAGTAAAAAAAGCTAATTTATCTGCAGTTCTTGGGAACTTTGCAAAAAATGAAAATAATTGCAAATGATTTATTTTTAAATTTTGATCTAAACAAAATTTTGGAATTTTTATTAATTTTATCTTCTATTTCGTCAGCAATAATAATTTTTGATTGTAATATTGAAATGAATCGAATGAGGAATTAAAATTCGGCATGTTTTTTTAATTTCAAATAAAATAATTACTTTGGTGCGACAGTTGAATTTAGGCCGAGTTTGTTGAAACTAGGTAGATAAAGAGACCGCACTTTAAAACAAGGTCGGAGTTTTTTTTTTTTTTTTTTTTTTTTTTAAATTTAGTACTAGACCGTCTGCTGGACACTCTAACTGAAAAATAGATAACGTGCGCCGCCAAGGATCGCGGTCTACACCGACCAGCCGACTTGGTATATATTTTTATACATTATTGAAGTGCGTGAGCGCGTGACCCATTTTTCGGTATGAGTCGCCGCTCTCGAAAGAAGAAAAAAGCTCGGCCAGATGGGTCCAAGGCTGCATGCCTAGCTCTCTTTCCCTCTCGTCTCTCTCTCACTCTTTATTTGCACGTACCACCTACCCATAATGCGCGCACTCACATGGTGCCCCCGTAAATAAAAAGACCGCTTTCTCATTTCAAAAGATCATTTGGTCACTCGGCGCGGACCTGCAATTTCACGTGATACGAAAATTTATGGAATGATCAACCCGAGAAAAAAATTGGATCAAGCAAAATTTTATTTGAAGACGCAGTTTGAAGTTTGAGCTTGAAAAATTATTATGATAAAAACCTTTAAAAATTAGGGCTGACAATTTTTAGTTATGTTTAGATAAGAAAATTGTTCTATATTTGTTTTAACATTTGTGTTATGATTTTCTCAACTGATTTAAGTACATAATGTTATTGCTTTAACAAAATAAAAAATATATTAAATATTCGCAAACAAAAATTGTAATATTTGGCTCCTCTTTTGGCCCCAAGTTGTCTATTTATATTCACACTTTTATCTGGCTTTTATTAATTTTGGGGGAACATATAATATAATATATATATGACTTAAACTTGTATAATATCAGGAAAACTCTCAAGAATTCAGAGGCTTATTTTTGTATCAGGTGGAAAAACCTCCCCCTTTTTAGGCTTCGTTTCGTACACTTTTCCGTAAAGCTGCTCTTTATGAGCTTCTTTTCATTTCACACGTATTTATATCGCTTTTGAATAAAAATAACCAATATATCGGCTGATATATATTGAAAGAAGAAAAAACTTCACGGTGCGTATATTTATAAGTCGTGTGTCCCCTCGTGCGAAAAGGAGATCGATTCTCGGCGACTGCTTTTGCTCCCAGTCAAAGAGGCGGATTCATTTCAACCGACTTTGCTCTGCCCTGTGAGTTGTAAAATATATTCGCTCTCGTCTTGAATAAAATATTCATATTCTCCACTCGCACCTTTTCAAAAAAATAAGCCAAGACGCTTCCATGTATGCATTTTGAAGAAGAAATCAATTCATTTTGTCCAGGGAAGTCCAGAATTTAATAATTGTTTTATTCTCTCCATTTGAATAAAGGATATACAGTCTCTTCAATATCAACAACTTGTTGCACAGATTTGCTGTTTTCCTGGCAAAAAGTATCTCCTTTATTGCAATTTTGTTTTTAAATTCGTTTTTTAAATCATATAAATTTAAGGTTTACAAACAATCTTGCTTGTTAAAAATGATACCGCGATTCTATTAGAGAAAAAATTTAATGTTTTATTTGCCATTCTTTTTATTTTACCTTTTTTTACCCGATTTCACCTTCCAATTAGAAATAAGAGACAAAGAGCGTTTTTGTTGTGGTCATGAGAGGGATGCGAATTTTATGACCCACACAATGGGTTGTTGATTTATTCCCTGGTAAAAGCAATTTTCTATATTGAAAAGCAGGAGAGAGAAAGGATCTGCTAACGAAGTGGGCTCGGGGGCCTTTCCAAATCAAATCTTCGCAATGAAAAGTAATTAGGTTAATTATATTTGCGATCAATTTCAAATTACCAGTTAGGTCATTAGTAAGATAGATTTTAATTTCCTTAAATGAAAAAGTATATAATAATTTTGAAATAAAAAAACCACACGATTTCATATGGAGGCCGAATAATTTAAATATAAAATCAGTTTTTTAAAATTATTTAAATATTAAATGATTAATTTAGAACAATGTAATTCATAATTTCCTAATTTTTAGAGACTTTCTGAGACTCTTGATTAATTATTCACACTTAATTTGAGTGAAAAAAAAAAATACGTCCAACGCAAAAATGTAGCTTTTGGTGGACGTGCCTAGTTGCACGAGGAGACAAAATAGAGGTGTTCCTCACTTTAGCACCGTTGGTATATCTCCTATAATTATATATAATGGAGCAAGTGTGTGTGTGTTGAGTCCAAACACCCCTCTATCTTTTCTTTTCGACAGCGCAATGTGTCTCTTCTTTTCCACTTGGTAGCCCTCGTCCAAAACAAAAGGCTCTTCTCGTGTTTTCGCCAGTGCGCGTTGATTATTATTTACTCTGGCACACGCGGGGGCCAAACCTCTCCACGAATTTTTCCTGGCTCGTCGCTCCACTGATAACGAAAAAAAGGTGTCACGCCGCGCTATGTGATAACGAGTAAAATAATCACACCGGTTTTTTGGTTTATGCAAGAGGAATGCTGAAAATATTGAAGCAAAATTTATTTGAAAAAATATGTAAGAGGAAGTTAATTTCAAAAGAAAAAAAAATATCATTTCCTCCTTTGAATTCTGTCGTTGGATTTTAACAAAAGGCCTTTCAAATTTAGGCGTCGAAGAGCGCAAGCCTTGACCCAAAAGTGAAAAGTGTGAGCGTTCGATTTTAGCCCGGTCGTAAATTCTCTTCTGGGTGTGCTGTTGACTGACCGATCAGCAGCAGCTTTTCGTAACACCCTTTGTTCTTATTTATATCTCCGGTTAAATCAGTTTAACTTTATTTTGAAATTTTAGAGCAGCATTTTTCTGATTGGAGAGTTTTTTGTTTTTCGTTCAGATCGACCTAGGGGTTGTTTGCCCCAAGGAATGTGCAGCTGTATAGGGTGCGCACCCTTATATACCGTCATCGCCTAAACTTGTCCGCATTCTTAAGCCTGCAAAAAGACCATTTCCAGACCGCGCCGCATTGGAATGCAATCCTCTCTCTAATCTGCTCTCTCGCGCCAACTTGGCAAAGGTACTTTTTATATATTATTCAGCAGATTCAAAGAGTTCATGACACTGTGGATTTGTTAATATACAAATTTTATTTTAAATGCCAAAAACTAATAAAATTACAAATTAATGAAAATAATTCATATTATAATATTTCAAGCTCAATTTATTTTTATTTATGTCGGTCATTCAACTGAAAATTTTACTTCTTTAAAAATTCTGTTCTTTTTCATACGGGATAAATTTTTGGTACATATTTCCAGAAATAAACTGATATTTTTTTATTCGTCCTATTTGAAATCAACTCGCAAACTGAAAAATAAATTGGATTGTTATTGAGATCTGCCTGAAGATTTGTGCGGGTCAAGGTACTTCATATAAAAATACACACTGTATACGTGTCCCTGAATGAACAAATAAAAAGAGCTTATGGTGCAGACCTACACACAAACGTGGTGCGCGCATATATAAATTTTTCTTCTTTTATTCAAAGACCTGCTGCAGAGAGAGATAAATCCCGATCACCTTGCGCGTGCACAAATACAGATGAAAACGAAAGAGGTCGTGACATCGAACCTTATACAAGAGAAACGATTAATTTATTGGAAAGCGAAAAAAAAATGTTAATTCGGTCCATGACAGAAAAAGAGAACACGTGCATTGACGAGCATATTGTGCGTAAATGGTGACGAAAAAGGTTCAAAACAGTGTATGACGAAATTTTACACCTTTGCATCGAATGAGCACTACGAGGTGTGAATGATTAGTTCCTTTCAGAAAACACATGCTAATTGAAAAGAAGGAAGAAAAATTGAGGTTAATGAGCTCGCAGAGTTATTTTTAATATTTTAATCTCGAGTTTCATTTTTTTTTTTTTTTTTTTTGAGCTGATAAAGTTCGGAGTTGCCTCAGATATAGCATGTGGCTGCTTTAATTACTTTATACGAAAATTTTCTTAAAAACTGAAATAAAATTGAAAATTTATATCAAAATAAAATATAAATTTTTTTTAAATTGAAAAAATTATTTTATATGATTAAATAAGTTTATAAAATAATGTTAAATTCAAAATTATAAAACAATATATTCTATATTATAATTTAAAAAAAACCTTGATTAAAATTTAAAAAAAAAAAAATTAAGTTTATATTATTTAATTGGGAAATTTTAAAAATATATTCAATTGCTAAGATAAAATGAGGTAAAACTATGTCATTTGCTCATAGCAAAGGGCAAAATATTTATTAAAAATCTAAGTTATAGGTTACTAAATGGTTAATCTGATTATTGTGAAGATTAGATTAGATTAGATAATTGTTTTATTCATTTGAGCACAAATTTACAGTCATCAACAAGCACAAAAATACCTCCAAAACATGTTAATGTTGCCCGTAGAACACGTCAAGTCTTTACATGCTAATTAAAATTATGTCCGAAAAACTCGAACCGATCGTAAAACATATTATCATACAACACCTTCTTTACAAGTTTCTGAAAATCTTTGCATTGAATTCTATTTTTTATTAATAAATTTCAATATTTTAGTTCATTTGGTTGGCCTCAATTTTAGTTTCGGAGAAATATATTTTGAATTATTAAGTACTAGAATTTGCAAATACATACAAATTAATTAAATCGTATTCAAAAATGATCCTTAGCGTAATTGGAGTCACGTGCAGAGAGTCTGCACTCTTCAGATCTACTTTATTAATAAAGCCGAAGCGCGCAATAGAACAAAAGAGGATGTGGCAATTTTTCTCTTGGGCGGTTTATCTATCTAGATGTGTGAATGGGGACGAGAGCCAGAGAGCTGCACACAACCGTGCAGAGATTTAATATGCAGTACGGATTAAATTAAAAGAACTTACTTCTGCTATATAGCATGTCTGCTCTTTTATTCGTCCGACGTCAAGCAGCTCATTGCCTCATCCCACCAGCTCTTGACAGGCAAAAGCTGATTTCGTCCGCCGCCGGCTTTGAGTTTTCTGTTATTTTTATTTCGTGGCTAAATAACCACATGTCAAACAGCGTGATTTTATTTACAATTTCAGAAATTGATTGAATTATATATTTAATAAAAATTGCTAGCCTAGAAGAGCTTTTATAAAATAATTCTTAACTTTTATGCAAATAAATATTTTTAAACACGGCCCTCTGTGCAAGTGCAAAGATGTAAATTATGTAATCAAGCGATCACTGTCTAAATTTAAGTAAATACGAGAGGAAGAAAGTAATAAAATATTAATTTTATTTTATTTCTTACAATAAAAACTTCCAAAATTTCATTTACTTTTCATTAAAAGAAAAGAAAAAAAAGATTAACAATTTAAAAAAATTTAAAATAGAATAAAAAGGTTTTAAAAATCTTCCACTTATTCAACACAAATGAATTAATTTACCTTGAATTTTTTTAGCGCATCCCATAATCAAAACCCCAGGCAGAACGACTGCTATATTTTTATATTTTTTCATTTTTATTTTGTATTTTTTTTTTTATGATTTTAGTTACTTTTATTGATTGAATATACAATACACGTTTGGAAAGGTCAAAATAAATAAACATTATACACGCATATGGTCGGTCTCTCTCTTGGCAGGCAGAGGGAATGGTTTTTGAAAAATGCGCTGACCTCGCTGGCACCACACATACGTTCTCGGCGCAAGGTCTCGACCTTTCCAGTCTCGGGGTTTATACTTACGGCACGTTTTGCAAATGGAAAGGCGAGTGATTATGAAAATTTTCATCTAGATTTCGGTACAAAAATTCAGACAGACAAAGGAAAAACAGAGAGAGTCGAGAGTTAAAAAGCCGGCGGCGTTTCTTCTTGACAATTTGTACCCTATTGTCTGCGCCCGTGTGCGACGTGTGTGCCGCGACTAGAATGGCGCAAATTGCACTTTTGCATCATCAGAACCTCTCGCTGGCAGCAGCAAATGAGGTTGCACAGAGATTTTGTTGCTCAGAGAAAACAACAAAAGCTACCAATTAAAAATTTCAACTTCCAACTTCCAACGTAAGCAGCCGAGAAAAAAAATATTATTATTTCAAGTCCGTTCTTTAATTAAAAAACAAACAACAAAAATGGCAAATAATAATTTGAAAGAAAAAAAACAACTGTTGAAAGATTTTAAAGCACAAAAAATTTTTAAAAAAATCAAGGAGAGCAAAATAATTTTTTTTTCATTTTGCTTCAGATTATTATTTTATTATAGCCTTATTTATTTTACATAAAAATTAATTAAACAAAACTAATTAAATATAAGGTATGAAATTGCTTGATTTTAATTGTTCGTAAAATAAACATTTTAATCTAAAATTATTGTTATCCTTGATTATTTTTAATTGAAAAACTAAAAATTTTAGCTTTACAAATTAATGACAATTCAAACTTTTATTTTCAGAGGTCCGACGCGAGTGTGGGTTGCAGGGGTGCAAGATTCTGTCCGTGAGTGGTCACGGGTGGTGGGGGTCGTCTGCCGGGACCCCCGCGGACCCCAAGGGCGAGCTGGGCGAGCACCAGCAGCACCGCTTTTCGTGGCGGGCGCCGTCTCCTACGGGGGCGGCGCGGCCCCTCTCGCCCACAGCCCCTGCCGACATGGTGGTGCAGAAGGTAGGGCGGCAGTCCAGCCTCACCAGGCTCGGCTCCATCCTCAACACCGCCGTCCACCCCAAAAGACAACAACCCAGTAAGTTCAAAAATTAGTTGAAATTGACTGTTCATGTGCAATAAGTAAAATTATAGAATAAAATTAATTTTTAATGACTTTTAAAATAATTAAATTCTAAATTACCGTCATATTTTACTTTTCATACGTGCCGGAAATAAATTTTGCATGACCTACATTATTTTGAGCTTTTTATATAAAACTCTCAAGCCGGGCTGATACTTATTGCCGAACATATTGCGGTGTAAAAATAATCTGCGGGGTTGCGTCCGCTCACGTCAGTACGTATGAGTTGTGTTTACGCGGCGCTAGCGAAATATAATAGCATCCTTGCGCTTTTTATTCTCACTCTCGGATTTAATAATAGAGCTCCTTTGAACGAGACACACACGGGAGACCACGCGGTTTAATTGAAACGAAACAGGGTGAAAAGAAACGCAGCGACGAGCCTTCCATGATATTATGCGCTCAAAATACATTCGACGACAAACCTGCTGTTCTGTACACATTTCAATTTGAGGGCTTGGAAAAAAACTGCGCAGTAAAATTTTTGCACTATTGATGTGTAAAAATCGTAAAAATAATTTAAAAATCTTAATTTTTTTAGAGCATATTATGTTTATTTCATTATCATAGATATATTTTTTTCGGTGGCTTTATTTGTTTTGTCTTCTTTATTGATTTTCAAGGGGTCTGCAAATTTTCCCCAACCGCGAAAATCGGCAAAAATGTAGAGGTTGAATTTCATTGGCAGCAGACGGACGCGGATCGGGGGGCGGGGCGAGAGCGGTGCTGCCACCTGTACGAAGCTGCGTCGCCATTGTTTGAGTCTATGAGAACGAAGAGTAAAGCTATCGGCAGAATTATGAGCGAAATCGGTGGTCATCGACTCGTGTAGGGTGCCTAAGCGGACACCGCGGGGCTCGGCGATTCGGCCAGCGTTCGTGCTGTCGGCAGGCGGGCGTATTGGCACGAGATGAGCGGTTGGCGCGACAAAAACGGGCTTCGAACGGAGCCCTTTCTGAGCCGCAGACTAACGGCCCTTTTCTCTTTGTTTCGCAGGCAACGGCGAGGTGCAGTGGTGTTTCTCGCAGGTCAAGGGGACCCTGGACGATGATGTGACCGAGGGTGAGTTTTTTGATCAAATCGGCCAATCAATTCATTTGTTTAATTTGATTTTTTCGCACCTGCAGCCGACATCATATCATGCGTCGAATTCAACAGCACCGGCGACCTACTCGCCACCGGCGACAAGGGCGGTCGCGTCGTCATTTTCCAGCGCGATCCTCAGGTGAGGAAATAACCCTTCGACCTTCAGAATTTATTTGGTTTCCAGGGACCAATTCCCTAGGTTAATTGTGGAAGTTGACAGTCGAATTTCAAACCCGCCGTTGATTGCTTCTGTCCCGCTCTTTTTTCAAGGACTTTTCAAAAACGACTGTCAAACTCTATGATCAAGTTTTTAACAGGATTTAACTATAATGTTTTCAATTGCTTTGATTACAGTCGAAGACCGCGATGCCTCGACGGGGCGAATACAATGTCTACTCGACCTTCCAGAGCCACGAACCTGAGTTCGATTACCTCAAGAGTTTGGAAATCGAGGAAAAAATTAATAAGATCCGGTGGTTGAACCGGCAAAATCCTGCACACTTTCTGCTCTCAACCAATGACAAGACCATTAAGTTGTGGAAAGTCTCCGAGAGGGATAAGAGAGTCGAGGGATACAATACACGCGAGGACACAGGACAGCTCAAGGATCCGGCATCCATCACCTCGCTTAGAGTAAGTTAAAAAGTTATTAAATTTAACAAAAATCATTCCATCAATTTTATATGTCTAAGGAATTCAATTTGTAAAATCTCAAATAATTTTATTATTTGTTAAAAGTTGAAATTTTTAACTAGATTTGTGTTAAGGTTTTATTGTATTATCTAAATAGCTACCTGTCTTTTATATTGTGCTTATCAGTAATCAGTATCCAATTAAGTTACGAGTACCCTTGAGTTATATCTCGAGTGAGTTAAACTGCAATGATTTTTTATTAACATCTACACTCGGTATAAATTTTATTCTCTCACGTCTGCCTGCAGGTACCTGTAATAAAGCCAATGGAGTTGATGGTGGAGGCGTCACCACGGCGCATTTTCGCCAACGCGCACACTTACCACATCAACTCAATCAGCGTAAACTCGGACCAGGCGACCTACTTGTCAGCGGACGACCTGCGCATCAACCTTTGGAACCTTGAGATCACCGACCAGAGCTTCAACATTGTCGACATCAAACCCACCAACATGGAGGAGCTGACTGAGGTGATCACTGCCGCTGAGTTCCATCCAATTGACTGCAACGTCTTCGTCTACTCGAGCAGCAAGGGCACAATCCGCTTGTGCGACATGCGCGAGGCCGCTCTCTGTGATAAGCACGCCAAACGTAAGGGTCTAATTAAAAATCGAAAATTATGGAATTTCTATTATACTAAAGGATCAAAAGTATTGCATTAGCTTTTCAAATATATAATGTACTTATTAATTTTTTTGGAATTTTTTTGTCAGGAGTTTTTTATTCATATTTTTAATGTTATTGTGATGCTTTGTTTAGTGTTTGAGGAGCCAGAAGATCCCACAAATAGGAGTTTCTTCTCTGAAATAATCTCAAGCATTTCGGACGTGAAATTGTCCAACTCGGGCCGCTACATGGTGTCCCGAGACTACTTGTCGGTCAAGGTTTGGGACTTACGAATGGAAACAAAGCCCATCGAGTCCTATGCTGTGAGTTTTCCTTTTAAAAAGTTGATTTTGATACTGATGCAAGACCTGACAGGTGCATGAGTATTTGCGGGCCAAGCTGTGCTCTTTGTACGAGAGTGACTGCATTTTCGACAAGTTTGAGTGCTGCTGGAACGGCAACGACTCTGCCATAATGACCGGCTCGTACAACAACTTTTTCCGGATGTTTGATCGCACCACGAAACGCGACCTCACGCTCGAGGCGTCTCGAGAAGTTGCCAAGCCGCGCACGGTGCTCAAACCCAGAAAGGTAAGATCAGTCCAGATACTTATAAATTATTATTTTCCCAAATCGTCTAGACTTCGATTTTACATTCTATTCTTAATTTTTTTCTTGAATCAATACTTCACTTATTTCTAATTAATTTAAAAATGCTGATATTATTTTTATTTGGCAACTTTCTTTCATCTTAATAATTAATAAAATTAAATCGCTCCAGGTGGGAATGGGTGGCAAGCGGAAGAAGGATGAGATCAGCGTGGACTGTCTGGATTTTGGCAAGAAAATTTTGCACACGGCGTGGCATCCGTCGGAAAATATAATAGCCGTCGCGGCCACCAACAACCTTTTCATCTTCCAGGACAAGTTCTAATGCCTTTCCTAGAGGTACTTTTTCTTTGAAATTCTATTGTATCGCTTGCTAATTTTTTTTTCAACTATTGGTTTAGGAAGACTGGAGGCTCGGGAGGCCTCTGATTTTGTTGCTGCCATTTGTTTTGTCGGAATAATCTCGCGGTCGGTGCCATCCGAAGAGAGAGAGAGAGGGAGAGAATGGAGAAAGAAAGGAAGAAAGCTTTGCTGCTTTGCACAAACTTCAGGGTGGATCGAGAGAGGGTGTTTTTGTGCCTGTGTGTGTGCCGGGGGGAGTTGATCCAAAGTAAAAAGACTTGCAACTCGCTCTCACTCACTTGTTGCGTATAAATTATTTTTGTTTATCGAGTTATTGGTTAAGATAAATTAATAAAAAGCGTGGGCGCGGCTCCAGCCAAATGTATGTACTACGAAACGAACGTACGTGTGGAGAAACTACGAGAATGAAGACGGAGTCGCGCCTCAAAAGGACTCAAACTGGAGAAAAAAAAAACTAGCTATGGTTTTGCAGAAGAATAAAAAATGAGATTCCACAGCAATCAACACGCATCACAGCAAAACAAAAATAGACTCTTTCATTCTTCTACATAACCTAAAATGTGGACTATCACATTACATTTCTCAATGAATTGTTGAATTATTCATAAACTGCAGATGAATGGAATACGATCATTCAATGAATAATGCATCTTCTATGTGAGATTAACTTTATTAAACCATTACAATTTAATTAAAGCACGCGCAGTACACATCAATTGCAAGAGATAAATATTCTTTATAATATTATTATCAATCGGTTTCCCAGGTGAGATTTGAATAATCAAGTCAACATTTGATGGGATACATTTATTTTATCCCTATCTTCCGAGTTTAGCCCTCCCGTACGCGAACTTATTTGTTGGTAAACAATTACAATAAATCAACTAATGAGAAGAGCTCTACTATGATGGTTGAGTAAAAATACTTCCAATGGGTGGTTTATATTTTTTCTCGATAGACACCCCAGACTTGCTCCCCTCGTTCATCATAGTGAGACAAAAATAGCACTTAGGAAAAAAGGGTTGCTATTTTCAGCAAGAATTTAATTGATTGGACGTGATTTTTGCACTTGATTGAGAAGAATTGTCAAGTTTAGGCGAGCAGAAGTTGAAGCGAAATTCATGGGAGTGGGCGATCTTCAGGGATGGTCGGCGAGGCAAGAGGAGTTGGTCTGTGGCCGTCAGCCTCGCGAAGGGCGTCGTCAAAGCTAGTCACAGAGTTTGACCTCGAGGAGACGCGAGTCTGCACAAATATAAGAAGAATTTATAATTATAAAAAAATTAAATTAGATTTTTATAGTATTTTCCGTCAAAAATTTATTTGTAAGATTATCTCTGGTTTGTGGTAAAATTAGGGCAACACATATTTCCTTATCAGTTAAAAATCTTAAATTTGAATAGTTATAACAATATAAAATATGGTTGAAGTTATTTCAGATCGTCTATTTTAAATAATTTTTATTAGACAGCGAAATAGTTTTTTTTTGCTGTATTCATGATATGACTGTATCGAGTGGAGAATAAATAAATAAATTAAGTATGGAATGTATGGAATTTTTTTGATTAAACCTCTAAAAATTACGGAAAATTGCTTAAAATGCTTACCTGTAATTAGAACTTTGTATATGTATTTATTTAATAAAAATTATCAAAGAAGACAAACCTTGACGTTCTCATAGGCAGATCCAACTTTCTCTTCGAACGAGCGAAACGATTCTGAATTTTTCAGTTGCCCGATCTTGCTTGAGAAGCCGACGCCAAAGCCACCCAAAATCGAAGTCGTCTTTTCAGCTGCAGTCTTTACCACTGATTCGGTTTTCTGGAAACTGGAACCAAAACCACTAAACGTGAATTAAAATTTAAAAGTATCTCTCTTCTTCAAAAATCAATCAAAACTAAAACCATGATTATTTTTATAATATATTTAAATAAATTCGCAACACTTACACGGCAGTTTCTTTGACATTCTTCAGTCCTTGGGACATGTCATCCTGCAGCTCCTTCCATACTGAAATGCCCAGTTTCCGCTTGAGGTCGTTGGCCTGCTTGACCTTCGAGGCCAGGACATGTCTGAAGGTAGCGATCTCGTCCTCGACTTTGGCCAACTCGGCCTGCCACTGACGCCTCTGCTCCTCCTGTTCTTCAGGGCTCAGGGCGTGGAACTCTGCTGAGACGCCGGAGTCGGGAGTGAGGTCCTCACCTCCTGCGACCTCACCTGAAATATAAATTATTATAATCTCAAAATAAAAACTGTAATTTTTTTAATGCGTTTATATGAATTTAAAAAAAAAAAAAATTATTTTCCCAATTTTTTTTCAATTTAAATTTTTTTAGTTTTTTTTCACTGCAATTTCAGATTAGAATTTATCTTCAAATTTTTATAAGAGTGGAACAATTCGATTGTCTTTGCCTTCCTTTTCCAGCAAAATTGCTGGAAATTTGGAACCGTGCAAAATTAGCGGAAACTAATCGCACTGTACATGAGTCAGTGGTCGAGGAAGGCGGGGCTTCTCGCGAATTCCATTATGTGAATGTCCCTGTGGGTTGTCACGAGATGGTTTCGCAAAATATTAAAAGGAGCCACAATAAGGAAACAACTCATAACTCATTAATTATTCTAAAATGATAAATCATTGAAAAAAGGATTTCATAAAAATGTGAGCAAAAATTTGTCTCAAAAAACCATTAAATCGTCAAATTAAGAGCAAAACAGTGAAGAGAATAATTTTCACACGGCATATGATTTTCGTGACGTTGACGTGTGTATTGATTCAAATATTTCGTCCTTGGCGTGGAATTTGAAAGGACGGATAGGTGTCGGTCCTTTTTACCTTGGGACACGACGCTCATGTCTGCTCTTGGCGTTCAAAATTCCGACCGGACCCTCTCTCGTCGAGTGTGCAGGACACGAACGCACCTCTGCTGCTTATTTCCTCTTCTCTGCCGACGGGCCGCAGCGGACAACAATCTGATGGTCACGTGACCGGGCACACCTCCCTGCGGTTCTAACTACGACGTCGACGGCGGTAAAGTTTGGATAAAGGAACAAAGTATAGGCAACCCGCTGCACACTGCAGTGATTGATTTTTTTGTAATATTTCATAGATTGCACTAATTTTTATACAAATGGAGTGTGTTTAAGATCGTTGACAGAATCCACAGGGGCGTTGTGAGCCTTTTATATTTTCGCATTTCAATAAAATTAAAGAACATTTCACAGGTTCATATTATGGAGAAAATTGATTGTTTTAAATAAAAATCAAGACTTTCATTCAAATTGCCAGCATTTTTATTTTTAATCAATTTTATTAATCCTGGAACTTCGTTTCGAATGATGATGATTCGTTGATTCGACGAATCGCAGATCGCAGTATACAGATCATATTATTTTTTCTTCACATTAATTGAGACTTCTTTTTGAGAAAAATTCAACACATTATTATGCGATGATATACAAGATTCAACAAAAAATAACAACACATTTGCCCAAATGCAATCCCACTAGCTTCCCTGCACATGCATGGACAACACACCCACCCACCCAGAGATATTAAAATGAAGATTTGTGATAAAAAAAAATTATCTACGTCTATTTACAACATAAATAATCATTCTAATATCAGGCTATTGCAACAAAGAGAATTGTGATTGATATTTACAATAGAATTCACCTCGCCGGGAGGTGCCAAAATTAAACTAATATCGTAAATAATATATAATTACACAATAATAAACAATAGCAGTCCTCTTAAGAAAAAATAAGTTACTAAGGCGTACGAAAGAGTATTCTTTGCTCTCATTATTTCAGTCACGAGGCGTACATTCGGTTGATCTCATGTTGGTAGCGTTCTTGGATGTCCTTGCGTTTGAGCTTGAAGGCGGCCGTTACAAGACCCATGTCTGGTGACCAGACTTCGGTGCACAACTTGACAGCAGCTGGGATTTCGAATCGAGCCAATTTACCTGGAACAAGAAATTGCAAAAATTGGTTATTTTAAAATTTGAAATAATTATAGTAAAATAACAAAAGATAAATGAAAAGTAAAGCTCACTTTTCTTTCCGTGTTCCTCAAGTTCCTTGAGAACAGCCTGTTCGACCTGAGGATCCTGGCAAAGCTGCTCAAAGTCGAGTCCACTCTTGCCGAAACGGCCCGCCAAAGCTGCCAGATGACCTGGGTTGGGCACCACAAGTGCCACTGTGAAGTGTTTGCTGGGGTCGCCGTACACACAGACGTTTTCGACCAAGGGACACGTTTTCAGCTCAGCCTCAACCTTGCCCAGGGAAACATACTCGCCAGCTTGAAGTTTGACCAGATCCTTCTTACGATCTAAAAATAGATATAGCAAAATATTAATTTTGATGATAAAGTGAGAATTGAATTGAATTAGCTAAAATAATCTGGCAAAATCATTTTAGTTTGAATTGACTTACCTATGATTTTGATGGAGCCATCGGGATGAATTTCTCCAATGTCTCCGGTTTTGAACCAGCGGCGTCCAGCTTCATCGAAGAAGTCCTCCTTGGTCTTGTCAGGGTTCTTGTAATAACCAGGTGACACATTGGTGCCACCGACGCAGATTTCTCCACGAGGATGAGGCCGGTCTGTGACGCGGTAATTTCCTTCTTCCCAGTTGATCAACCTGATGTCAACGTAAGTGGCTGGAGCGCCTACCCTGCCGAGGGCAGAGTCATTCATGTCCATCACGGTAGCTGCAGAGCACGTTTCGGTGAGACCGTAACCTTGGATGACCTGGACACAGAGGCAGGTCTTGATGAGTTCGTGGGTGTCCGGTGACAAGGGCGCTCCGCCAGACATGATCATCCTGACGCGGCCGCCCATCAGCTGCCTGGCAGCGCCAAAGACGATTTTGTTCAGCAATGGTGTCTCAAAACCGCGCTTGCACCACTTCAACTTGTACTGGTAGGCAAATTCAAAGAGCGCCCTCTTCAGCCACGAGCCCTTCGAAACCTTTTCGTTGATGCCTTTGTAGATTCGGTCCAGGATCAGAGGGACGGCAGTCAGGCAGGTCGGGTGCAGCACTGAGACGTCGCCTTTAGTGCCCTTCTTGATTTTGCTTGAAGAGTCAACCATGGTCAGGGGTGTGCTGTAGCCGATTGGAACGCCCATCAGCAAACAAACGGATTCGGCCAGGAGCTCAAAAACATGAGCCAGAGGAAGATATCCCATAAAAACGTCATCGTGGTAGATGCAGATGGCGTCCGAAAAGGCCTTCACAGTCGTCAACATGTTTCTGTGCGTCAATAAGACACCCTAAAACAAAACAAAAAAGAATCATTATTTAAAATTTATTAGTGTAAAAAATAAAATTTTTGAGATTCTAAACAATTATAAGTAAAACAATACAAATTTTCAATAATGAAACATTTTTTTTAAAGAATATTTGAAATTTATATTTAGTATTTACCTTTGGTACGCCCGTGGAGCCAGAGGTATACATAATGATGGCAATGTCCTCTGGGCTTGGCGGGCAGGACGGACCGTTGGCGCCCAAATCCTCTCCGAACTGAATAACCTTGTTGAAGGGAAGCACCTCAACTTGCGAAGAGGGAGAAGTGGCAGGCGTTTTCACGCCCAACTGATCCTGGATGTAGATGATGCGTTTGATGCGTGGGCATGATCGGATGATGCTTGCAAACTTGGGCAGCAGATCCTGCGTTGTGACAACAAGGGACGCCTCTGTTTCGTTGATTCCGTGTGCTATGGCGTCGTCTCCAAGGGTGGCATAAAGGGTCACCACTAAACAATTTATTCATTCATTTATCCTCCATTCATGGTATATATTACATCGCAAAAAGTGCTTTGTACAAAAAATATGTTAAAATAAAAACTTTATTGAATTAATTTTCAATCATTCTGAAAAAATTCATGCTTCAGTTTTTTTAGGTTAAAAATTCATATGAAAATATACAAATGAATTGATTATTTATATTAATATAAATTTAATTTTACCTGGAATATTTTGTTTGAAGCAGCCGTGGGCGGCGATCATCCACTCGGCGCGCGTCTCGGCAAAAATAACAATGTTCTGCTTGGGTTCGTGTCCAAGGGCGCGGAGACCTCGGCCGAAATTGGCCGCCTCCTGCTCCACCTGTGTCGCCGTTCGCCATCTGTACTCGCCAAGAATGTACTGGAAACAGATCAATACTACAATTAACCAAATTGCACTCTCAACTGATTCATCTATGACGGTGACGTAGGGAATGTTTTTCCAATTAAGTCGGGACAATGAATTTCCCCTCGGGCCAACCTTACCCAACACAAACTAGTTGACGGACGATTCTACGACGTTACGCATTCAAATTCCAGAATGGTATAAACGTGTTGACGCCAGTGGACATGATAATATTATGCGATATGTCCCGGGGTTAAGAGACAAAGAGGATGTTGAAGTGGTTTGATTAATTGAGCCAATGGAAGGAAAAGAATATGAAAAATAATTTCGGGACTTTCCAAAAGCTTCATTTTCGCAACCAAAATTCCAAAGAGAGATATAAAAGAAACTGGGAAATTGATCAGCGACCTAACTTTTCAAGGCTATGCCCAAAAATTGACGATAATTTGAATTTTATGACCGATATTCCCATCCCAAGCGATAATAAATTATGGGCTTTTCTAGACAGCATCTGATTATATATGTTTAAGCATCTGTCATGAAAATTTTAAATAATTCATATCGTTAAAATATCTTACAATATATTTTCTTTCAAATTTAATATAATAAAAACAAGATTTAGCTTTTGCCTCTTGTATAAAAATCCACGTGAGCGACGAAGGCCACTTTAATTAGACAAAAATTGCTAATTAAATTTGTCTGTCTGCAAATGGAAAATTTCAAAAATTTTCGGCTCCGCGCTAATGAACTCTCTTAATTAAAACAGCAAATGGTTGCTTTGGGCGTCAAGTGGCGGCAGCACGATGCGAATTATTACAGACTGGCGTCGAGGAGAAATTAACACACCGGTCATGTCGAAACCGGCTTTCAAATCGCGCGTAATTGCATTCTAAAAACAAGTATATTATACAGGGGCATACCTTTTTGAAAAGCCTGCCGTTGGCCTGGAGCTCGTCCTCTTCAGCGAGAATGTCTCGCGTGCCGAGGCATTTCTTGTGCGTGTATCGCTGCGCCGTGTAGCTGAGAAGTTTCTCCATCGTGTCCACGTTGTTGCGAACCAATTCAACGTGCAACTCTTTCGGCTCTGACACCGACCTGTACGTCAAGCTGTCATCGCTTTTCTGCACCGGCTTTGCCTGAAACCAAATAAAAATTCAAGATTTAATAAAAAGTGAAATTTATTTTCAAATGTTGTAGCTTTACTTTAAAACTCAAATTATTCTCTTAGGGTTGCAAATATGCACAAATATGTAAATTAATTGTAAAGAAAAATTATAAAAGGGTTTTTTTTTTGCAAGAAAAATTTAAAACGCATTTAATTCATTAAAAAACTTCTGTAAAAAGCTTATAAATTGTTGAAACAATCTTCTGTCTACATTATCACTAAAAAAAGGAGTCATTCAACAAGAATTTTCAAGGTTAATATTTTCTCACAAATTATATTTCCACACAAAAAGCAACCGAATGGCCAATTTGAGTGTAATTTGGCGCGGCTTGTATCAAACAACTTTAACCACACAAAAAAGTCTCCTTTTTTAGTAATTTGAAGACCGTCCTCGATTCTCACCTTGATGCGGTTGGACAGCTGCTTTTGGCGCCACGGTTGCTGCAGGACGAGGTACAGCGGGTAGGTAAGGATGTCGCACACCAGCGAGAGGCACTTGAAGGTTACAACGGCTCCGCACAGGAATACGCCCTCCATCCTCCTGACGGAGTTGAGGAAACGCTTTCCGGCACTCGGGAAAAGTATCTGCAAAATATATGATATGGAAATTTAGCAATTTAATTTTAAACATATTCAGAAAAATTTAATTCAATAGCAAATTCAATTTTCACAATAACTAAAATAAATTATTATTTCCTTATAATAATTAATTATAGTTTTAATAACAAATCTCTCATCAATCTTTTTTTCCAAATAAATATAATATATAACCATCAACCTGTACTACTTTAAATAATTTTTCATTGCACTCGGTCATATTTTTGAGCAATTGAAATCAGCTTTCTAAATTTTGGCTCCGAGACATTTTCGTGGCAATTACCCAACGAGATTTAGCACGACCGTAAGATTCTAAATTGGACCGGCAGTGAAGCTGGCCAGCAGCAACTTTCGCTGATTGTGAGACTCACACAATTCAAAGGTTGGATGTACACAAAGGTTCTTGTTGTGCAACAGCAAAAAAAAAAAATATACCATTTTTTTCCGCGCCGATAATGTTGAATAAGTCATTATTATTTTTGTAATTACGTAAGCAAAGATCAAAATGGACTAAAAAAAGGCATAAGTTTTTATTCCTATTCCGAGTGACACCAAATTAGAATGCTAGCTGTGACGTCGACGCGGCAAATAAAAACTTTTGCGTAAATCCACTTGGCGTGATTCTCGACTTTAATCATCATAATCGAAGAATGCATGTGACGCGAGCTATCCGAAGAAGCTCCTTCTCGTTATATTTTCAGCCCGCGCGTTTGTGGGTCAGCCACAGATAGGCTCGTTCTTTCGATCGGTCGAAACTCTTCGTGTTTGACGGGACCACGAGCACCGAAATCTAACTGTCGCGGGTTCTGCGGGCGGCATGCCAAAAATTCCAAGGACACGCCCCGTTTGGTCACGAGGCCCTCTCCGGCCCCCGGAACGCGTTGTGGCGGCCCTTCGCTTGAAATTAAATTAAGTGACTTCAATGTAAAGGTTATCAACGAGACCCCTGCCTCCAAGGTTGAAAAAGTGATCCGATAACGCAGAGAAATAATTAAAACAGTTCAATGTACACTTTAACTTTTATACTTTTAAGTTGGGAACCAAAACAGAATATTATTTTATAATGCAACAAAAGTATTTATTGACCTTATCAAAATTTAGCCTTAATAACAGTGGAATGACCGGAAATAGCGAATTAGGGTTTTAATGCTTGGCCTAATCTAAATAATCGGATACCCCATGCCGACTTGCTTTTGCTGACGAGACCTTGGAAAATCTTGGAACTCATATAAAAATACATAACCTAGAAAGAAGTTACTTGAACTTGATTAGGGTCTCACCTAGTACTCGGATTCGGCTGGTGTCGCTGTGTCGAAGAATTCGGCGCTGACACTGGCGAAAAAGGTCAAATGTACACGCCGACTGCCGACACTAAAACATTCGCAAGAACAGAGACTGTCCTAGTAGGTCTGCTGCTGTCGAGGCTCTCGTCCGAGTCAGACCCAATAGGCGCGGAGGGGCTCGGCCAATCAGAGCCCATCGCTCGGTGGCGTGATCAAGGAATGACGTCAGACGGACAGGTGGAGGGGGAGGGAAAACGCCTCTCATTTGCCCACATCAATCGCACCACGAAACGGTCTTTCCCTCGATCGATCGTGCGCCGGTTTCTCCCGAGTTGATACCAGAATGGAAATACCAAAAGTTTGGCGGGTTATTTGAATATTCGGACGTCATTGGCCCAGAGGATGTTGTTGCTGGGAAACGAGGATTGTTTTGCGGTCAACTTCGCAATAAATTAGATGGCGCTAAATTCAAACCGCATTCGCGATTTTGAGCCTCACGTCACGTCGCTCTTCTGCTGACGTCGATAGTTCCTAAAATACGCCCAAAAATGCGATGTTGCCCTCCTCCATTGACTGTTCAACCTTATTTTGCACTAGGTTTGGCCCCCCCCCACCAACATTATTATTGCGCACCAACAAAACTCACTCTTATGCATTGGCCAGTCCCAGATAAATTATGATGACATAATGAATTCCCAACAATTTCCTCGGACTGAATTGTTTTTAATAAAAAAATGTTATACAGGAAATTCTCGAAAAAGAAAGTAGTTTTGATGCTGTCAGTATTTTGGTTTCTTTGCTTGGCGTCGATTTGCGTTTCGTTTGATGATATCCAGCACAGGTGCACCATGCTCGAGCAGCTTGAGCAATTGGTTGCGGCAATCATCCAGCTGGTCACGCACAACCTTACTGCGCTGCATGTTTGTCTGCAAATTATTATTATTACAGTTAATCAAGGAATGTCATTTAAAACATAATTTAGAAAATGTGAATTGAAAAAAAAAATATTAAATAGTTATTTTGCAAATTACCCTTATTAATTCTGATGTTCGTCCAGTGTCCACGGCCGTGGTAGAGCAGTCATCAACTGCATCAAGCATGTTGCCAAGACGGTCCAGAATTTCAGATTCTCTTTCACTCTAAGAAAAAAAACGTTATGATCATTCCTATAATCATTTTATGTTTTACTAACCATAACTTCCATCTGTGTACTGAGATGATAAAGTTTCCATCCCCGTGCCTTTTGAGACACTCCACGCTGGCTCGAGAGTTCAGCTACTGTTGGTCGACGTTCCTCTCTCACTCGAACATCAGTTGGGCGTCGAAAGTGATTGTGGCAGAGTTTGGCGTTGGTGCGGTAGTTTGGCAGTAAAATGGCACTGCGACGTCGCACCCCAACAGCTTTGGCCCTTTTTTCTTCTGGTTCTTCAGGAGAAACAACCTCTTGCAGTTCATTTCCAGTCCTTAAGAAAAATAAGAATTAATAATTTTTAAATTTATTCACAGCAAGAATTACAATTGTTGTTTTCTGGGCTTCTTTCTTGGAGAGACAGGTTCAGGAGCGTCGGTTACGTCAGCAGGCTCTGATTTGATGGCAGCCATATTTTCAATATCTAGCAAACCAGGACTGGAAGTTGCTACAGAAAGGGAATTAAAACTTCAAACTCACAATATAAATTTTTTGCAATAAACCAGATATTGTGGACGAGCCACCTGAAGAATTGTCTTTCCCATCGTCTGAATCTGGCTTGCTGGAATGAGGAGGAGATGCAGGAGGCGAGCTTAGAGCCTGGAGTGCTCCCTTTAAATTTTTCACTGGAGATCTGAAAATAAATTTGTGTTATTTAAAATAATAGATATCATAGGAATACTGACCCTTCGTGGTCTCTCTTCCTTAATATGCTTGGTCGAGGGGAGGCGCAGAGCTTGGTTGGTGAACCCAAAGGAGTTGTAACTCCACTCTCGTCAGTGCGATCCTCGTGCTCAGATTTGACAACAGAAGACAAATCTGCGCTCGTAAAAATCCTGAAAACAAATTTGGAAATGAAATTTCTAGACATAGAATTAAAATTACTGACGTGTCTAATTTTTTCTCTTCGATTTTGATTGGCACAGCAGTAGCTGCTGTAGTCACAGGCGTCATAACTATTCTACTTCCTGGGCCTGCGTTGACCAATTGCTGGCCAGGTTCGTAAAAGTAGCTTGCTGGAAGAGTGTAGTTTGGTCCACCGGCCGTTCTTTCCCCTGTTGACAAAATTTAGACACTTTCAGTGACAAAATTATTCTTTTTAAGTACCTGTCAGGGTGTTGTGGATGAGAAGGCTTCCGGACGAGATTACTGTTGCTGGAGCTGTGCTCGGAAGGGAGGTTTCTGCAGATCCCAAGACCTTCACTTGGGTAGGCCCCGAGCTGAACGTTCCAATGGATGTTCTTGTTGAACCTGGGGCACCTTTGATGTTGGTAAGGTGAGCTATCTGAATAGCAGGGCCAGGCTGGGGGATCTAGTTAATAAAACACTTTATTAAAAAAATCCTCAATATTTTTTATTGCACTATTTTGTGTAAATAAAAAAAATGATTCTCACCTTAGATATGGCAGTAGCAACAACTGTCTTAGCAGACGTAACCACCACGGGCGCCAAATGAGCAACTTCTGTAGGTTTGACCAATGGTAAAGGCGTTCCAGCTGGAACCCCGGGACGAGCCTTCGACTTGTCCACTTGAGTCAGAGTTCGAATTGTGGGCAAATCTTGCTTTGAGAGGGTGGCCAAAAGGGGTCTTGCCGTTGGTCTGATGGCTGCTTGGCCTAAAGGGTAAGTAGTAATGCGAGCTTGCTGCGTAACAGGTGATCCTGAGGGTGCTTTGCTTAGCCAATTAGCACCAGCTGTTAGTTGAGTAGCCGCGGGAGTTCGAACCCTAGCCCTAAAAAGGATGGTGGTTATTTCCAAATAAGGGAGAAAAATTTATAAAAATATTAAATGCTTCACAGAAATATTTTCTGAAAGTACATCGAATTGAAAAAATTTCTTACTGTTGAGTAGGTAGAGCTGTAGCTGTAATTATAGGTCCAGGTGAGAAGCCAGTGACGAGGGGCGCAGTGACGACGTTCCGAGTAGACGGTGCCACAGTTACTGCAGCTAAAAGTTTAAATTTGAAACATGAAAAAGGCTTCATTATCAAAAACAAACCTTTTGAAATATGGAAACTCGTAACTGACGCTGTAGCTACAGGTCTGATTAATCCAGCAGCAGTCCCAGACCCAATCAGGGTCAGAGTTGTGGCCGCAGGGTGAGGATGAGTCACAATTCTTGCTGTTGATACTGAAAAGGAAAATACATAATAAATTTCTTTCGGACCTAATTAAAAAAAGCGTTGAAATGTTACTGGTTTTTGCTGTGGATACCGCAGTCGATGCGGTAATTGGGGCCCCGACGACCAATTTGGCAGGGGCAGTGGCCCGGACGCCCTGCGAGTAATATTTGAAAATTAGGGTCAAAGAAAGGCGAATTTTTTATTTTCTTACAGCAGGCATTGTTGAGGATTCGGCGGAGGTCTTCGGAGCCACTTTGAGATCTTCAGCCCGAGGAGGCACCCCGGCAGGCACAGTCGGCCTCACTGGGCTCGCCATTGCAAAATTTCTCCTGACAAATTTGCAAAAACGTTGGACAAACGCTTGTCCACGAAGTCACAACAGGCAAGCCAGTGGTAAGGGCCAGGCGTCTCAATTTCACAAACAACTGATCGTCGATCGGCTGGTGACTGCAGCGGTAAACTTGTTCAGTGGCGTCATCAACGGAAATAAAAGTAAACGGCTTGGAATTTGTACAAATTTGGCGCTAAAGACACGCTCCCTAATAATATTCAATATAATAATGATATTATACAAATTATGGGTACACAGTACAAAAGTTGTACAGTGCATCCTGGGAACTCTTCTATATTATAGCCTCATTAGTTTAAAAAAATCTTTTAAAATGAAAAAGGATAACAATATTATTTTTTTTTGACATTGAAATAATAAGGTTGTGTTTTTCTTTTTATTCCTAACATTTTTATAAATAAATTATATTAAATTTCACTTAAAAAAATTCAAATTTTATTAAGCCAATAATAATCAATAAGTCAATGCAAATTTTCATCAGTCTCACTGGCCATTGGAAGTTTTAATTTAAGATATTTTATTTCATTCTTACTGAAATCAATAACAACAATATATGGATATTTCCAATTTAGAAATTAAAAATCAGATTCTTATAATACGAAATAAAAAATTAAATTCGCCATCACTTATTAATTATCAATTTCTTTATTATTATTATTAAAAAGCGAAAAAAATTATTTTGTTTTTATAAAAAAAGTAGCAATTTCATTTGCCAGGGGAAGGGGAGTTGGGCTGCACTTGCATTGCTTGAAAAGTCACCAGCCGCCTATTATTGATTTTATCAAGTTTTTTGGCTCACGGGGGATTAGATTTTAAAATATATGACAGTGAAATAGTTAATTTCAGGATAATTTTGGAACTTTGGAAGGAACAATAAAAGAATACGCTCTGGTGCAATAATTTTTTTTAGTTTATTTTTATCTAAACGTTATTTAATCAAGGCTTAATTTTAAACGGTTTTGTGTTCTCAATTATGGGGCAATTCCGTGAGCATACAATGCAAAGCTACCGGTTATAATTACGTGCTAATTGGCCGTTAACACATTAGACGTTGTTAATGATGTCAAGAACTCTACCTTTACACCGGAAAGAGATCATTTATATACCCATAACTTTAACCCTTCTCGAATTACAAAAATTTGTTTTGCATTCCAATCAGTTAGTTACTCGCATGTGACCTCTGCGCATAAACGAAAATCTTTTAATGGTGGGTACAATGAACGTTCCAAGGTCAGCCGGACTAGCCGTGCAGGGTTTGGCAAGCCAGCGCCCAAACTCGCCAAAATAGCAATCAAGTAGCCAAAACTTGATTATTTGAGCGCGTGTTTTGAGAATTCCCGAGTTCGATGGATAAAAAATATTAAAGTCAGGGAAAACAACATTCGAGAGACCCTTTTGGCTCAATTAAAAAGTAAGCATGCCAAAAAATATTAATACCTAGTTCTCATCGCTGCGGACAAATCTCATTTACCTTGAATTATAGCCATACGCAGAGGACTAAAAGCGGCTTAGGTGGGAATGGTCTGCATGCCAAAATTTGACAAGCGGTGTTGTTTTTAGTAACAAGGCAAGCGTCCACTGGTGAACACAGATGATTTGCTAAGGAGGGTCTACAACATTTCAAAGGTATCCTAACAAAATATTTTATTAAGTTCATTTTATTTATTTTTTTATTGGCAAAAATTTAAATACATTATTATAAAAATATCTAAACTATGAAAGATTAAAATTGGAGTTAAAAACAAATTGATGCTGCTAAAATTAAATGAGATTACAAATTAATCAAATTCAAACTTTCATCTTTTATCACTCTAAATTTTCAGCCGTTTAAAAGCAAAACATATTTTAATATTTTTGGTAATATTGCTTTTAAAAAGCGTTTTTATTTTTATTTTTTGGGGAGGCCCTCTATTGAGGTATAATATTTTTGCAAAACTAACTTATGTGTGCCAGTTAGGCGATCGCAGTAAATTAACGGAGCAAATAAAAATAAAACAAATACATTAAATTGTTTAAATTAAAAGTACATTAACTAAACCTTGAATAGCAAACTATTGAGCAAGTACAAATAATTTATATTTTTAGCAGGGTTAAACAAAGCAGCTTTGATGACAAAATTCGCAATTATTATACTTACGGCCGTCATATTATTATATTAGAGACATTAGAATTTTGCGGCCGGAGAGTTTTTTATAAGCAACCGCATTGTACAAGAATGCCTGTTCAATCAAAACAGGATTTTTTCCCAATTAACAATTAACCTTCAGTTTTCACACCTTTATATTAATAATTTTTTTTAATATTTTTTTAAATACTATATTTTTTCAACTTTAAATTATTTTCAGATGTCGGAGCACTTAAAATTCCTGCTGGTTTCAACAATCATGTTTTGCACATCTGGACCCATTTGTAATGGTCTCGATTTCCGAATTTTTTCTTCCGCCTTCACGCAGTACCAGCGTTTGCTGCAAAACCCAGAAGGCCTGGCTTATGATATTCCGACAAACCTGCTCCACAGCGAATACGATTTTATCGTGGTGGGAGCCGGCTCTTCAGGGTCAGTGGTAACCAACCGCCTGACAGAAGTTCCCAACTGGACCGTACTTTTGCTTGAAGCAGGCAAAGACGAAATCGTGTTCACCGAGATGCCCGTTTTCGCAGCCCACTTTCAGCTGACTGGCCTCAACTGGGGCTACAGGGCGCAGCCTCAGGAGGGCGCCTGTCTCGGACTGGAGGACAAGAGGTGTCCGTGGCCCCGCGGCAAAGTCGTAGGCGGCTCCAGCGTCATCAACTACATGATCTACACCAGGGGTCACCGCGGAGATTACGATGGCTGGGAACAAATGGGCAACCCTGGCTGGGGTTGGAAGGACGTTTTCAGGTACTTCCTGAAATCCGAAAACGCCAGGGATGACCTGGCCAAGTCACGGTTTCACTCAACTGGCGGATATTTGGACGTTGAAAGGGTCAGGCATAGGTAATTACATATATAAATTATTTTATTTCTTTGCTAATTTTCATTAATCGTTTTTAAATTAAAAAGTCATACATTTTTCGTAATAATCTATTATAGTCTATGAATTAAAACAAAATGCAGCTAAAATTAAGAAACGGAGTAAATTGAATATATCTTTTGTTACAAAAGAACATAGAGAGTGCATTTTAATAATTTAAAATTTATAAGTATTTTTATACTTTTTTTTTAAAAATTATTATCATTTTTAAGGACACCACTCGTGGACGCTTTTATGGAAAGCGCTGGATCATTGGGCTTTGACAATACCGTCGACTACAATTCCGGTGACCTGCTGGGCTTCTCAAGGCTGCAGGTGAATCAGCGTTACGGTCGTCGCTGCAGTGCCAGCAAAGCGTTCATCCGTCCCATCAGACACCGAGGCAACCTGCACGTGGCAAAAGAGGCCTTCGTGAGCCGAATCCTGATCGACCCTGAGACTAAAAGGGCGTGGGGCGTTGAGTTTTTTAGAAATAATAGATGGTACTCAATAAAAGCAAAAAAGGAAATCATCCTCTCGGCCGGCGCCGTTAACTCGGCCAAAATCCTCATGCTGTCTGGTGTGGGACCTACGGAGCACCTGGAGTCTCTGAACATTCCTGTCGTCAAGAACGCACCTGGAGTGGGACAAAATTTACAAGACCATGCTTCGACCTGTGCATTGGTTTTCACAGTAAACGACACCGTCTCACTCAAAGAAAATCGTCTGACTTCAAATATTGGGCCGTTTTTGCAATGGGTGACGGACGGCAGAGGGCCCATTACCATCGCCGGTGGAGTCGAAGCCCTCGGCTACATCAGGACGCCAAATTCCGTCACCCCTGTTGATTATCCTGACATAGAACTCATGTTCATTGCTGGCTCCTTAAACGGGGACAGCGGAAATGTTATCAGAAAAGGCCTTGGAGTGACAGATGATATTTTCAACTCGATTTACAAACCCATTGTCCCAGTGGACTCGTGGACTATCTGGCCGATGCAGATGAAGCCCAACAGCAAGGGTTTTATAAAATTGAAGAGCAAAAATCCTCAGGCGTGGCCACTGATGTACGCCAATTATTTTGAAGACCCTCAAGACTTGGAAATAATTGTCCACGGAATAAAGTTCGCCATCGAAATGAGCAAAACACCCGCTTTCCAAAGGTACAACAGCACTCTGCACACCACTCCTGTGCCAGGGTGCGACGACCTGGAGTTCAATTCAGACGATTACTGGCGATGTGCCGTGCGAAGTCTGACCACGACCTTAAACCACCAGTGCGGAACGGCCAAAATGGGACCTGAGAGCGACCCCGAGGCAGTGGTCGACTCGGAGCTCAGGGTGTACGGAATTAGTGGACTTAGGGTGGTGGACGCCTCGATTATTCCGAGAATTCCGGCGGCGCACACAAATGCTGTTTGCAATATGATAGGAGAGAAGGCGGCTGATATGATTAAAAATTCTTATGGAAAGTAATACAATATTATATTGAGAAAATATAATTCAAGTTTATATCTGCAAACATAAAATTTAAATATTTAATATTTTTATAAATTTTAAAAATGGAAATTAAAATTAGCTCATTGGTTATTATATATATTTTTATAATAATTAATTGATTCTAAATTAATATTATGTTTTTGTCTGCCGTTGAAAAGTATTCTACAATTTTTAATTTTTCACACATCAGGTCACTTACTTAAAAAAAAAATAAACATTTGTGCTAAGCTTTTTCTGATTATCCATGCAACCTTTCTTAAAAATTGAAATTTAATTTTAAAGCAAATAATTTCAAATTGATTAAAATTTCTCAATTCACTGCTCACATTAAAGATTTTGCGCCGTAAATTTTTGCAGTCTTGGACTATGAATGTTATTTAAAAAATATTTTTTGGATGTAAACTATATAAAGATGTTCACAATTTAAGCATTCATCTCAACAACAACTGTACATATATTAGTCAGAAAATATGAAAAAAATTTTATTGGAAATGAAGAGATCGGGTTTTTATATGATCATCTCCTCAAGTGTCTACTTCTTCAAACAAAAAATTTTTAATACTGTCTATTTTATATATTTTTTTATTATGAATTAAAACAAGAGGGCAAGAGGCGGAACGGATATGAAAATTGTTAGGAATTACTGAAGCAAACAGCAACCCTTTGGCTTTTCTTGGAAGATATAATAATAATGTTAAACATGCGCAATATGGGGGTGCATTGTGTTGAAGGAATGGCCAGCGCTTATCTTCTCCTTTCAGACCGACGCATGCTTGAGTGCACATTTTATTGTGTTTGTTGTTTGCCGCCGACAATAAGTTAGTTTCGGCCTGCGCCAGAGATAGCAGGTCATTTTAATTATAATTGCGCAAGACACACTAATGCAATAACCTCCGTAGCTCTCCGCGGAACGCTCTCATTGAATATTTAAATGAGAGAAGAGAGGAGAGCCGATTTGAATAACGCAGAGATATCTCTGTTTTGTGCAAAGTTGCGATGGATAGTCGAGAGGCTCTCTCCTGTAACCCTTCTTCTCCTCTTGTGTGTATTTGTCAATTGCGTGCCGATGCAATTAAGCGCACAAAACGTGACATCCTTCATTGGATTTTTTTTAATGAACAGGCAGGCACTTGCAATTATAATGAACGTCAGTTCAATCAACAAGTAATCCAAGTAATGAAAGGTTTCCTCAGATGCACATCAAAATACTTTTTCATATCGTTTGAATGAAATGAAAGGAGACTTTATAAGGGACTGTTTTCTTTTTAATTATCTGTTGCACACTAATGAACCCTTCTGCAGATGAGGTGCGTGAAAAGGGATAAAGGAAAAGAGATGAAAGGTTTTAAGAGATTTGTATTTAAAAGTGTTATTACACAATTTTTGTTATTCTAGTTGTAGGACTTGTACACATGTATGGTATAAAAAAAAATAAAAACTTGAATTTAATTTAGAATTACATTAATTTCAATTATGAAAAACCAATTTAATTTCGTTTCAGAATTATATAGTTTCCAATTATCCAATTTTGCAAACCTATTCTGATTGCCTTAAAAGTATTATTTTTTATCTATTGTTTTAAAAATGAAATATTCCTTGACCATTAATAAAAATACACACCTTCAATAATAAAAAGGATAAAAATATATAATATTTAAGAGTAACCGCTAAGCAAAATTATGATTTAAAAATAAAGTTTAGTGAACGTTTTTTTTAGCGCCACAGATAGTCCGTTGGTGCTAATAGTGCCTCTCTTGAGCACCAAGATGGCACCAACATTCACTTTCAGCGAGTCAGGGCCACCGGTTCCTATAATAAGATCGCTTGCAGAAGAAAAGAAGACGAGAAGAAGAGTGGATATTAAAACTATTTTACCGAGAATATCATTTATCGTTCGGAGAGTTTTCCGCCGTGACTGCTGTCGCCAGCGCATAATTTCAGCGGAAAATATTTATTACTTACTGAAAATGCCAGGACTTTTGTGAGGCAAATTTGCCATTTACTAATGGACTTGAGCGCCTCCTACTGAAACTGTGACAGCAGCGAAGGACGTGAAATTGTATTCGAAAGAGAGGAAAAGTGAACAAGAAGAAAAGGTTGGTGGAAATTTCGTCAAATTGCTTTGCTGGTTTTAAATTAATTTGATGATAACAAAAATAAGATAAGATATATAATTTTTCTGATAATTTTGTTTTTAATATTATTATTTATAACCGTCTTGTCGTGTAATTATAAAAAAAATGAAGACGTCAAAATAAATTAAATTTAAATATTACCGATGGCAGATATATATAATTTGAAATATTATTTGCGTTTGTTTACATAATTATATAATCCGATAAAATCAATAGAACAACTTCCTTTTCAATTCGTAAATTTTGCACAAATTCCACTAAAACTCTGTAAGCTGTTTGATAATTTTGCATTGAAATTTAGGGACCAGATTTTACAAAAGCGACAGACCAGCTATTTAGCGTTAGTTGCAGAATATTAATGAATTAACAACTGACGTGTGGTACGATTCATATGAGATAAGTGCAAGTGGCAGATAACAATATAATAGGAGGAGTCTCTGGTCTGCTCAGTTTGTGGTAAAAAGTAGTTCACCAAGTCTGAATTGTGACCTTTTCGATCTGCTCAACAATGGGCGGTTTGATCTGGTAGTTCCGCGCTCTAGCTATTAGGCGCCAGGCTGTCTGGGCCAAGTCTGCTCCCATAGAAGTTTTCTCATCCACAGACTTTGAGTTGGAGTAGGGACTGCCGAGAGTAAAGAATTTTTGCTGTGGATTATAAATTAAGAATTAATTATTAGTGAGAAAAATAAAAAAGAAGATTTATTTACAAAAGCGATTTCTCACAAAATGATTCAGATCAGAATATTATAAATTGGAATGGGAATTTTTTATTAGTACTATTATTTTATGCATGGATAATAAATTGAAACTGTCCCTTTCTTATTTAATTAAAAGTGCATTTTCTTTTAATAAATTAAAAAAATATTATTCTTTGATCGAAAAAAATAGCTCATTTACTATTTTAGTATTCAGTATTTTTTTCTTTACTTTTTAGTGAAGTTGTAAATCAATTTATATTTTTTTCCTCTCCCTTTTTAATTTGATTTTGGTTGTGTCTGAAGCTACTTGTCTTTGAGCTTGCGGAATTCTACATGGCAAAACTTTACCCGTGCTGCTGCTGGGCACTATAGAGCCGTCTCGTTTTAATAAATGTATATTTAGTCTGCAAAGTGCTTGTTAGTATTTACTTAGCACTCGAGTGATGTGCCGGTCTTATATGTGAGCGAGCTGAATTTATACATGATGCATGCGGCGGCGATATTGTAGCCAGCGCAAAAGCAGCGCCTAGTGTATAAACATTTAATTTCCATTTTAGAGAAGTCCATCAATAAGTAAACAAAAAGCACCAACTAACAGACGGTCCAACCAAGCAAGCACTCAGTCAGTCGGGTGCTTCTCTCTCCTGTCTGCTATACGGCTCGCTCGGAAATTATTATTTTATGTAAATTTCATGATTGCTTGGGAAATGTTGTGTGCGCGCAAATAAATCGCCGGCCGAAATTTGATTCAAGTTGCAAACAAAACGGGAATTGCACCCACGAGTGTTTGAAAATCAATCAAAAAAGGAAAAGAATAACTAATTAATAAGTATGATTGAGTTTGTTCAAAATAAAAAAAATAAATCGCATCTGTCAGAAAATTTATCTCAATATATTTTTGAATTAATTTGTGATAATTGTGATAAATAAAAAAAATTTTTTAAATAAAAAATGTGAAAAAATGCAAAAATATTATACCAAAATTGGTTTGCTTGTAAATTTTACGTTTTTATATTTCTTGAAATAACCAGACTTAAAAATATCATTAAAGTAAGCTTTTGAAAAAATTAAGAATTGATTTTCAAGTTTAAACATACTAATAATGTAGATGCAAGGTTATAAGATAAGAAATCTTTTGAATTAGAGTCATTTCAAAATTCAAAACAATAAACACTAAATTGCGCTCTTTGAATTTGAAATCAATTAATCAAATTTTCCTTTCAACTGAAAAAAAAATGCTTATCTTGTTTAAAGAAATGAATATTTTGTATTGATTAAGTGAATAAAAAGGTTTCTCAATTCTCAAAGTATTAAATAAGTTTCTTGTTTTCCGGTCCATATTGTATTCGAAACTTCGAAGTTTTGATATTTGTTGTGGCGACAAAAGACACCCTTTGGCGTACGTGCTTTGAATAATTAAGCGTTCGTCAGCTCCGGTTTTCACACTATGTATCAAGTATGCAAAGAGTATGTAAAGTAAAGGTACATAAATATGCTCGCTTACTTAGGCAGGATTTGCGTCGAGAGAACGAGGAGGGATGCGCTTGGTGTGTGTATCACAAATCGGTACAGAGCGTTTGTCAAGGATGCTGTGTGTATTTGTGCGAAAAGGGGGTTTGAGCGAAGAAAATAGAGAGAGAACAAACGCGTAGAGCTCGCAACTCATCGAGGGGCGTTTTAGCGGGTTTAATTTTCAATAATAGGATTATTTGAGACGCTTCGCGTGCCGCTCTCTGCAAAGCCACTCGCTAGATATTCAGCATTTTCGCTCGTTACTTGCTGATTACAAGGGCAAAGCTTTGTGTAGGTGTATTTTTAGTTTTGGTGGGAATGGCTAGAAAATTTCTTACATTTCTTGAAGTGTCATAGAAATGTAATGTGAAAATATAAAAACACTACTTCTAGGTCGCTGATTATGTTGAACAAGGTCACTCATTTGAGATTATAAATGTAATTAGCAAGAGTAGCACTCTGGAAGTTAATTAATTGGGAAAATTTATTGCTTAATTGCGTTCTTATCTGGTGTTTGATTTTAAATCTCGTCTGAAGAAAGTCAGTAAAATTATTGACAAAAGAAAAATATATTTAAATGAAACCTACACTATTTTTTTTTCTGTAGATATTGATGATCGATGTAAAATTAATTTTTGAAGAGCTAGGTCAATATTTGGTAATTGTTGAAACATGAATTATAAAAAAGTTGAAAATTTTTAAGTAGGTAGCATAACATAAATTAAAAAGAGCAATGCTTTTGCCCTCTGCAAGCTCCGCAAAGGGCAGCACGCAGCACATCTACTTACATAAATGTTGAAGGGCGACAAAAGCACGGCTACAACTATGTCAGTCCATTCACATCTCATGATTCGTGATGATCTAACTAAAATCCTAGGAGCCGGTTGCCAACTTAACACAATCTATTTTTTTTAAGGTTTATAATAATTTGGCTCCCATTAAAACATAAACATCTGATTAAATTATGTACTTTTAAACACTTAATTAAAAATAAATTTAATCATATTGCAGAACCAGAAATCAAAGTTTTATAAAATTCCGTAGAGTTCAATGTTCAATTTCGAGACAAAATATTGTTTTTTTGGTACTTATTATTCTCCCCGCCAGTCGCCACTGTCGCCAGTCCCGTCAGCAAGTCATCTGTTATGACTCTCGCGGGTGTCACGTTGTTGAGTTTTGTGCGAATTTTTGCACTAAAAATCGTTGCATGTGCGTCCGGATCATTCAACGAAACCTGCAGACAACCTGAAGCAACGGTGGGCGGTTGAAAAACTGTCCCAAATCGGAAATCTTGAGTAAAAGGTATGCACATTAAGCATATACATAAAAATGATGACAGAATCAGGAATGAATCGTAATTTCGTTCTATTTCAGCAAGGAAGTTTGGCCCGAAACCTGACCTCAAAGGTCAACGATGGCGTGGCTAGAAGTGGGAACTTGGCCTTTTCGACACTGTGAAAACGCCATAGATTCTCGATGTCAAGGTCTTCGGGCGGAGACCAGGAGGGTGCTTCATTCGTGTCTGCGACCGACCCTCCCTGCAATTGGAAGCGTCCTTCAGGGCATGCATGGTATGTATTTTACCTTTGTTCAAAATACTTTCATTTTTAAGTTATTTATGATTTGGAAAATTTTTACTTTAATACAATTTTATGCTTGTCAAATGAATCAAAGTAAACACTAAATTTTTATAACTTGTTGAGATATTTTTTGAACATAATCTAAAATTTCAAAGAAATTTTATTTGCAGGCTCGAATTGTGTTGTGCAATCTTGAGTGGCCAACGTGCAAATCCGAAGGAGTGTCTACAGGGACGTTTACCTCGCGAAAAGTGGGTTCGTCATTTGAAGCAGCTCAACTCTAGAGTGAGTACTAACAGTCATTTCGTAGTTTTTTTTCGCCACAGAGATACTTATATTTATCGATTACGCATGGGAGGAGATGGAGTCGTCAGATGTGTTGTTTTTGTATTCGGCCTCCGTCTCCTGTATCTGCCTATTTACATAAATAGCAGGCAGCGGCGGAAAACGAGTTTCCCAGCGCAAATCGACTCGTCAAAAGGAGTCGGCAATTTATT